ATCCTCACAACAGATTCACAAGCAGATTGTAGAAAGACACGCGATTGTCATAGTGAGGCTGAAAAGAGAGAAACCCAGAATGGTAGCGACTTATCTAAAGCCACCAGAAAGTAGGCTTTGGTCTCCATCTCCAATCTCAGATGCCATTATCCTTTCGCGTCTTTTGGGCTCCTAAAACCTTGTGGCCTTGAAAGCACAGCTCGTAAACAGCCTCTGATGCACTTTGTGCACGTGAGTTGGCTCTAAGAATCTATGCAGGCCGCTCTGACTTCATTGCACTGCCATTTTCTCACCAACCGTATGAGTCACTGCCCTCAAGGGTCGTTGCTATTTTGAGTCCTGCAACTTAATCTTTCTGGGCTCCAGATCTGTCATCTGTAAAATGGAAATTTAATATTAGCTGATGAAGACTCACTTCATTTCATTATCGATTACCTGGTTTTTATAAAGTGTCTTATGAGTTAATAATAGTCATTGATCAGACCGTATGAGTTAGATTCATCCTTCAAAAATCAGGCGAAAGTGCACAAATCTGATTCCAAAATATAAATATTTTTTGTTGCAGCAACACTACAAAAAGTTACAATTTATTTTTCTGAGGTTTAAATGCAAGTGTACTTGGAGAATTTTGTACTATTAGACTAGTGAAATCTTAGAACTAATGAAAACATAATCTAGGTCTGCCCCTGCAATATATAATGAGAAAAAACTAGGTGTAAAGGAATCTGAACGGTGTGGTTGCCTCACATTTACAAAGACCTGGTCTACATTTTTAACACCACCCTGCTAGTCCTGTGTTGCTAGTAGGCAGCTACTGTAGTTTATATATGAAATGTTTTCCATAGGCTAGGGATTTTGGACACTTGATCCCCACATGGTGGGACTGTTGGGAAGGTTGTGGACTTTGGGGAGGAAGTGAGTCACTGAAGGGGTGGGGAGACTGGTGGTTTTCAGCCTACCCCTCCTACCACACACCCATGCCTTCCCTGCTTGCTACCATGTCTTCCTCGCCATGATAGACTATATTCTGCTAGGGATGTAAGACAAAACAAGCCCTTTCCCTCTCAAATTGTTTGTCAGAGTATTTCATCACAGCAACAGAAAGAGAAATCCAGAGAAGAGCATATAAACAGAGTTTTGGGAATACATTGTAAACTAATTCAAATCATACTGCATGGAGTTCCAGTCATGCCCCCCCACAAAAGTAAATTTAAAGTGAGTTATTATAAAGTTAAAATTATATTTGCTAACTTCAAAATGTAAAAAGGATGTCCTGGAGTAGATTACAAAATAAGCTGCATGCAAGTATGATCTATCTGCTTTCAAATTTCTCCAGATGTTCTACACTAGATATATGTCCCTTAAGTAAACAAAAAAATTAATTGATGAAAGCATGGGGAATCCCTAGAAATTGCATTGTTAAGAGAAAACTAATGCTGTTTGTTATCATGGACTTGATAGTCATAAGGTAGTCAGACCAGCAATGTGTGCAAATCATGTTACAGCTTCTAGCCTGAAGTTTAAAATTTCAAAGCATAAACTGGAGATCCTTGAGGCTACTGTTTACCATAAGATGACAAGGGATGTTTATCTTTGATCATAACATTTACTCCTTGAAGCATAACCTTCCAAAAGGAGCTTTGCCACCATTCAAAAGTTTACCAGTTACATCTAAAAATTTTCCTGAGTAATTTTCAATGATTTCATGTACTTGGTTTCCTTGAGAAGTTATCAAGCAATGTGATCATGTGTTTGGTATAAGTGAAAATAGCAAAATCAATCACCTACTTTAAAATTTTGTTATCATCTATTAATAATACATAATAGCAGGCTTCATTGTGATATTTTGTGTAGTGTATCTGGATCATGTTCACTCTCACATTTCTGCCTCTTTTCCCTCCCACTTTCTCTAATCTGAGTCTTCCTTTCAGCTGGTCACATTTATACTTTCATATCTTGTCAAAATTGGTAATTTTGGCAGGAGTAGATGTCACATGTAAGTTCACATGGCTGTGACTCTAAAGGAGATATATGATAAAATGCTCAGACAGCAAAGGTAGATAGTAGATGCTTTTTAACTGGCAAGGACTTAAAGGAGCCTAAGTTCTGTTTCCTATACTGTTCCTGGGTACCTAGAGCACCATTCCTCACATGTTGATATCAACTGAACTCCTATCTGGCACTTGGTATAATCCAAGTACTTTATACTCTTCCTAATTACTAAGAAATATAATCATCCACGTCCTCATTTAAGGGAGACTATTTCTGATGATCATTTTACAGATGGGGAAAACTCACTCAGGCACAGAGAACTGACACAGGCTTGTGATCATGTGACTATCTGACAGTAGAATGAGGATTTGAGCTGATTTCCCAGTCCCAAAGTGTATCATTCTGCCTTGCAGGGGGGCATTGCTCCCACACTTCTTCCCACATCTCTTCTCAGACACTGGCCAGACATTGTCACCCTCTCCACAATGACTCTGCAGAAACAAAAAAAATCAGCGTGTAAACTATTTGAAGTTACTGTAAACATAGCACTTAGTTTAGAATTAGCCTTGCCTTGTAGAATTCTCCAACCCCAAGAAACACTGAGACTTATTTAACAGAGGACAGAGGAATCATGGTCCCTATTATCATTTCACTTTTTTACTTGAACATTATTATGGCACACTACTACCTTAGGTTACATAGGCTGCCAAACATTTCTTGATTATGCTGGAGAATGATCATAAAACGAGGACATTTAAAAGTTCCCTCCTGCTCAGGAGTCCTGGTCTCCAGTTGTACCATCAGTCACCATTCTAGGTAATTGTGATGGGAATTTGCTGATGGATCTAGAGACTAATCACTGGAGCTTAATATGGGAAGATTATCCTAGATTATCTAAGTGGTTCAAAGTCCTTCAAAACAAGATAGGGAGGGGAAGGATCCCAAACATGGAGGATACTTTTAACTCTCCTGCTGTTGCTGAGAAAAAGGGACTTAGGTCTAGGGTAGAACCCCAGAAATCTAGGCAGTGTCAGCTGACAGTCAACAAACAGATCAACCTCGTGGCACCAACATGAATGACTGAGAACTGATTCTTTCCAAAGACTCCAGGTAACACACATTTCTACTATCTCTTTGATTGGAGCCCATTGAGACACATATTGGACTCAAGTCTATGAAACTATGGGTTAATAAGGAGGTCTTCCTTAACATCAGGTTTGCGGCCATTTGTGTTAGAAAAAAAAAAGGCTAGGTGGACTGGGGAGATGGCTCAATGGGTGTGGTATATTATTTATAATTTATTAAAGCTTACCTGAGGGTACAGAAAGCAAAGCTGGCTACAAGCCATAGAGCTAGGCAGTGATGATACAACTTTAATTCCAGAAGCCGTACTAGCTAGTCATAGAGCCAGGCTGTGGTGGCACACACCTTTAATCCCAGGACTCCAGAGACAGGCAGATGAATCTCTGTTAGTTCAAGTTCACACTGAGCTACACTAAACTGATCCAATCTAAAAGAGAAACAGCTCACACAAAGGAGATCTCAGCACTTGGGATCCCATGCCTTTAATCCCAGGATTTGAGAGGTATAAAAGGAGAACCAAAGAGCCTCATGAGGCAATTAGTCTCCAGCCACACTGAGGACAGGAAAAGATTCAGCTTCCAGTCAGGGAAGACAGGACCTCCATTTCAGTCTTGACAGAGATAAGAGCTAGTAGCCAGCTGCTTTTGTTTTCTGATCTTCAACTTGAAGCTTGAACCCCAATAGCAGTCTTTGGGTTTTTATTATTTGTGTTACAAGAGGATAAAACACCTTCCTTACAAGCATGAGGACTTGATCTCAGAGTCTCCAGCAACCACACAAAGTCAGCTGAGAACCTGACCTCAGAGTCTCCAGCATCCACACAAATTCAGCTGAGGACATGACCTCAGAGTCTCCAGCAACCACACAGTCAGCTGAGAACCTGACCTCAGAGTCTCCAGCATCCACACAAAGGCAGCACAGCAGCAGAGTACACTGTAACCCCAGTCCTGCCCGGCCCAAAGCAGGTGGATCCCCAGAGCTCTTTGTCCAACAGCTTAGCTCTGGGTGAGCTCTGGCCTCAGCAAGAGACCCTGTCTCAGAAAACAGAGTGATAAGAGAAAGACACTGATAATGACATGTACACACACATACACACAATATTTGAAATTCCTAACTTCTTTTAAAACTCTTAATAGGTAAAAACATTTATTTCTGCCCATTGATATGTTAATAGAAGTTATGTTGTTGCTGGTGATTTTGAGACAGACTTTTTGTGTGTTGTCCAGGATTACTTCAAACTGGTCTCAGACCTCTTACTCAACCTTTCAATAACTGAAACTACAGACTTGTGTCACTATGCCTGGATTATAGCTGCTAATGTTTTCCAAATGCCTCTGATTTTAAAACCTTTACAATTTGATAATTTATTTGAAAAGATCACTTTTTTATCCAAAATATCTTTTTATAGCAAGGTGGCTTATCTTCACTCAACACCTGGAAAGTGGACAGCAGCTAATCAAACAAATCCCAAATCTTTTCTATTCTGAAGCATTCCTCTGCCAGGATGAGAAACCTGACCCAGCAAGATTGATAGATGATGGTTAGAAATAGTCATTCTTCATGGTGAACATGGTTAGAAATAGTCATTCTTCATGGTGAACATGCATAGCTGAGGCCCTGACTGACGAAGGGTTCATTTTCAAACAGGGGCAAAATGGTAAGAGGTCGTTCACTCTGAGCAGGGACACCAACTTGGTGCATGGTTTCTTCATGGAAAAGATGTCCGCCCCTCCCTGGAAATGACTCATCAGTGAAAAGTGTGTAGAATGTCAAAGTATCCCTTATTTCCAGGGCACTCACTACTCTGACATCAGAAAACAAAGTGCATTTCATCTCAGTTAGACTTTGGATTCAGCCAGGGCAGAATCGTTTGTTACTTGGCAGCCAGCTCTGAGAAACTCTTTGTCTTTACTCTGGGATTTTAGATCTTCGGCTATTTCTCCTCAGAAGGAGATTCTCTTACTTCGCAGATGGATGAAGAAAATTTGGTTTTCCTTGTGTCCAGGAAACAGCGAATTGTGATTTCAGGTGATTTTTACATTTCCTTTCCAACTTAGTATGAGTTCTGATATTTTTCTCAAGGCTGAACTCTGGGAACACACTATTCCAGAAGAATCACCTTTCATTCTGTGTACTCAATCAGTTCCTCACAAGTTCCAGTTTGGGTTCGGTTCCCAAAGAGTCTGTCTCAGTTGAAACTAAAAGGTCACCCTCACTCTGAAAGACACATAGAAAGAAGTGAGCACGTGAAGAGGCTCAGGCCTCCTGTTAAGTCTCTTTGATGGCATCCTATGAGCATGTGTTCCAGAGTCACCAGAAGGAACTCCATGTCTTTACAATACTCTTGAAGACTTTGCAAGGGAAGCTCCTCCCAACCTGGTACCCTTGATTCTTCTGTAGACAGTTGCCCTGATACTGAGTTTAAGCTGGTCATGGACAGGCATTAGCTCATCTTAGGACCTTTCCAGCTTCCAGGTGTTGTCGTTTCCACCCTCAAATTGACCCTGGAACTTGGGTACTCCCATCCCTCTGCAACCTCAACACTTTGGGTTCTCTTCCTGATTCATTCACTCAGGGTGGGCAAGGGTCAGAGAAGAGGTAAAACCAAGAGCCTCTTCCATTCCATTCCATTCCATTCCATGTTTTGAGATGAAGGGAACACACTAGGTTGAGTGTGGTGTTCCTTTAACAAGTGCATCTCTGAGTAGGGATGAAGCTCAGCTGGAATAGTTATCTACAGTGTGGGTCAGATGCCTGAATGCCAGGGACACTGCAGTGAAGTAGCAGACACACATCCCCAGTTTCATCTGTTATTTTCTCTAATGCGTGCCCCTGCTACCTAGAGTACAGAATCTGCTCATGTCTGTTCTTCTCTAAGTGTTTGCAATGATAAAAATTACATCACCACGAGCAGACCATGGTGGTGCACACTTGTAATCCCAGCATTTGGGACAAGAGGAAAGCCATGAGTTCAAGATCGTCCTGGGCTATACACCAAACTAAAATCCAAAAAACCAAGTTAACTCACGCTGAGAAGTATTGCATGTACATCTTTGTCCTTCATCCCGAAGGTAGGCACAGGAGCATCAAAGTATCCAGTGTTGTTTTCCCAAATGTACAAAATGATCTTAAAAGCCTTCAAATAGCATTAAAGTAGTTTGATTCTTTTATGATGGAAAGCTTGAGATCCTGTTAGAACCTTAGTCTGTGATGGTTACACTTTAAAGAAAATACAGAGAAGAAATGTGAAAAACCTCAAAGTAGAAATGATTCTACATGATGTGAAATTTGCTCATAGTGGTGTGTGTGTGGGGGGGGTGTGGGTGTGCACACGTGCGCTCGTGCACACATGCTGAGATGAGTGTTGGAGTGTGGAATTACAAGTTGTTTGGGAATTCATGCACCATAATTAGCCAAAAAGTTTTATATTCATATTATGTCTGTAGGGATAATTAAAAACCAAGCAGTAGTTGCAAGGTTTTTTTTATAGTTTTATTCTAAGTTTTGAGTAACTTGGGGCTTCTAATAAAATACTGGCTGCCTTCTTTTTCTTGTTTTAGATCAATAACAAGTGAGTTTTAGAAACTCTGGAAGTTGACATTAATCACGTGCTTTTGACAGGTAGCAGAAGACGAGATGTGATCAAATGCATTGTGAAGGTCCCACAGTTGGATTTATTGATAACTGCATCTCAGAAAGGATTGATAACAGTCTTTAACAGTCAGGTAATTTGAAAGCATGCCCTCCCTTTTCTCTTCCCATGTTTTATCTGTGCATTACCCAAATGCTTCAGAAAATGCAACATTTCAGTATTATTAAAAATATAAAATATGGGGATCACTGAGCCCTGGGATGATTGCTACATTTGGTATTGTTTCTCAAGAGTGTATAGTGAGTCATGTGGCATCCACCATAGAAAGGGTTGATCCGGATATTTTCCCAGATCAATCTCTGAACATATGCCAGCCAAGTAATAGAAGATGCTATGAGGATAGTAGACTTGGAAGAGATGAAATGTCTCAGGTGTCCCTGGTTTTCTGGGATGCTGAATAAGGAATTTCATGGGCCTTTTGTCTTCACATTGGGATAAATGGACAATATGAAGATCAAATTCAACGATGAAGTAGAAACCTTAATGTTTCTAAAGAATGTGTGATGGCGTGTCCTGTATTCTTCACTGTGAAAACAGGAGATGCACTCTTGCTATTAAATACACAGAGTAAAGACTCAAAGTTCATTTTTTAACTGAAGACAATGATGAGCATTTTTATATAAGAAAAATATATTAGAAATAATCATCATTTCCAAAATCATTTTTAGTCCTTTAGTAACACTCAGCTCAGGGAGTTTTCCAGAAGATCATAGCTAGGGAGGTGAGATTGTTAGCAAAGAGCCTTCAGGCTACTGGACTTTGGTATGTGGACAGAGTCAGCAGCTTTGGTGTGTGGACATAGTCTGTTGTCCAGCCTCCTACAGAAATAGCTGGGTGTGATATTTAATGTCTCTAGATCCCAGGTCTCATCCAGAGCAACAGACTTTCCTCCCCACATTATTGTGCTGGCTAAAGGAGTGAATGCATCTAATGTGCTAGCCTCACTGTGAGCACCCAGAAAATCCTAGCTATTAATATGTTTTAAAAATAAGATCAGAGAACTGGTCTCTTTTTACACAAAACCCTTCTCCATCTTTTTCTTTCTTCCCTAAGAACATTAGTTCTCTTCTCAATATGCACCTTTGTACCTTCAAAAATTGGACTAAGATGGCATTGTAAAGGAGTCCTTGATTATAAGAAAGTGAGATTTCTTTCTCTGGGATTCTTCACAGTCACCTCAAACCAAAACCATAGAGAAGTTTATAGTTGAGCTCATCGAACCCACAGCCACACAGAAAGTCACCTCAGTTTCTTATAACATGACAGGATCCTAAAACAGAAAGAAAAAAATAAAGGAAGAAAGAGAAAAAGGGAAAAGGAAGGAAAGAAGTGACTGGAAGGGTTAAGGATATGGCACTTGTCATACAAGCATGATCACCTGAGTCCCAAGTACTCAGATAAAAATAGTGTATGTGGCCTCATGTGTCTGCAGCCATGACGATGGGTATGTGTGTGGAGTAGGGGGAGGATTAGAGACAGGCCGATCCTGGGAGCTTACCAGCCAGCCAGCGTTGCTGAGCAACGTGCAGAGCTTCAGGTTCAGAGAGAGACCCTGTTTTAAGGAAGTAAGGTTTCTTCTGGCTCTCATTGAAACTACAGTCATCCTGATGCTGCAATTAAGGCAGCAGGAGCTTGAAGCAGCTGCTACCAGTTGCTAGGTGTCCGAAAAGAACAATGAATGCTACTGTGCAACTTGCTTTTGAAATTTAATGTAGTCCAGTATCCCCACCAAGGGACTGGTCCTGCCCAGGTGGGACACCCCAATTAGCCTAGTAAAGACAATTCCACATGTACATTCTTGGAGGAGGCAAACCTTAACGTAGATCATCACTGTCAGCTGTGCCCATCTTCTAGGAGATTGTTCGAGCTGAGGACGCTAACTACCACGGGCAGTAAAAGAGGAAATCACAGTGCTCTATCCCTACTGTTACACATCTTCCTATCCAGAAATAAGACCCCTAGTGGAAGGCCCCTTGGCACTCTTCTGATGAAAGACAGTCTGTGGCTCCCATGAAAAACAATCCCAGAGCTCTACCTGCCCTACTTTTTTTTTTTTTTTCATATAACTGACTGCTTCAGGGAAGCCATCCCCAAGTCATTTACCATGACCTTCTGAGCATGCCGAAGAGATCTGCCTCACTGGAATGCCTTAGCTGCTTGCCTTTATCTTGGCAACAGGCATCATGAGTGCAGAGTGTGAGAGACACTGCTGCGTACTAGGTCTCTGCACAGGACATATCTGACACTTAGCCCGCTGCCTGGGACACCATTAGAGATGCTTACATGGAGGGCCACTAAACAGGATGTGCTAAAGATATCCAGTAACTCGGAGAGAAGTCTCAAATGAAGCATGCTGTAGTTTCCTACATTGTCACCATGTCCTATTGCTCCATTTAACACTCCTTAGCCTCTCTTGTCCTTGCTGTATTATTTTGCGTTTCTAACTTGTGATGACAAATGTGGCTATGAATAGCTTTAACAATGAGGTGTGTGCATGTGGAAGGAACATAATAATAATAATAATAATAATAATAATAATAATAATAATATCACCAAGAGATAGTCACCATGGCTCAGCACCAACCGTAGAGGTGGAAGTCTTGTTCCCTGCAAACCGAGTTGTGTTACTTGACAGCATTAGGTGAATCTGAGGAAGAAGTCGGGAGGAAATTCTCTCAGCAAGTAAGATGACAAGTGAGAGCAAACCAGGGAGATTGTGGTGTGTTACCATAGCTTTCTTATTCTTTACTAAAGATTGTAACTCGATTTCATCTTTACTCACAGATGAGAATTCAGACCAGCACCAATGTTACAGTAAGTACGCTAAAAGATTTCCAAGTAAGTCAAAGTTAGGGCTGTGGTGATGGCTCTTCCGCAGCTGCTCAGAAATTGCAATCAAGTGCCTGCTTGAATAAAGGACTAGAGAAATGGCCGAGGGGGTAAAGTGATTGCTATGTAAGTATGAAGACTTGAGTTTGAATCCCCAGGACCCAAGTAAAGCTGGCCATCTTAGTGTGTGTCTGTTAGCCCTGTGCTCATATGAGGATAAGATGGGAGGCGGAAACAGGAGACAAGCAGGAGGCTTGCAGGTCAGCTAGGCTGCTATATGCAGCATCGAACAAGAGACTCCATAAGGGAGGTAAGGACCGACACTTGAGGTTGTCCCATGTCCTCCACATATACATCCTAACATATGTTTTACTGAACTCACACACAAACACACACCCTACACAAAGGTTCTAAAACCCGGTTAAAAAATTGATATTTCAATATTGTGAGTTTACATTTATTGACTAGGCTCAAAACTAAGCCTTGAATAACAGCAAAGACCCAAGAGTTACTTCCTAGAGTTTTGCTATCTGCAGAGAATTGCCGGGAAACTAGTTATTTCTTGAATTTTAATGAAAAGTGTCTGAGTTTTAATTAAACATTGTTTTAAAAAATTGACACCCCAAGTTATGAGACCAACATAATTTGGAAATAATTTGAGAGCATTTTCAATGTGAAGGTTGCCACAAATATTCGAGTGCAATTTTGTAATTATTATTGCAAGTCGCTAGTCTTTACAGTTACCTTGCAGCAGATGGAAAGCTGCGGTGGTTTGCTTTCCAAACCATCCCCACTCTGAAGATTTTTGAGAGATGGGGTGGATGCTGGAGGTTTGTTTTCTTTGTTTTGTTTTATCCCTGTTTTCATGTACCCAATGAATTCACCAAACTACCAAGAGACAACACACTACTGGGTAAAGGAGCCCTGGTTCTCGTTAAGCTTCTCAGACTCCATTTCTGTAATGGAACAAACCTGTTGGATTCCTGGTTGTTTTATGGAAGATTCATGTGCTCATAAATTTCTGACATCCCAGGCAATCCAGGCTGCTGTTCCTGTTGATGCTGTAAAAGCTTCCAGACTTGAGACCCAGGAAAGACCGTGGGCCTCAGCCTATGATCATTTAGATTGCTGATCACTAAGGGCTTTTCTAGTGGACAGTGTTAGCAGGCAGCAGGGCTGGAGCACTGGCTCAATCAGCGCTCTGGTTCTAGTCACCTCTTGTTCATGTAAACAAATGGTCTCACTGACGCCAAAGCTGGCTGCTCCTCCAGCTGTCCTGCTCTTCTAAGGAGCAATGCCCACACTAGATGAATCAGTCTCCAGATGGTGGTACTGAGAACAAGGCGGGATGGAGGGGCCCTTTTCCTGGTTTTATGCCACTCCAAGGAGATGCACTGTAGGCTTTCCTGCCACTTGAGATTTCTAGTGTCAATAACCTGCTTCCTGCTATCCAGCACCTTGAGGTAGAAGGAAAAGCATTGTGATTCCCAATCCCCTCTATCTTACAGTACTGGAGACTAAACCTAGGGCCTGGTGCACGCTAGGCAAGTGCTCTGCCACCTGAGTGTCATCCTTAGTCCCATAGCCTCTATGCCTTTCTATCAGGATACCTCCTGGATCACGGGCTGTGATTACCTGGGCCAGCTTAAGCGAATCGTTGCCACTACCGAGAGGACCATTATCGTCTGGGATCACAAAGCTCAAGGGAGTAGCCAGGTACTGTGTGGAGGGAAATGATACAAAGAAATGAGACTGAATGTTCAGTCACTGTCAGGAGAGGAGCCCAGCCGCAGTGTAATGAGTACCTGCTAGAATGTGAGAGAAGTTACTAAGTAACCACTTAAGATGGAGTTCAGCCTCAATACCCGGTATTGAAAGACGAATGCAGTTTTCTTCTAGTGCTTCATTCGGGTCTCATTTTGTTTTCAGTTTTGAGAGGGAAAGGTGATTCTCTTAGTTTCTGCTGTTGCTATTGGGTTTTAGTTTTACGTTGTTTTCTGAGGTTGAAAGGCAGTCTCTCCCCACACCGCTCATTCTACTCTTCACTGGCACTCGTGACTCCAGGCATCCTCCTGCCGCCACATCAGACTCGTTTGCTCTTTCATATCCTTCTACAAATCCAAGCATTTTCATTTTGGTTATGCTTGTTATCAAGTGCAAAGCCTTTCTCTCCAGCCCAGCATCTGCATGGAAGAGCAAGAGTCTCATAGGATTGCGGCTGACTCGGAAACCCTTGTCTCAGAACGCTAAACCCCGGGGCCTGGACTTTGTGCTCTCTGGTCAGGTTCTCCTGTTTGCGCACTTCATTTTTAACTCGGAGAAGCCTCTTCCTTATCGCTCGGTCCTCATGAGTCTCTCCTTCCTGCCTGCAGGCTAGGTGGGACATCTGGGCACCAACACAATCTTTGACCCCTGCTGGCTTCCAGCTGTAACTTGGGAAAATATTTTCTGTGCTTTCTGGTGTACATGGTGGCCCGGCACTCCTGGGGACATCATCACAGAACAGAATCCGCAAGTTCAGCTGAGCTGTCTGTGGTTCCCCCTAACCATCATTTTGGCTTTACCAGCTTGTATTCCTCACAGAATTCCACCATTTTCCTGTTCTCCTCAGGCTCCCTCCCTCCTGCTGGAGTCTTGCTTCCTCTTCTTGCCTCCCCCTCCCTTCTCTCCTCCCCCTCCCCTTCCCTCCCTCCCTCTTGCCCTCTCTGAACACCCTTGTATCTGTCTTGGCAAACCAAGGCTCCTCCATTTCCCCCTCTTCCCTTTTTGACATTAATCTGTTAATCTGGAGCACCTTCCCCTCTCCGTCCTATTTATCTTTCTTTCCTCCAGTTTAGGTCCCAGCCAAAGGTCACCCCCACCCTACCCCGCTACCACCTCTGCCCATGGAGCCTCCCGGGTCAACGGCACTGGTCTAATATGTATGTGCTGCACCTCACTCGCATCTCACTCCCTGTCCTCTCTTCTTGCAGGGTTGCTCTCACAGAGCGGAAATCTCTGTCCAGCCCATCTTGTACAGCCATGCCTGGAATAATGTTTGGCACCTAGTTACTGCTCACTACACATTAACTGTCAGCCTAGGGAACCTCTAAATATATCAACTCTCACTCCTTCTGAGGAAATGGAACCAATAACAAATACCTTTATCTACTCTTCTTCTATCATAGGACAATGAGTTCTGGAAAAGCAACAATAACTACCTAGCTTAGTGAGCCCATGTAGTGGTACAGAATCAGCTTGTAAGTGTTTGTTGGATATTTATGGATAAACTTGGATGTTAGAACACTTTTCTCCTGATAATTCCATATAAAATCCATGAGCATTGCCTAGCATGGATGAGACTCTCTTGAGTTCAACCTCCAGGATTCCATAAACCAGGCACAGTGGCAACACACTTGGGATCCCAGCACTTATGAGGGAGAGGTTGTGGGGGAGTTAAGGTTGGTCTAGAACACATAGTGAGTTTGAGGTCAGCACAGTATTTCCAACGTCAAGAGAAGGCACTCGAGGTTGCAACTCCTAAGATCCGGTACACATCCAGCCAGAGAGTAGCTCTCCTTTCCTTAAGGAACAGCCAAAAGCATTGAGCTGGGCTTACAGCTTTAATGTTTATTTGATTAATTGTTGCATAGGTTTTCCAAGTTCCTGTATCACTGTTGGATCTAAAATGAGAAGCCAAACAGAAACAATACATTAATAATAAAGAAAATTTTTTCTTCATCTTTCTCCAACCCGTGTGTGTGTGTGTGTGTGTGTGTGTGTGTGTGTGTGTGTGTGTGTGTGTCTGTCTGTCTGTCTGTCTGTCTGTCTGTCTGTCTGTCTGTGTGTTTGTGTGATACCAGGGATGGAACTGGGCACCTCATGAATATTGAACGGGTGCTCTGCTACTTGCTACTGAGTTAAACCACAACAATGTGCATCACTTAGAGTGTAACTAATTCCCGATATTCCTATGCTTTCAGGAGCACTATTTTGTCATCAAGCCCATGGACCACTGCCTGCTGTGTGTGTGTGTGGTGCCCCTCCCTGACCAGCTCTGCAGAGATGACATCCTCCTGGGGGATGATGGTGGATTTGTGAACAGGTTCACTGTAAACAGTGACGACTTTGGATTAAAGCAGGCGAAAACAAAGAAGAAATTACAAACCCAGGTCCTAGACTCCAAAAACTTTAAAAGGTAAAGACATCACATGAATAATTCTCCTTGGCTCTAACAATTATGGATATTGTTCAGTTCTGTACACATACAATGAAATGGGTTGCAAGACCCACAGTTCTTTTGAGGATCAAAGCCATGCCTAATCTAGACTTGGAGGAATCCGCCTATAGTTCCAGTTTCTGCAGGGCAGTATCAGAAGAATAATGAATCTGAGGCTAGCCTAGACTATACATGGAATTCCAGGCTAGCATGCATTACACAGCAAGATGTTGCTTCAGTAAAAAATTTTTTTTGGTTTTTCCAGACAAGGTTTCTCTGTCCTGGAACTAGCTCTGTAGAGTAAGCTGGCCTCTGCCTTCCGGGTGCTGGGACTAAAGATGTGTGCCATCAATGCACAGCTGTTTCACTAAATTTAAAAACAAAAGAAAATAATACCAGTCTTATCTCAAGAAACTTCCAAGATAATAAGGAAAGCATAATCGCAACTGAAATTTAAGTGTCATTGGCAGTTAAAATCTTTAAGTATCTGATAGGTTGAGTTAAACTTAAAAGTGACATGATAAAAAACCCACAAAATATATACTTTTGTATATTTATGACTACTGCCTGGCAATTGAATAAGAAAGTTTCTAAGCATAAAAGTAATAGATTCAGATTATAAAGAAAATAATTTGATAGATTTGACTGTATGGCAAGTTAAGTTTCTTAGACTTCAAAAGAATAAATTTAAAAAGTATAATAGCATGCAATAAATATTTGTTATAAATATGAGAGACAAGATGGCACTCCTTAATAGATGTCAGAGTTCAATTAAAAATTTCTCCTGGGCTGAAAGGATAGCTCAGTAGTTAGGAACACATACTGTTCTTGCAGGGGGCCTGTCCAGTTTGCCAGTGCCCGTGTTGGGCAGTTCAAAGATGCCTGTGATTTCAGGTCCTGGCACTCTCTTCTGCCCTCAGTTGGCACTTGCACTCACATGCACCCACACATAGACGTACACGTCTATTATTTTAGTACTTATTTACTTGTACTGTGTGTACACACACGAATCATCTGATCATGACCTATCCTCAGACAGTTGTTGCTGCGATGAATTAATATTAGCTCTGTTGCTGTCACTCTAAGAGTAAGTCAGGAAGACAGATCCATTTCCTACCCTCTCCATCTGGGCTGTGTTATGTAGTCCCTGTGTGGTATTGCTGCCCTGTACACTGTGGGTTCCTTGTTTCAGTCATGATAGACCCAGATAATAAAACCTTTTCTCCACAAAGAGGTGGGCCACTTGTCAGAAAGGACCATGATCCATGGTCAATTAGACAGACATGTCAGAAGTGAGAATGGGGTGGGGTGGGAAGAATTTGAAGACTCTAGGTATGGTTGAATGGATATGATCCTACTGCTTCCTGAGAAGGATAATTTATACCCACACAGTCACTATGCCATCTACTGAAACCTTTTAAGTATAGAGGCAGGAGGAGTGTTGAGGAATTTCTTCTGTCAAGAGATCCTAAAACCTGATTGAAGGGAAAACAATAAGATGAGAAGGACAGTTAAATTTGTGTCCATTATAAAAGTTTTACTGAAGTTGACCATTCTCAGAATTTGTTCATTTTGAGTCAGTAAAGATGTGGGCAGTAAACACCTATATATGGAACCCTGCACAGATTAGAGGGTTAGCCAGTCTCAAGAGTTCAGAATTAAACAGAATCTAGGATGGGGAACAAACTCCTCTCCTTTACTGTGCTCCCTTCCGTGCTGCACAACAATGATACCTACAGTCACAAATGTGTCTGTTCTTCTATTAGAAGACATGTGATACCCCAAGTCCTATGCTAATCACATGTGGATGCTCAGAATTTTTTCATCAAAGTAAGGATAAGATGGCCGATAGGACACTGAGATCCTCTAGATTACTCTTCTTGTTGCTTGCTTCCTTCCTTCTTCCCTCCCTCCCTCCCTCCCTCCCCCCCCTCTCTCTCTTGTCATTGTGAGAAAATAGCTGGTAAATTAGTGTAGGGAAGGAAGCTTTATTCTTCCTCTGGGTTTAGAAAGGATACAGTCCAATAAGACGAGGCATGCATGCTGGTAGTACTGTGCTCACTTGCCACACATCTTCTGTCAGGAAGCAGAGGACAATGAATGCTGACACTCATGGTTTTATTCCTGGATTCCAGCCCATGGAATGGTGTCACCCACATGCTTGGTGACTCCTCCTTCCTCAGCTAAACCCCTTTCACATCATGTCTAGAGTTTCGTTTCCTAAGTGATCCTACATCTAATCTGCATCTCAAGATTTAGCAAGAGCCTTATAAGTTATTTTTAATTTTAAACTTGCTGGATTGAGACCAGTTAAACAGCTGAAAACGGTGTGATGCATAGGGTTACAGTGTGCCTGCAGACTTAGCAAAGCTCGCAGTTACAATTTGATTCGACCCAAATGAAATGCTAAGTAGAAAAACACTTGTGTATCTAGCATAACCTACACCCCTTTTCATTCCCAGTGTTAAAAGGAAGCTGCATAATGATTGGGTTATGAAAATCAGATACATTCCAACTCTCAATTGCTTTGGATCCTGCTCCTTAGACAGTGTCCATTCATTAGTTCTGGAATCCTTGAAGAGACTTGAGGACAATTTGTAAGTAACAACAGTTTATCTACATGAGCACTCTGGGAGTCCCAGCATTTTTACAGCACTTGTACCCAATTGTTGTTTAGTGGGGACTGGGGATGTAGGTCAGAGCTGGAGCACATGCTAGCATTTGTGAAACCCTGGCTTCCATTCCCAGCGCTACAAAGAATTGTTTAATAGTCTAATGAATTGGAATAAGTTATAGACCTGTATCTATATGTTAAGCTTTTATTTTGTTGGTTAAAGTTTATATTTCAGAATCATTTTAGCTAGCCAGCAAACTATGCTTATGTTCTGTGTGTAGCCAATCATATCTTATCTATCATAAACATGCCAGCTGGTGTTCTCATAGAATTGTAAGTTTGAGTAATATCTGACTCATTTTCAATCTGGTTAAATAGCTCCTAAAAACTAGTTATGGAATTTTAATATTTTTTTACATTTTTTAAAATTTATTTTTTTACATTCCAATCCCAGTTCCCCTTCCCTCCTCTCTCCCCATTCCTCCCACTTCTCCCCGACCCCAACTCCCATCTGGGCATTTGAAGTTTTAAAGTCTTTAAGATATTTGATATAGCAGATAAACTTCAGAAACATTCTAAGGGACAGAAGATGGGTAAAAGTTTCACATGTTCTGTAATTCCATTTATTTGACATGTCTCAAGGGACAGATTTATAGAGACAAAATGTACATCATTGGTTGCCTAGGGCTGATGACAGGAGCAGGAACCTCAAATGGGTTTCTATTGCTATGATAAAACATTATGACCCAAACCAAGTTGCCCCAGGGAGAGTTTATTGCTTCTTACAGCTTGCAGTCCATCTTCCAGGAAAATCATGATAGGAACCTGGAGGCAGAGACAGATGCAGAGACCATGGAGGATGCACTTTACTGGTTTGTTCCATATAACTTGCTCAGTATGCTTTCTTATACACCCACAGGACCACTTGCCACAAAATAACTAAAATTAAAAAATAAAGTCCCATAGACAGGGAGCTAGGCAGACTTCCCAATAGGCAGCTAGATAGAGAGAAGGACTGTTACTAGGTGAGTATATCATATAACTTTCACAGGTATATGAATTATAATAAACCTGTGTAACAGTACATTGTTTAATTCGTTTTCAATAAGTTTTATGCTGCCTAGTTTCATATAGGCTTGACACACATTAGAATTATTTGGGAAGAGGAAACTTCAATTGAGAAAATGCTCCCATTAAATGGGGTTGTGGGTAAGTCTGTGGGACACTGTTTGTTTGTTTGTTTGTTTCCTTCCTTTCTTTTGCAGTTGGAGAAAGGTTGTTATTAGGGGTTTCTCACCCATAATTATGAGTTTGAGTATTACCTGCGTAATATTCAATCTGGTTAAGTATTTCCTAATAACTTATAAGCAAGAAACAACAGTATGTGTGTGCCTGCACACACACATAAAATTTCCCAGAAATGATGCAAACAAGAGAGTAGCATGAAATATTTAGTGCTAACAACAACAACAAAAAAAAGCAAAACCATCCAAACAAAAGCAACCAGCCTGGAATTCTGTGAGCTTTATTTTTAAAATTATTCTTCAAATATTAACAAGTACCAAGGGCAGTAGGGCATTCCCAGAATTTTTGGCAGAAAGACCAGAAGTTCAAAGTGATGTTTGGCTACCAGCCAGTTTCAGGTCAATCTAGGATACATGAAACCTTGTCTTTAAAAAACGGGGAATAAAAATAAAGAATTAAAACTTTCTCAGACAACCAAAAGTCAAAGGAATTTGTTGTGAATAGGCCTGCTTCCCAGGAATACTATGAGAAGTTCTTCAAAGCACGAAAATGACTATGTCAACATCTTGGAGCATGTGTGCACATATATGTGCTTGTGTATGAGTCAAATAACAATGAGAGCAATAAACAAAGGATTGGAGAGAAAATTGGTATTGTTTGTCTTTATAAATTGCTTACACACTGTGAATTTGTGTACTATGTATACAACAAACTCCAGTGTAACCTTAGGAAGAAGAAGAGGAAGGATGGGACTAGAAGGAAATAGTTGCAACTTAGAGAAGCAAAACAACAACCATGAACATTAATGATGAGAAATGAGCCAGACACAGAAGTGCAGACATTCATAAACACAGAAATTAAGCTACACAAAGATCAAAAGAACAAAAAGTGAAAATGCGTAAGATGTTCAGTGAAAGTAAAGAAATAAAGAAAAGGAGTGGGAGACAAAGACAGGAACAAACCACAAGGGCAGTGAATAGAAAATAATAATTAACACAGTAGATACAAATCTAATATCAACCATCACTTCAAATGTCAATAGGAAATGTCACAGCTAGCAGATGGAGATGATCTGATGATAAAAAGAACCAAATGTATATTGCTTACAAGAAACACATTCTTAATATATGTACTTAATATATGTATCATATATTAATAAATAAAATTAACATATACATAATAGGTGGAAAAGGCAAGTCAAACACAAAAACAACTTCTAAACTAAGTTTAAGTAAAGGAATAAGAATTAGAAATATAATAGAGTAGACTATCATATTTCTCAGATGATTAATGACCTTACATTTCCTTAAAAAAACTGTGGACTTCATGAAAGACCCACATTTTGTATTCATTACTTAGAATCTGAAATGTTTATTTTGGTCTATAATATTATCACATTGAAAGGTGAATTTAAAAACTTCATGGCATATTAAAAGTAATTTCATTCTCTGACTCTGGACCAAGTTCCACAAATATCATTTATATGATGCAGTTACTTATAGTCTTATTTAGTTTCTGTACATAATTAATTGCAAATGAGTATATACTGATGTTTAATAGAAGTACATTTATGAAACACAAATTAATTAAGAAATGGGTGCAATTGTATATCAAGTTTGATTTTATCCTGTGCTGACAATTCATAACATGTCCATAGCCATGGAGAACAACTCTGGCTATGCATTGTGAAACATATGTGCCTTGACCCATAGGAGTTGGGTCCTGGAATCTTGGCTAGGGGTGGTGAGGGAATGAAGACAGGATTAGCATAGAGGTACATGTACAATAAAGTTGGGATCAGGTAGGGTTCTCTAATACTACCAGCACAATCTGGAACCTTAGTTTATTAGTTTACAGCACATGAAGAGGGATTAGCTAGTCTTGGTAGGGGGACCCTGTAAATGATCAGTCTTAGGCTGTAAACATCCAGGAGAAGGATGATGTCTTTGCTAGTCTTTGTACACACAGATCTGTCATTCATAAACACTCATACATGGACTCCCAAGAAAAGCTTTGCCATTTCTTTTTATTCTAGGTAATGGCTTTGTCCATTTCCCATGGGTCAACTGGTCTGGGAATCCTTGACAAGCTATGCCTGATTCTTAGACTTGCATACATATTCATTAGCTTAACAGAGATACTTCATAGCCCCTAAAATTCAAATGGTTATATAGGAACCACCCTTCAAAATATACCTATTGTAGTTTATTACATTTTGTTTGGTGATATCAGTACCAGAAGGTACTGTGCAAAATTCCAAAGAAGGGCAATTAACATTCTATAAAGCCGATGAACCACAATAATGACCAGCATGGTACTTAAAACCCTAAGAGTGTGATGAATAGCTCACATACAATGACAGTAACCAACAATTCTTTAATTTAACTTAAAAGTCACACAACAAGGATGAAACCATGCATAGTACTGAAAACCTAGCCAGATACCAAGAGCTAGTAAATTCATGGATTTTGGAGAAGAACCTACAAACACTACTTTACTAAGCCAGCAAAATCCATAACTTCTAAATGCCTGTCCTTATACCTCACATCTCATCAAAGAAAGTTCTTTTTGCAACAAACAAAAATCATTACAGAAAAACCACAACCAATAAATATGCAGAATTGTGGAGCCTAGTCCCAATGGATACATCTATAAAACAACTCCCACACATAAGGTTCAGGGAACATTTCAGATTAGGGGGTAGAATGATTAAGAGCCAGAGGATCAGAAATTATGCTGAGGTCTCATCTCCTAGGAATGTCAGAACCCATGAAGCCTCACCAACATGACTGCCTAAACGTGAGCTAAACACGAAAGATACAAATTGACATATCAACCCTACACAAAGAGCTGGATGCAGCTAAGGGATACTGAGAGTAGGAAAAACAGTATTCCCTGGGGACACGCACACCAATTGGTTGTCCAATACCAAAGGGTCTGATCCTTAAACATACAAATAACATCATAAGACTGTAACAGGATGTATTTAGAAATATCTGTGTATATACATAAATGTATGTAATGACAATTAGTGTAAAAAGAAGCCATGAATTTGAAAGAGCAAGGGGGTCTATGTGTGGAAGGTTTGGAAGAAGGAAACGAAAGGGAGAAATGATCTAATTATATTAATTATAATATAATATAATTATAATCTCAAAAATAAAGGAAATGCTTTAAAAAAGACTAATTCTGTTGTCATGGAGCTCATGCTCTTGTAGGAAAGGCAGACAATAAACAAATAATATGAATTAAGTGATGGAAATGAAGTAGCATTGGGGTGGAAGACAGTGGGAGGCAGTGTTGTGATAGGACAGTCAGGAAAGGCTGTTCTTAGGAGATCATTGCTTAAGCAGAGATCTTCATGAATGGAGGACTCACTTTTGCAAAGATCCAGAGATAGAGGTTTGGTTTTTTTTTAAATCTCAGATCAGATGTTGATGTTATGTCAGAGAAAATATGATCTTATAGCTAGCAGGATTCTAGGCAAAATAAATAGTTTTGTGTGTGGCACAGGAGTATGTGGTGACCTTAAGAGTTGATTTAGTAATATTTTCACATTCTTATTTTTGTTACCCTTATTTTCCATTTCTTCACACACATGCATGGGCATACAAACACAAACTTTCTGCTCTAGGAAACTTAAATTCCTATGCTGCCTAGTATCCCACAGACCTGGTCCTTAAAAGTCATAAACAGATTACCTGGAAGGTTTAAGCCTCCAACCAACTGGTGTACTGTGGTGTTTGGTGCAAAGGGCATCTCTTTCACAATAGTCAGGAGTCCGCCTTCCAGATGGATTCTGGACCTCCTGACATGTACTGTCTCTTTTGAAATTTGGTAGGTGGTGATTGCATCTCCGCTGATTACAGCTGGAGTCAGGAAGCAAGCAGATAAAAATACTCAGACAACCTCAGCAAACAGGGCTCCTTGATCCATCAGGTGCTCCAGGAACCTCTCAGCTGCTTGCTCTTCTCTTTCTCTCTCTTTCTCTCAGGTCACTCTTTCTAAATCTAGAAGCTGAAGAGATTTCTCAAGTGGTACTTGTGAGCATGTTTTCCTGGACTTCCATGGCCACCAGAGAGCCATCACAGTTGGGTTTCTCCATTCAGAATGCAACGTGTTTCTATTTCCTATTTCTGCAATTTCCTATAATGAGGCTTCAGATGACACTGTATTTATACAAATACATAATTGGTCAGCTGTTAAAATGGGAGTCAGCACATATCCCCAAAAAGGCAGGAAAGGAAACTCTCAAGAAATTTTCATTTCAGAAATGATTAGCATACTGGTTAAAATTTTGTGCAGGATTTTCAGAATTAGAGCTATGTACCAGGAAGCCGATGAATGTCTGCAATTAATTGCCACATAGCGTGCTGTCCTGTTGGCATATACAAGCTGAGCCTCTAACTCGGTTAGAGCCTGCCAGTTTCCCACAGGTGAGCAAGCAACTGCTTAACACGACTTTTTCTTAGTTGCTTAACTGAGAGGTAGAATATTACTGTGGAAAGACGAGAGTGGCATTCCATAAATTTGCTATGTAATGGGACAATACCAGTTTCTTCCCCCAGCACTTATTCTATGACTATTGATACAATTTAGCCTCAGTTTTACCTTCCTTGGATGGGAATGAAGACATTATCAGACATAAAAATCATTTAAATTAACTCTTGTGAAGTGCCTGGTTGGATGCCTGCAACTCTGAGTGCTGAATAAACTTCCATTCCCTTTTCTTGTTAACCCAAGAACTAAAGTTCTAAAAAAACATTTTTAAAAGACAAAATTGAATGCTATCATAGCCCTTCACTGCTTTGGGCTCCATGTTCCCATATCTAAAGCATGAATCAGGAAATAATAGCCCAAAGGCCAGCAGTATTCATAGCATTAGCAAACTAAGAACGGTTTTTAAATTTTTAAATAGTCTGTGTTTCTATTGCTGTTACAAGTACCTGAGATCAATCAGTATGAAAGAATAGGTTATTATAGCTCATAGTTTTGTAAGTTTCAGTCCACGGTGACTGGTGACTTAGCCCTATTAATTTTGGACTTGCTGTACCACATCATGGTGGCAGGGGTGGGGGAGGAGGACACATGGCAGAGTAAACTGTTCACTTACCTAATGGCAGTCATGAAGCAAAGCAAGGAAGAGCATCCTGACCTCCAGGTAGTGGCTTTGCCTTTCAATGGTTCTACTACCTCTTGATGCACCGTGACTTAGGGCTAAGTCTTTACATACATGTATATGTATATGTATATGTATATGTATGATTTAAATTAGAAACAATCTTAATTTACATATCAATCCCAGTTCCCTCTCCCTCCCATCCTTCCAGGCTCATCACCAGCACCCCCATCCTATCTCTCATCCACTCCCCAGGGAGGGTGAGGCCTTCCATGGATGATCATCAAAGTCTGTCAAGTCACTTGGGGGCAGGGCCTAGACCCTCACCTGTGTATCTAGGCTGAGAGAGTATCCCTCCATGGGGAATGGGCTCCCAAAGTCTGTTCATACACTAGGGATTAATACTGGTCCCACTCCCAGAGGCAGGGCTAAGTCTTTAGCCCATGGACCTCTGGGAAATGCCTAAACTAAAACAGGGATCATGGGGATTCTGTGACTCAGTGACTATCCTCTCAGTACTTATCATAGTTACTATGGACAAACAGATTTATAAGCAATTTAGAAAGGAGCCCATTAAACATAATCTATTTCTAAGTTGCAATTAGCATTTCACATCTAATTTTGTCTTCCAGGCCTGTCAGAGAATTTGCCATGCCAAGAGGAGCCAATACTTTCTGCTACTGCATTAAAGCAAACGTGATTGTGACTGGAGGTAAGTGGATGGCTCCCATCAGAGGTTGGGTTCCTCACAGGGCTCTCTTTGTGTTTTATGGCCAGAAATAACTTTCTAGAATAATTTAAATATTGTCTATTCCTTTTACTGCAGCTTCTGGGTGTTATGGCATACTTTAATAAGCTGTCCTTTGGGGCTAGGGAAGTCATGGGTCTTGGAGGAGAACCTACAATCACCATTTTTCTAAAACAGCATAATCCCTAAACTACATTCTAAACATTTGTCGCTATACTCGCAGCTAAGATTACTCCTCACCTCTTATCAAAGAAATTCTCTTTGCAAAAGATGGAGCCCATTGCAGAAAACCACAAAGTAAAAACGCAGAGCTGTGGAGCCCAGGCCCACATACTATATACTACTAAGTATGAACATCTGTACACTTCGTTATGATTTTGAATGAAAATGGCCCCCATAGGCTCCTCGGGAATGGCTCTATTAGGAGACATGGCCTTATTGGGGAAAGCTTGAGCATTTGAGGTTTCAGATGCTCAAGCCAAACCCAGTATCACTCTCTTCCTACTGCCTGTGGATCCAGATGTAGAACTCTCAGCTCCTTCTTCAATATCATGTCTGCCTGTATGTCACCATGCTTCCCACCATCCTGATAATTGACTAATCCTCTGAAACTATAAGTCAACCCCAATTAAATGCTTCCCTTTATAAGAGCTTCTGTGGTCATGGTGTCTCTTCATGGAATAGAAATTTTAAGATATTTTTATTTCAGGCCTAGGTAATCTCTGAAAAGATGAAGCTCATTTTTTTCAAGTTCATTGTACATTTTATATTTAAATTTATATTCCACTTTTATCGTATGGTTCATATACTATTTTAAATATTGTCAGTGGTCTAGTGGACAGAAAGCCCAATAATCTGCTGCAATGGAAGGTAGAAGAGTTAGGTTTAGTGATAGCCAGGCCAGCAGTAACCAGTATAATTTTCAATAGTCATTTGCATCCTCCCTGTTATTTTCCTTATCTGGTAGAATCAGGAAGTTGAACTGTAAGCATTCCAAGAGCCCTCTGACTTAAAATACTATTGTTACAGCTTTCAAAGACATTCTGAGGGGATGTCCTTGTAAATGCTGGAACTCAGCTTGTTACCAAATATTACTGGAGATATATATATATATATATATGCAGCTTTTTATAGAACAAAACTTTTTTATAGAATAAGGCATCTGTGGCTCCAATATTGTGAAAATTCAGCTAAAGGCATTAAGAAAAGAAAGGAAGGCACACAACTAGAAACATGTTTCCTGACGTTTAGTGGTGATTCTAAGAACACACAGGATTCTGATTCTCTCAACTGTGGTCTCATTACCCTGGCCATTAAAGGAGCTACTGCCAAGGCCTACATCACACACAGGAAAAAATGCTAGACCCCAGTACTTTCTAGACAGAAAATTGCATCATGATTTCTTAACCTCTGTAGTCTCTTCTGGAGTTGATAACTGTCTTGGCTTATCATTTTGGTAGAAATAGGCACACTTCCAAGCCTAGACTACAAGCCAGGAGGAAGTAGGGGAGAGTCTCCAGTGGCAATCACATTGTCTGGTAGATGAAACATTGAGCATACTGTGTTAATTAGCATTCCATTAATGTGATAAAATACCTGAAGCAATCAGTTTAAAAGGAGGGAAGGTTTATTACACTTCCAGAAGTTTCAGTCCCTGATGTTTTGGCCCTGTTGCTGTGGGCTTCTGAAGAGGCAGACCACCATGGCCAGGAAACACAGCAGAAGTGTCCAGTTTACCTTATGGAAGCTAGGAGGCAAAGAGAGACAGGAAGGGCCATGTTCCCAGTATCTCTTCCAAAGGCATTCCCTTAGTGACCTCATTTCCTTCCAGTGGGATCCCCCTCCCAAAGCATTAACCAGTTCTCAGTAGCAGTGCAAACTGGGCTCAAGGGAAACATTCCAGATCCAAACTGCAGCACATCTAAGAATCAAGCTGCAGTAGATTCTGCCCCGTCAAGGCATATCTGCAGTCAGCTTTGCATCCCATCCGACACAAACCCTTTGTCTGAGCACTATTCAAGTAGCTGGCCAAAGGAGCTGACTTCTAACACATGAATGACATTAACCTTAACCACCTCCTTGTGCTCACACACAAAAGAAAGCAAGACTTTATGGGTATCAGTTTTAGAATTGGTTGTAAGCTTAGCTTTGTAATCAATTCTAGGGAAAATATTTTGGGAATGTTTTGGGAATCACATGACTTTACTGTTGTAAATGAGGGTGTTGATGCTATTAACCTCAGTGTTATTCACAGTAGAAAATCCTTAACTACAGCTCAGAAATTATGGGGTTTGTGCTCATGGAGGCTAGCAAATGTGGAGTAGAATGACTGACAAGCTGCTCGTGCTTCCCAGTAAGCAGGACTTAATGAATTCCCACAGATGTGAAGACTCTAATGGGAGAAAATGCAAATTCTCAGTAACTGCAAACATCCCCTCCTCAGGACAATAGCCTTGTTGATGAGTGGCTCAGCCATGAGCCTCTCAACAGCATGTGCTGCTGCTGACTACAAACTTACAAGGGCTGTTCTGCTCAGCACAGCTGCCTGTGTTGAGTGTACCAGGACACTTGATGAGCTTAGTAAAAACAGGAGCTCTTCAGGAAGCAAACAAACAACATGGAAAACAAACAAATACCCAGCAGTACTGGGTACTTATGGGCAGTGGTGACACACACCTTTGAACCAAGCACTTGGGAGGAAGAGGCCTGCGGATCTACAGAGTGAGTTCTAGGGCAGCCAGGGCTACAAAAAGAAACCCTGTCTTGAAAAACCAAACCAAACCAAACAAACAAACAAACAAAAGAACTTACGACTGGGTACTTAAACCACCACCACCAACAACAACAACAAAATCTTTAAATTTTCTAAGCATTATTTGTTGACTACCACAATTTTTTAAACCTAATATTGTCTTCATTTATCATTTCAAGAATTAAGCATCTCATTTGGGATGTTTGAAGCATAAAAACCCAGGACTCCCAGGAGCACTACATGAATTTTTTTCATGTTATGTTCAGCAAATATCTTTATGTAACTGTTGAGAACAAGGAGCTAGGGATTGACCCATCAGGACGTGACCCTAACTTTCAAGAATTCAAAATCTAATAACAAAAGTAAAGCAATTCTAGACAGATCTAATACAAAGCAGATCTGAGTCAACAATTGATGGTGATGAAGTTAATACAAGAATATGAGTGAAGCACTATGTATATCTCAAGAGCTCAGTATCATGTGGCCTCATATGGCCTTTCTGCTCACCGTATGAGGGCTCTATTGGTGTCTAGTAGAGCCTGCTCTGGAGGTAGACAAGATGGTTTTCTCCACAGTGTACACAGGCAAAATTCGGGTCAAGAGACTGTCATGAAAACAATTGAATGTGTTGCAGTGTGATCAGTGAGCAACTAATTTTCACCATGCATAATCGTTTCAGTTGTTGTAGTTAATAAAGACTGTTAGTAAAAAGTGCAAGTTCTCAATAACTGCAAACATTGCCCCAGAGCAATAAATACTCTCTTATTGACTGGTAACTCAGCCAAGAGCCTTGCTACATGTACACTATGTACTGCTGGTAATTCATGCAGATGTCCTCTGTTGTACTCTTCTTCATGTGAAATCCAAGTTGAAGATGTTCTTCCATGGAGAGCCTCAACTCCCCTGGCAGTAGTAACACCCACTTCAGGGATGCCACAGCCACTGTTATCATTACTTGTGGGCCACAGGGACAGATTTCTGAACATGCCTAGTAATATCATACTTCTTGGCTGTTGTTCATGAAGGGCAAAGAGGGAGAAATAACTGAATTTTTGGAATTATTGCTTTGAAGCAGGTGAGTGAACCTCTGAATGCTTTCTCATGTCTATAACAATGTTAGCTTGCTCTGTGTTGTCACTAAAGTAACCTTACCTTCCCAGAGCTCACAATTATTAAATGGAGCTGAACTGAATCTTGAAGATCATCATTTTACACATGAGGAAACAAAGGAAACTATTTGCCACAAGCTGCACAACTAGTCAGCTGGCAAGGCTGGGTTTGAATCAACTGTCTTTGCCCTCAGCCTTGTTTTCTCTTTTCTGGACCACTGTGATCCTGTGTATCAGGGAGCTCTCCCACACTGTTCTCTGTGATCTGGGCCAGCTTATTTCATCAAAGTGATGGGATGGGACTGAATGACGCACAGCAGAGATGAGTCTGCTAAAAGAAAGAAAAACCTGTCTTTGATGAGGAGTTTTATCTAAATTCTGCCTCAGTAAAAGAGAGAGAGAGGGAGACAGAGGTGAAAGAGAGAGAATGAGTTAAATAGAAAATAACACAACAGGGCATCAACTTCTTATGAACCATAATGCAAAATATAATGGTATAAATAATACATCATATTTAATATAATATTTGATATTCAATATTTCTCTCTAAATATTTCCCACTTGCCTTATGGCTATATTAGATCATAAACACTTTAAACCAGGGACATACTTCACATGTCTGTGTAGTGGCTTCTCCAGTTCTTCCCCCAGCATTTTGTAGAATGCATTATACAAAGCAGTGACAGTGAAGAGTCACACTAGTGGTGCTGATGTCCAGTGAGCAGTCAGGATCTGTTCAGTTAGATGCATATGAGCTCGTTTATTCTCACAAGAAAACTACAGTATAAGTTAAGTGCACTATGAGAGCAAAATACTGAGTTATAGAGCTAATAAATAATATACCAGATTTCAAATTGAAACACTTACAGTACTAACTTAGCAAGCAACGATTATGTTATCTGTTATCTGTCAAGCATCACCACAAATGACTGACCTAAGGCTCATCATGTAAACAACAGACAGTTGTGATTATGGAGTTAGTGATGCAGAAGACTGAGACCTGGAGAGCATGGAAAAAGAACTCCTGACTTCATCAGGGATCAGGAAGGGAGACTGGGCGAAGCACTAGAGAGGAATCCAGAATTCAATTCAAAAGCATATGACTTCTTCTTCTTCTTCTTCTTCTTCTTCTTCTTCTTCTTCTTCTTCTTCTTCTTCTTCTTCTTCTTCTTCTTCTTCTTCTTCTTCTTCTTCTTCTTCTTCTTCTTCTTCTTCTTCTTCTTCTTCTTCTTCTTCTTCTTCTTCTTCTTCTTCTCTGTTTTTTTTTGAGACAGGGTTTCTCTGTATTGCCTTGGATGCTGTCCTGGAACTCACTCTGTAGACCAGGCTGGCCTCGAAATCAGAGATCCACCTGCCTCTGCCTCCTCTTCCTCTCCTCCTCCTCCTCCTCCTCCCCCTTCTTATTCCTCTTCTGTAGACTTTGGATCAGATGGCTCATTAAAGGCACTTGCCTCCAATCCTGCAAAACTTGAGTTTATTCAACTCCCTGGGACCCACATAACGGAAGACAGGAACCAATTCTTTCAAGTTGTCCTCCAACATCAACACATGTACTGTGGCATACACATACTCCCATTCCACATACACATATGTGTACACAAAAGAAATACATAAACATTGCATAATTTTAAGTAGGTATCAGGAAAGAATAATATCTAGAATTTTGTGTCCTTAAAATCTAGCAAATGTCCACAAAAGTAGTAAAAGGAAAGTTTGATTCTTGCTCTTAGTATTTGAATTTAAGAATACCCTAGTGATCTACCTCCAAATACTGTGTTGTTTCACTAATAAGATTGGGCTATCATAACAAAATATCATACATTACATAAATTAGGCTACAAAATTCCATTATCTTATAATTCTGAAGGCTTCAGGTTCAAGATCAAAACAACAACATGGTCACCTCCTAATAAGGTCCTCCTATGTTCTGTGTAGGTGGCTTCCTCATGTGTAGGGAGATGAGAAGAGAGCTGCCTGATCCCTCTTCTTAAGAGGACCCCATCCTTATGACCTTATTTAATGCTAACTGTCTCCCCAAGGCCTTCCCTCCAAGAAACCCCCCATTGATGGTTATGGCTTCAACAAGGATTTTGAAAGGTCACAATTTGATCCCCAGCAAATAAGAGCCATCTGAGTCCTCATTTTTCATCATTCTTCTCATGCTACTCCAACATCCGAGCATCCAAATGATATAATTGATCTTCACAAAAGGACTAGACAAACAATCAACCTAGGTTCCCTTTGGGGTAGATGCATGTTCTCCCCACCCCCATCCCTTAGCATTTAGCAGTTAAACCTCTGAGCTGTGACTCCTCAATAACTACTTGATGAATTGTTTCTTACTATATGTTCCTTGGTAGGGTACCACTGTAAACCGGAAGAAAATTCTGCCTCAAAGAAGAACTTAGTGGATTATTTATTATAACTAAATAATAATGAATGGTTATGATGTGGGATGGTACATTGACATGGCATTCAGGGTTTTTGTTTTTGTTTTTGTTTTTTTTAATTATGTAGCTATTCTGGTATATCCTTGAAGAAAAGATTGGGAGAGAATGAAAAGGGTAGAGAAAATACTACAATCCCTTTTCTTGGGGTCCAACAAAATAATCTGCATTATTGGAGCATATTAATCTATCACATTTGGCTAACCTATGAATATCTAGCTTCTAAGTCACCCAATTGTACCCTATGCCTAATTGGCTCTTTCAGCATGGCTGTACCTACAAATTGTCTAGCATATAAAGGCAAGTTGGTTCTACGGGTGGTCAAATACATGCTAGCAGATTAAGCAAAATAGATAAGTTAAATTTAGGATTTATGTATAACTGTCCCTTGGTTCTGAGAACATGATTAGAAGGTATAAAGGGGAGCGTGGCACCCAAAGATTCTCCTCTGACTTCCTCAAGCACCCAGAGGCATGTGTGCACTCACACTGAAAACACACAAGCATACACTTACTGGTCACATACATATGCACACGCATGCAGAGGCTGGCTAGCTTTGCTCCACATGTAGATCTTCTCTTCCAGGGCAACTCAACTAGACCGTCTTCCCCAGCCTCCTTGCACTTAGCTGTGATCATACTAACTTTCAGTAAATGTCTTCAAGTGCCAAGGTTTAACATGACTAAGAATAAGGATATTTTCATTGTTTGTGCCATATATATTTTGGAATTTCTTTTGTTATGAGCAGCCCTTGTTATTTGCACAAATGCATAGCTAAAGTTTATTTGTTTTTAAAAAGGGTCAATTGTGTAATGATTTTTAAAATATAGATTATTTCAAAGAAATTAGGTTTTTCTATTTTACAAATAACTCATTAAATATCATCCTGGAAACGGAATCATAAAAATATTACAGAATTTCAAGATAATAGTTGAGAAATTATATGATCCAACATTCTTATATTACAAGAATTTAATTATAGGATTAAATGACTTAAAATATTAAATCATTCCCAAACCCATCATATCTGAATCACTAAGTGATTTAATATGGATGGCTCCATATTAGAATGTTTGCTGCAAGGGTACCTGAATTTTCTCCCCAGCACTCATGTAAAGCAAAATGAACATCATTTTAGTTGTATTAAAGCGCCTTACACTTGAAATCACAGGGTCCACATGATGGTCAGACTGATAAAGCTAGTGGCCTTAAGGTGGTAGAAGCATTTTGGAAAGCCACTTGGCAGTATGTCTTAAAGTCATAAAGATGATTTAGCATAATGTTTCTACTTTTGGAAACTTATAACTAATCTAAAAACAAACTGAACACGCTGCCCCGGACGGCATTGCTGAATAAAATAAAAGATAAAATCCAATATCACAGAACAATATGTCATAGATCATGGTTAAGAAATTATGAACTATCAATGGTAAGTTATTTAACTATGAAAAAAGAGCCAGCATTCAGGAGGCAGAGGCAGGCTGATCTCTGTAAGTCTGAGGCTAACCTGGTCTACGAAGTGAGTTCCAGGACAGGTTCCAAAGCTACAGAGAAACCCTGTCTCGAAAAACTAAAAAAGAAAAAGGAATGGCATTCTATCACTTCAAGCAACATAGACAAACTTGAGGACATCATGTTAATGAATAAAGCAAACACAGAAAGACAAATACTACATGCTCTCTCTCTATGTGAAAACTACAAAGTCAATCTCAAATAAGAGAGTAGAACAACAGTTACCAGAGCCTGGGCAGAGAGTGAGGGATGTGAAGAGATGGCAGATAGGGAAGGGGGCTTTCTTCCAAGATTGTATAGCAGCATAATGGAATAACTATGGTCCAAGCAGTTAACTGAATATTAATTAACTGAATATTCCAACATAGCTAGTAGGATTTTAAAACATTCCCAACACAGAGGAACACAATTCTTGGATAAAAGATATTCTCCTGATCTATTACATACTGTATATAAGTTTTGAAATGTTACAACACTTACTACAAATACATGCAGCTACAGTGTCAGTCAATGCTCTCTAGGCTCAGTGAGAGACCCTGTCTCAAAAACTAAGATGGAGCACACTTATGGAACATACCTGACCTTGACCTCTGGTGTTCATGATCTCTCTGTCTCTCTGTCTCTCTGTCTCTCTGTCTCTGTTTGTCTCTGTCTCTCTGTCTGTCTCTCTGTCTCTGTCTGTCTGTCTGTCTGTCTGTCTCTCTCTCTCTCTCTCACACACACACACACACACACACACACCCCACACAAATGAACTGCAAAAAAATGTTAACAGTGACTTCCTCTAGGGAAAAGCACTAGGAATTGGGGCATAAGGGGGCAGACTGGGTGAAGGCTTTTTTTTCTTACAAAAATGTCACCCTTCTATACCGTTTCATTATTTTACTGTGTACCCAGATGATTTTAACAATCAAAAAACAAAATCTATGCTGTGATAGTAATTACATATAAATGTCTTGTGCTTGTGGTTCTGCAGGAAAAAGGAAAATGGAAAAATAAGCAGCAGATGATTTGCTCATGCTGGAGATTATGAGCAGTTTGCCTCTTCCCTTGATTTCTTTTATTATTATAATGTTTGCATAATTTAAGGCTGTAAAAACAAAAGACCAGCTGCTTGAAGTTTGTTTTGGAAATAAATAAAGTATAAATAATGTATTAATGCATGGCAGAGTAGGGAAGTATTGAATCAAGAAAAGTACTCATGAAATATTTATGTGAATCCACATTTGTATGTGAAAATACGTTGATCACAGACAGATCCAAAACAAGGCTAATGTCTTACAAGTCGGTCACAGAAGGAATGCCTCCAGGGAGCTGTTGGCTGGGGTTTGTTAGGAAAAAAGATCAGGGTATCACTGAATGAGAGATGCTTTAGGTGATGGTGAATTTTAATTGTCGAGTGGCTAGACTCCAGAATGGCCAGGAAAGATCTCAGTGAGGGGCTGCCTGGCTCCCAAAGGCCTGTAGGCATGTCTATGAGGATTGCCCTGGGTTCATTCATTGATGTGGGAAAACTCAACCTGAAAGTGGGCCACATCACTCCCTACTGTAGAAGAGTAGAGATCACTAGATGAGCAATAAGCAGGCATGCGTTCATTCTCTCTGCTCTTGATGGTGTGTGTGTTGTGACTACTTGTTTTAAATTCCTGCTGCCTTTATGCTCCTGCTCTGATAGACTGTGACCTGAAACTGTGAGTTGAAGATGTTCTATCACAGCCACAGAAATAAAATGAGGGCATGTTTTAACTTTTGAGCACTTCAGAATACGAGGCCTCTGTCACTGTCGTCCTTTCTAGGAGATGATAAAGTCCTCCGGTTGTGGCACCCCAATATCAGCACTAAACCAGTTGGGAAGCTAGTGGGGCACATGTTCAGCATCACAGAGATCGTAAGCAATGAGAAAGAGCAGCATGTCATCAGCCTCTCCTCCGCAAAGGTAACAAGAAGAGAATAGAGCCAAAATGAAGCTGTTTGTTCTTCAAGCCAACTGCAGGGAGGCCTAGCACATGCATGCACACACACATACATGCATATATAGATACCTAATTTTTCTCTGAAGTAACTGATGGCTGCTGAGAATAAATGATGTCAGAATACAGAAGAACAGCCACTGCCCTGCTTGTTTTGACCACTGCATGAGACAGGACATGTTTAGAGACAGATGTAAAACGTCATATTGGGAAGAAAGACAGAGGCTCCCATTCTATGTAAGATCTCATTATTAAGGACAGGAAAAAAACCATGGACTTCTCTGTTTTACTTTGTTATGAAACTGATTTAAATATTCTGTCTAAAGTAATACAGAAAGAAAAAAATAAGTTATGAATGTTAAATGAGAATCTTGAGTATTTTCAATGTATTTGCAAAAGAGTATTTGTTTGATTAAACACAATCTATTAAAAAGTTTTAAGAAGAATAAATTCAGTAAGTGTGGTTAGTTGTAATAGCAATTATAATTTTTTTCTGAGAATCCCATAGATGAGACACATCATTTCCACCCCTCCCACTTCCCCACAACTCCTCCCACTGGTCCCCACTCCCTTTTCTTCTTTATTTTGCTACTTATATTTACATATGTGTGTATACAACCTGCTGAGTCCATTTACTGTTGCTTATATGTGTGCATGGTAAGGACTGACCACTTGGCATTGGATAATCTGCCAGGGCCCATCCCTAGAGAAGGTTTGTTTCCCTTGCTCAGCAGCCATAAGCTGTCAGATTCTCAGCCAGGAGTGGGGATTTATTAGCCCCTCCTCAAGTATTTGATGTTTAAATGATGTGTGTGCTGATGTCTTCATTTTTTTTACTTGTCAATTGTCACACTGAGGAAAAAAATGTGAGAACAAAACAATAAAATTAGCAAGTCTTGTTCCACATTGCAAACTTAATTTTTCCTATCAACTTATTGGTAGCAAATAAATAAGCACATTTTTGCACTGAATTCTTCATAAAGATGATGTCAAACCTACATCCATTTGTAGTACAGTTGTACATAATCCATTTGTACTTCAGTTATACATACCAACTCTCCATGATGATGACTCTCAAAGGGATTTCACTGCTTCACACATTTCCAGGCTCCTCACAATGTAAAATCATGTAATTCATTGAGTCAGACAAATTTGATTCAATTATTAGCTTCTTGTGGTCATTGGGAATTGTTTAGAAAGGCAGGTCAAATCCCAGACTCCCTTAATATATGATAGACTAATCTGTTCCTAAATCGCTCACTCCATCTAAATGACACTGTGTTTCTAAAGATAGGCTCTGAGATGATGTTTTTTTCACTATGTCTCAACGCTCATGTTTCTATTTAAAGTACTTATGGTGCAGTAGAATGACCCGTCTCCTCCCTACTATTTGTCTAAGCTTTGCTGGAGTCAGCAGCAGCGATACGGAGAGCACCTCCATTGGTCCTCACGCTTGAGTGAAGCTCCTCTCCCAGCTCATGGACTCTGAGTGTCTTGTTAGTGCTGCACCTTTTTAGACCATTCTCTGTTCTATGAATCTGACACCAACTCCTAAAACTCAGATATTCACTCTGCTCATTCTATGACAAACACTCACTGCAGGAAAACAAAATTAGTTAATGTCTTTGGCTAATAACAACTGACATGAAGCTTGCCAGAAGCCGCTGCTGAATCTGAGCATGCTTCCCTTGGAGTGCATGCACTACTTATGTTTGCACATTCCCTTTGTCATTACTCATTAGTTGTTCCTTATAGAGGGCTTTGGGTGAAAGTCTCTTGTCGTTTTCTTTGGTGTTTTGTGGCTAGCAACTTCAGTTCCTTCCCGCACCTGATTCTCAGAGTTAATCAGCTTCATAATTCAGTGTTTTTCCCAATGCTAAAATAATCCTTTGTTTAATTCTTACACTCCCAATTTGTTGGGGGGAAAGTCAACATTTTAACTCTTACTGCTACAAGACTGAATTTTTTTGTAATTTACATTCACTTGCCCTTATGCAAGAATTATGAGTTGTAAATATCCTGTTCTGTCACCCAAGATTTGTTTAGTGAAAGTGAGAATCTTCTATGCTTGTCCCTTACACCAACTCAGCCTCTTTCTGAAATGTTTTTGTCCTTGTTTTCTTCCTAAGCCTGCCCAGGGCTAACTGGCTCTAGGTGGGCTCTCCCAAACTTTGACACCAATACCTTCCCAGGAATACTTCTAGCCCCTGCTTGGAGCTATTGACAGGAAACAAGCACTCACAGAACCTCTTGAGTATCACTGCTCTTTTTTCCCAAAAGCACTAGCATGTTACCAATACCTGAGAATGGCATCCTTATACATCTGTGTCATTATATTTTCTTCTCATTCATTTCTGCCATTCTGTCCCCACAGCTGGTCCCTTATCTTCAGACAGCCTTCCCTTCTGTTACTTTCTCTAATTCCAACTTCCTTAACATTTCTTCCTCCTCCCTCAGATCTCCTTTCTCGTTTTATGACTTGCATACATATATATAAACAAACACACTCTCAAAGTCTAGTTTCCATATAAAAGAAGATATGAAGTATTTTTTTCTTTCTGGGTCTGGCTTATTTCACTTAAGCAATGCTTTGCAGTCAGTTACTCCATGTTGGTAAACACTAGAACTGAGAGCCAAGTTGAAACAGAACACCTGTGCTCATAGTGCAAATCACATTTCACTGCAAGCTTATAAGAGCATACTTAACTTTAAAGACTTAGCTGTCCCAAGCGAAAACTATGGCATGTTAATTGGTTACTTCTGTTCATTCCCCAGGTCTTCCGAGTGTGGGATATCCAAACTCTATCAGTATTGCAAGTCTTCCACGATAGCCAAGGAGGGCCAGGAGACATGCAGATTTATTCTATGGTGTATGATGCCAGCCATGGTATGCTCATTACAGGTATGTGTACCTAGAGCATGATAAATTAATTTCATGTATTTTATATTTTAAAAAAAGATAGCTCTTGGGTCCTTACTATGAAAACACACAAAAATAAAAATATCATAACAATATAAATATTTATGTCAATGCCTTATCCTATGTGAGTTGATGAAATATACAACCTCTCTTTTATGAAAATACTAGGTCAGTTCTATAAGATAATGAGCTTAAGGAGTAAATGGCCCAGGTTAAGCAGAAAGACGTGAGAAAGCTGTCGCTATGCCCAGGCTCTGGTTTGTCTCTTGGATGCAGTAAATTGGTACTTTCATAGGATGGGGACCCTAGCATGTGCCAGCATGAACTTGTTTTCTGAGGCAAGACAGTGCTGGTAAGAAGATGGTCACTCTGTAAGATGGATAAAGTCCTTCTCAGCTACATTTGATTCCAGATAAAACGCAGTAGAGGGAGAGGCCAGAATCCAGGAAGTTAGGACCTAAATACAATGCATTGGTTGACAAATTGTGTTATGGCTTTTTGTCTTTTATTGACAGATACACTAAAAAGACAAAGAACCTTGTTAGGCATTTAGGTTGGCTACTGTTCACATGCACAGCCTTCAGCTTTTAGAAGAAAAATGCTTATATTAGTAGCAGCTCTATCCTCTGGAACACTAAGCCAGAATTGCCTTTCCTAAGCATATTATCACTGACCACCTGCTCTGAGTTCCTGGGGGATTAATTAAGGCAGGGAAGTGATTGGTGCTGTCTCTGTTGGGGAACATAATTATTTTTAATTTTGTGTTGTTTATTTTTCCTGGGCGAGAGGAGAACCATCACATCATGCTCAATAAATAATTTTCCACCCTGAAAACCAGAACTTAGTTTCAGTTGTGAATGCCTCTCCTCCATCAGATCCCCTCTGAAATGAACATATTAATGATTCTACACAAATGTCACCTCTTAATACACAAACTTGCCTGCTTGATTATCGGGTTCAGCATTTTTGTCCCAATTATCATCAGAATAAGGGAAAGCTAAAGTATCAAGACAAAGAAGAAGATGGAGAATAGGAAAGTCAAGATTTATTTCCATGCTTGTATACTTTTGGTGGTGCTCCTATTTGTAAAAGTACTGAGCTCTGTGTATTGCCTGATCATTAAAAGTGCAGCCATCACGTCCTCACAGAGACATACGTGGAGGCCAAGCACCAATGCACATAAAATAAATAAATTATATAATCACAGCCATCATCTTGACATTAGGATTATATCAAGTGTATTAATTTGTGCTTAGATTCAAGTGATGTCAGGTAGAGTAGTTTTCTGAGCTATGTGGGCAGCAACACTGCACCCAATGATTGTTACTGTCAGCGTCATCGTCAATACACTGGTGATGATGACAAGTATTTGCAGCCTTTTTTACTTTTCATTTCATCTGCATAGTCACCCTTTGAGGTAGGAATCCTTCATTGAAGTCTTGTAAATGGCCAAGCCAAACCTCAGACAGTTCAACTAACTAGTAGAATATTAAAACAGAGCTGAGATTCGATCTCAGAACTTCTGAGTCCTGAATCTGCATTCGTTCTTTTTTCCTGCAGTATTTCCATTATTGTAGGATAACTAGTCAAAGGGGTGGAAAAGTGTCAGTTCTTCACATGCAAGTTCAGCTATGTTAGCTGTAAGTATCCTGTTTAAGGATGTGTGGAGAGGCTCCAAGTGTGCCTTTGAGAGCTTGATGATCACCCATCTATCATGTTTCCTAGCAGTGGTGCTTGAACTGAGTGACATATCCTGATGAACCATCTCAGTCCTTTACATATGAACAGGCTGTATCACAAGATCTAAACACCTTAGTAACTGCTACTAAGACTTGGCGAGTTTCTTTGACAACTCGATGTCCACATTAATAAGTAGGAAGAAGTTTCCTATTCTTAGAACTTCTGATTTTGTTTGAACTAAAGAATGTGCTGGGCTGTGGCCGTGCATACCTTTACACTCAGCACTTGGGCAGCAGAGGCAGGTGGACCTCTGAGTTGGAGGCCAGTCTGGTCCATAGAATGAGTTCCAAGACAGCCAGGGTTACTCAGAGAAACCCTGTCTTGTAAAAAAAAAACACAAATAAGTAAATAAATAAAAATGAATGCTTTGATACATTTTAAGTATTTCTAGAAATTACACTAAACTACAGCACACAAGATTCTTATTTTGAGATGTAAGCCATACCGATAGGAAAATGCAAGAATACTGCTTCCCAACACCCTGGCCTTGCTAACTATATGGAAATTAATTTTACTATTGATGTTACAATCACTGGCCTGCAATCATTCTCATTCATTATATTTAATCAGACCATGTTCACAGCATGTGTTATCATTTGTTGGCCTGAAGAACTCTGACTCAATTTCAATCGCCAGAGCAAGCCTCAAATCAGCAGAAGGCTGGTGGATAGCGTGACCGACATGCACACACTGGAGGGGCACACAGTAAGGAGCAGGGAGCAGACTATAAAAACTAGGAAAATGGGGGTCAAAATGACCTGTGCTTGAAAGATAATGAAGTCTCCAATGACTGCTTACTCCTGGCTGAATCACATTTGCTGTGTCTGTCAGAGATGCTCCAGAGTAGGCAACAGTAGTCTCACCTTATTAAATGCTAAGACATTTATACTTTTATACTTTAATATCACTGGCCGGCTGGCTCCAAACCTAGCTGGTTGGGTCAAATCCACTGTGAAATTCCAAACTTCTGAGATGCTTTTGCAAAGTTCTTCACTTTTGAGTTCATTTAATTTTTGGGATGTGATGTCACTATGCAGTCAATGATGGCCCAGAGACCCATGATCTTCCCGTTTCAGTCTCGAAAGTGTGGGATTACAAAGATGCACCATTATCCACACCCAGCTGGGTGATAGCCTTCCTTCTTTGCTTACAGGTTCAAGTGTTATAGACATGTATCCCTTGACCAGGATGATACAGGACACAAAGCAGGTGCCTCACACTCACGAACGAGAAATCAATGTCATGTTGTACAACAAATACTTCCACCAAGTGCTCACTATCTGCTCAGAGTCCATAATCAAGGTGAGTGTGTAATGACTCCCTAGGCATGAAAAGGCTGAGTAACTGAAATGTTACTTCTAGGTAAAGCATAGGGTTTTATATGTAGTGGTACATAGACTGAGAATGCATTGAAGCCCTTTAAGCTTTCATGAACATATGATAAAGAAGTGTTTTAAGCCAGTTCAAGTCACATGTTTGATTAAAGTCAGATTACAAATAGAAAATTTAATAATATTACATTTATATATTTATTTTGTGTGGAAATGGATGTGTGTCTATGGAGATCAGAGGACAACTTGTGGGTTTGATTCTCTCCTTCGATCGTGTAGGTTTCATGGATCAAACTCAGGTCATCAGTTGTAAGCATCTTCATCCCCTGAGCCAAATAGGAATTTTAAAGGCAATATATTAGGGAGAAAGAACTAACCCATACTTAAATTTCACTAGCAGTTGTATGCTAAGAAGGAAGGGAGAGAGACATTTAGTAGGCATGCACCAAAACTTTTTTTGTTTTGTTTTTCATTTTTCAAGACAGGGTTTCTTTGTGTAGTCCTAGCTGTCCTAGAACTCACTCTGTAGACCAGGCTGGACTCAAACTTAAGAGATTCACCTGTGTCTGCTTCCCGAGTTCTGGGATTAAAGGCATACACCAACACCACCCAGCTGCACCATAACTCTTATGGGTACAGTTATACAGACCAAGACCACTAAGTCTATGATTTCCAATAAATCTCATGAAAGATTTTTGCAGACAAAGACCTCTGTTCTAAATATGGAGAAGCCAGGGCTCAGAGATAAGTGACCTTCCTCAGATCCTATTGTTCTCATAAAAGTGGGATGTGTGCCTGGGTCTGTCTACTGTGAGCAGCCATGGCCTTGGGCTCTGTACCTCTAGCCACGTCCACTGCTGTGTTGAGTGGTGTAGTACTTAGCCATGTTAACTGTGTTTGTCGTTACAACCACTGAAACCATCTACCAGTGATACCTAGGGGGATTTCTATCCTGTTATTTCATGAATGCACCAAGTGGAGGTCTATGAATCTGTAGACAGCATCCCTCTGGGAAACAATCAAATTCCTCATATTTAACCTTCTGTGGTCAGCTGCTAGATACTTCCTCAAGCCTGAATCCCCTGAACGTGGTTAATTATCATAGGACTTTTTTTTCTGCTGCTGAAGATACACTAGATTAAATTAAATTCTGCCCTGCATTCATGTGGCATGATCTGTCTTATCTTTTTTTCCAATACAAGATGAAGAGAAGTATCTAAGGGAGTTTTTCTATCCTGTTGGATGGATAAGGATTATAGTTCAGACTTGGAGATGAGACGAGTGACTTAGACACCCATTTATGCAGGGAGCCACATTCCTCTCTCCTTTAAGGACATCATCTACAAACAACACTCCAAGGCTGAGAATATGGCCTCTGGGCCAGACTTACTTTGTGTGAACCATGCCTCTACTACTTCCCAGACAGTGGCCATCATGCTTCCATGAGCCATTTCATCAATTTCCTCTCCCTCTTTCCGTGGCTGCCATAACTTCCCTTTCATTCCTTGGGAGACAAGCACACCTCTCTACCTCTGGCCTCCTGGATGTGCTGCTCCATCCCCACGGGCTCCAGTGCTGACAGCTGCTTCAGTTGCTCACTGACTGGGAAATTACACCTGAACTTGGCAAAGTCACAAAGTAGGAGAGATGCAGATCATAGCTCTGTGGATCTGTCCTCTGCGTGTTTCCAATGAGAGGGATTGACGAGCCATGATGTTTCTGGACTTATCCCAATACTGCCAGCCTGTTTCACAGATGGTCTGTCTCATTCTTATGCAACCCTTTCTCTGTCACTGTGGCTCAGAGAATACCTAAAGTGACCAGTGAGTTCTTTCTTTAGGATTTGCCTACATGTTAATGCTGTTTACCACACTTTTATCCCATAACCCTTGCTGTCACTGAGGACTTAATTGAGCACTGTTAATTATTGTGTTTCCAATCTGATGCCACCTTTGTTTCACCCTTATAGCAATAAGTAATTTTTCCATTACTTCGACAAAATACCTGAGATAATCAACTTAAAAGGAGGAAATATTTGCTTTGGTGCGTGGTTTTCGAGGTTTCAATGCATAGTGGATTGGCCCAGTTACTTTGGGGCATTTGATAGGGCAATGCATTGTGGCAGGGTGTGAGATAAAACAACATCCTCATCTCCTAGTAGTCAGGAAGTAAGAGAGAGGGAAGGGAGGGGCTGAGGTCTAGCATCCCTCGGCTGTCTAAAGTGTCTGTGTGACTGCTCTCCTACAAGCAGACACTGCCTCGTCCACCTAGTGCTCAGCAGGCATGCTCAGGGATAGCACAGTCCCTGCTAACGGAAGTCAGTTTCACAGCTCACCTCTGATCAAGTCCACATGCAGGGCAAGGTGCTGGGAAAGGTGCAAGGTGTGTGGAGCACTGATTTGAAAACTTTGAAAATGGTAAAAGCTTTGCTCAGAAATGAAGGGCAGGTATATGGAATACCTGGTTTTCGCTCTTGTTTGCGTTCTTCTACAGGTATGGGAACTTGAGAGTGGCCTCCAGATATACCAGATTCTAGACCCTCATGGCTTCAATATTGAACTAACCTGTGCAGCTATTGATGAAAGTGGATATCTTTTTGCCACAGGAGCATATAATGGTGAGACTAGTGTTCAGTATACGGCGTCTCCTCTTTGGTGTCCTGAGAATTCATGCAGGGATTCCTAAGTTTAGAGAGCTTAAGGGTAATTGTGGATCAGGCTGACATACAGGCATTCCAGAGAAATGGCTTTCCTCAGGTGAACATCAATAGCCACTGATGTCTGGATATCGATGTGATAAACAAACCAGTAAGTTACATTCTGTTTTGCAACTATGTGCAAAAGTCTTTCGCATAATGATGCATGCATATGAAAACACCATAATGAACCCCACTACTGTGTTTGTAACTTTAAAAAAATAGTCATAAAAACACAAACCGCCGGGCGGTGGTGGCACACGCCTTTAATCCCAGCACTCGGGAGGCAGAGGCAGGCGGATCTCTGTGAGTTCGAGGCCGGGCTGGACTGATAGCCTCCAAAACAATACAGAGAAACCCTGTCTCGTAAAAACCAAAAAAAAAAAAAACCAACAACAACAACAACAAAACCACAAACCGGTCTTTCATTATTAAGCACTGGTACACTGGCTCACAGAATATCACCTACATTTTAGTGAGTGTAGCTACTTGTAATGAGTCAATACATTAGAGAAAGCCACTTTACACTGTAGTTAGGAATAAAAAGACTTACACCACTGCATTTCAACTTTTGGTGGAAATAGCTGTGTTGTACTGACTTGTTCAATCCCAATGCCTTTTATGAACGGTTAAGCTAAGAGGCAGACATTAGACTTGGGGTCTCTTGCTGCTGCTACTGTTATTGCTGCTGCTGCTGCTGCTGCTATTGCTGTGTGTGTGTGTGTGTGTGTGTGTGTGTGTGCATGCGCGCACTTGTATGTACTGAGAACTGAATCTAAGACTTTATAGAGTCTATTCAGTACCCATAGACTCTACCCCTGAGCTACACCCCAAGCCCTGCAATATTTAACTCACAGTATCTTTGATGACCATACAAAATACCTATCCAGCTTTGGTGCAGAATGCCTAGGGTTCTATAACATAAACTTCTGTGTCTAGACTCTATGAAAGCACACCAAACTTGGGGACTTGGATGTGACTGTGTTTCATATTTCTTCCTCTGTGGAGCACTTGTAGGAACTAGAGAGCTGCACACTTCCCCACCTACCCACCTCATCTTATTTTGAACACCCACAAAAGATCTACTTGTTCTAGAGTAGACAGAGTGACCAACAGTGTGAACTCTGCAGAATCTATTTACTCTGGAGTATAATTGATAAATAAATGCTTCCTCGTGAACCAGTTGATGGAATGAGTGGGCAGCCCATATGAAAGTCAGATCTTTGCAAACGTGAACAGAAGATAATATAGCAGGGATCAAGAGTCAAGATGTGGGAATGCATTGGCATGCAATGCACAGGGACACAGTGCTCCTCCCTAAAGAGTGATCTCCTGCCACAGGTGCTTGCTTCATCCATGTAAAATTGTCTAGTACTTTTAGTCCATATGTTGTTACTTGTAAGTGTTCATTGTATTGAGTCATTGGTCTGGTTTGAGGTTTCTGGTTTTTAATACATCATCAATACAGGGCCCTCACTGGGGCTCCTCTTGGATATCCTGCTTTGTCCTGTGTTATGGGGATCCTGCAACTTTGGGTCTGCATGACCATCAGATCATAGATGGGGTGGATTATGGGATGGGCCAACTCATCGCTCTGGTTCTGGGTCTGCGTGGTTGCTGGATTGGTCAGCCCGCCAGCTCTTTCTCATCCTCACCACCAGAGTGAGCCCCCCAGTGCTGTCCCAGCTGTGTAGTAAGCAGTAAGGGGCAGGGCTGATTCTCCTGCTCTCACGTAGTTCTTGCCACTGCAGGGTGTCCTGGGAATAATTGATGTCTGGTGTTGGTGATGAGCAAATTAACGATGGGAATAGCCTAGCATACAGTCAAAGCACTGCTTGTCCAAAAGTGTTTGTGCTGAGGACTGAGTCCTGGAGAGGGATGTTGGGCTTAGGGAAGAAGCAGAGACTTGAGTAAAAAGCTATATGCTGCCCCACCCTCCCGTCTCATCTTATTCTGACTGCTACAAAGGATCTGTCCAGAGTAGACAGTGTGACCAACTGTATTCACTACCCAGAACATGTGTATTCTGGGGTAGATTTGTTAAATGAATGATTTCTCCCAAGACGGTTAATGGAATGAGTAGACATAAGTTTTCAGGCATGAAGATTAAGTGACTCGATATATGATCCCTGGTACCCATAGGCCCCACCTCCCAAAGATTCCAATAATAATGCCAAGATGGAGAACAAACTTCCCACACCTGGACCTTTGGGGATCACTTATCCAAACCAAAGCAGATGCCCATTGCTCTCAAGACTCTACCCTGTGCTGCTCACTTCTTTGATGAACTTGTAGCAAATCATGTAGGGCAAGACTGGGAAGACCCAGCTGCCAGTGTCCTCTGAGCTAAGAGCCAGGATGTCTACACACTGTCTTACCCACAAAACTTTTCTTTGAGCCCTCAGGAACAGCTAAGATCTGGGACTTTGGCAGTGGCCAGGAGATGAAGATGCTGCCGGAAGGGAAAGACTGGGCAGAAGAGGAACACGGGCTGCTGCGCCTGTTTTTCCTCAAGGCCCAGGTGAAGCACCAGCATCTTGTCCTCGCCTTGGAGCGCAACGGGACTATCAAGATGATCCAGGTTTGGATCCAGCCTCCATGCTTGCTCCACATACAATTTTCTTGGGGAAAACCCAATGGTGATCTTCATTTCTCTGCCTCTCTCTGTGCCTCTCTTTATCTGTTTCCATCTTTGTCTCTGTATCTCTCTGCCTCTGTGTGTGTGTATTTTCTGTCTCTGTGTGTATGTCTCTGTCTCCCTCTCTTTCTCTGTGTGTGTCTCTCTCTCATATTATGGTTTTGTGTAGTCCAGGCTGACACTGAACTCTTGATTCTCCTATTCTCCTGCCTCCACCTCCCTAGTACAGACACCACCACACCCACTTGCTCAATATATGTGATACTGGGAGTTGAGTCTAGGGCTTTAAGCATATTAGGCAAGTAATCTACCAGCCCCACTCAACTAACTTTCCTGTGATGCTCATAACCAACTTTGCTCAAGTCCAAGCAAATGGTAAAAAGCACAACTCCCCAGGCCCAGCATCCTACCCATCATATTCTTGCTTCAGCATCATTCAGGGTTCCCTAAAATTCTTGTCAGAAAAGTTGAACTGACATACATCTACCACAGCTAATATTGCTCACACCCTACCTCGGCAATAACTCTGCTCCTCAAGACGGCTCCCCAGAAGACTCAGTCCCTTATGGCCCATAAAGCATTCAAAATGCTCCAGTCAATTCCTCATGAAAATGACTTTGTTTATTTTAAGGTTAATGGTGCAATCTGTTCAGGGCTGTTTGAGGAGGATTGAGATAGGCTAATTTATTTTTCCTGCGAATCTATTACCACCTAGGAATACTAATGCCTTCTTCAAATTTAAAAAGAAGCCAGCATCATTTATCCTGGCTCTGTGGCCCTCACCCTGTCAGCTAGACCTCAAGGACTAACGTTTCCTTTGTTCTCCTCTGGAAACTAGGATCAGGAAATAAGTCTTGAATAGAATTTCAGGTATGGAGTACAACATCGACTGGGATGACTAATCTTTTTAGCTGAGAGAAAGGAGGGAACATTTTCCTCAGTCAATAGAGTCTTCCCTTGTTGTCTGCATAGTCCAAAATGTGACTGTACAGGAATGCCTTGGCAGCCCCATAGAGCACAATGTCACTTGCCTTCTGGAAGTTGCTGCAAACAATCATCAGAATAGCAGTAATCATATATGTTCACTCAACTTGAAGGAATGCAAAATGAACCATGATCTTGGGCTTGAGCTGCAGCTGGGTTGGTAGAGTGCTTGTCTTAAGCATGAACAAAGCCCTACGTTTGATAGCTATCACTACATAAACTGGGTGTGGTGGCACACACATGTAATCTTTGCCTTTGGGAAGTGGAAGCAGAAGATCAGAAGTTCAAGGTCATCCTTGGCTACAGAGTGAATTCAAGGTCATACTGAGATACATGGGACCATCACATACCAAAAATGTTTTGGGTTCTGCCTTAGACATTTCTACTTTGGTTATTCTGGTGCTCTGCACAGAACATTAGACTAAGCAAGAACTAAACAACTCATTTTGTATCTACCTATATTCTGGCCCTGCTCATTAGAGGTTGAAAGACTAAAGTATTAAGAAATTTCTTGTAAGGCAGACAGTGGTAAATATATGAGGGATATTTGGGAACTTTTAAAACTTCCTATTTCATGTTTCAGAGTTAGCAACATGCTGTGCAAAGCAGATCAGAATTTCCATGAAGGGGATCCTAAAAGCATATTACTGACTCCCCTGCTTCTTTTGCCCTCAGAATTTTTCACAGCTAACAGAAATCTGATCTTGGAGACTTAGGTCAAGAGAGAGACTACAGGATCCAAGACAAACAACAGCCTTGGATTCTTGCTCTGTTAGAACCCCAACTCTCATTGATTGACCACTGAAAATTTTCTTAGCCTGACAAATGCTGACCAAGGAATTCCTAGTCACACACGTGCACACATACAGAGAGAGAGATAAAGAGAGAGATGAGACGAGAAAAACAGAAGCCTCAGAGTCATACCTACAACCCAAAGGCTAGTTGAAGCAAAAAGCCAAAGAAAACAGGAAGCTGCCCTGCCCCCAGACTTAGATCACATGGAATTAGGGATGTAGCCCACTGTCTTCACTCCCCAAGAAGTCATCTCTGCCCCACCACAGCCACTTCTCATTCTAGAAGGATCCCTGTTCTGCTAACAAAAGGACCAGGCTTAAGATTCTGAGCTGCTATGCCCAAACCAAAGTAAAAAATCAACAATATCACTAATGATAACAATTTAGAAAGCAGGGCTATATAGAATAAGCTATCATAATACAAAAGCAAATAAAAACGTAGGGTGCATCCCTCCCATCTCTCATTCATGTGTGAACTTGATTGAGAGATGTTGTCTCAGTAAATAAGGTGGAAGAGCAGTCAAGGATGATTCCTGACACCAACCTTGGGGTTTCACCATGCTCATACACACATGTACACATGCAAACATGCATGCACACATACAAGCACAATACACACATGAAAACAGAAAAAAATAAATGGATGAAAATAGAAAGGCAGTATCATATTGTCTTAGCAAGACTTTCTATTGCCTTGATTAAAGCACTTTGGAAAAAAATCAACTTGAGGGAGAAAGGATTTACTGTGTCTTAACAGGCTGCAGTCCATCACTGAAGGAAGTCAGGGCAGGAAGTCAAAGCATAGACTGATGCAGTGGCCTGGAGGGATGCTGCTGACTGGCTTGCTCAGCCTGATTTTTTATAGACCCAGGACCACCAGCCCAGAGGTGGCACTACTCATGGTGGGTTGGGTCTTCCCACATCAATCATCAGTAAAGAAAATGCCCTGCAGGTGTGCCCCCAGGCCAATCTGGTGGGAGCATTTTCTCAGTGAGGTTCCCTCTCCTCAAAGGACTCTCTCTAGCTTGTGCCAATTTGACATAAAGCTAACCAACAGATATAGAAATGGCTTAAGGCATGTACATGTAGGTATAATAAAACTTTCATGATTATTATCAGATTTGGGTTTCTGGTTACTGTAAGGAATGAGACGCAAAGAAAATGATGTATTGCATGGAAAGACACAACTTGAGAGTTTATGATTCAGGATGATGGGGGTACCAGCCTGTGTTTACTTCATTTAAGAACAGCTTAAAATGAAATAATTCATTGAACTCTTTTTTCCACTTAATAAATTTATTCTGCACAAGGGAAAAGAAGATGATTTCCTCCTCGTGGTGATATGGGAGCTGCCTGATGCCATGCCTTACCTACAGTATGGGAGCCATATTGTACATCTGAAGATGTCAACTAAAGAAAGGGTGATGGCCATTCCTTTTCCAGATGTTGAGTTAATTGTCCAGAAAAGTTTTACTCAACAAACTAATAATGTATGTTCAATTTCTTTTTTAAAAATATTTCTACTGAGAATTCCATAGAATGTATTTTGATCATATTCACCCCAACTCCTCTTCTTAGCTCCTCTGAGATCTACCCCTACCTCTCTATCCCCTAACTTTGAGTCTTTTTTAAAATTTAATAATCTACAGAATCCCAATTTGTGTTGTTCATATACTTCTGGGTATGGGTTTCTCCTGAAGCATGGTTTACCTACCAGGAACCACACCCTTAAAGAAAATTGATTCTCCCACTTCCCTGGGAAGCCACCAACTGTCCCTTAGTTCTTAGTTAGGGGTAAGGGCTTGGGACCACTCCCTGTCCCATTTAGAATGGAGACTATGATCTTGCACAGGCAACAGCAGCTGCTGTGTGTACAATGGTACTGCCATGTTCAGAAGATACTTTCAATCTGGTCCTCCTTACCTTTGACCCTTATAATCTTTCTGCCTCCTTTTCCACAATGGCTCCCGAGCTTTGGAGAGGGGCTGTAAGGCAGATGGCTCAGCACTCAGCCATTACTTGTTCTTTGCAGTTTGACTAGTTGTAAGTTTTCTGCATTAAGTGCTCTCCACTGCACAAAGCAACTTTGCTGAAGAGGTCTGAGGGCTGCACTAATCTACACATGAAGAGTTTGATGCTATCTCTATTTAACACAGTAATAGTAATAGATTCAACCCCCAGGGCCTATGAACACTCCAACCATGCATGTGTGTGTTTTTTTTCCTGTGGTGTGGCATTAAAAGTTGAATTCCTTGCTGGGCGGTGGTGACACACACCTTTAATCCTAGCATTCAGGAGACAGGTGAATCTCTGTGAGTTCAAGGCCAACCTGTCTACAGACCTGGGATTGGCTTCATAGCTACTGAGAAACCCTGTCTCAAAAAAAAACAAAACAAAACTAACAACCCCCCAAAATACAGAAAATAGTAAAGGTAATTTCTAGGCGTTAAATTTGTTTTGTTTATGGCCAGGTTTTGTTGTTGTTGTTGTTGTCATTCTTCATACCACTTCCCCACATTTACCATCTTTGCATTTTGAAGTAGATCTTCAACATGGCATCTTTTCACCCTTAATTATTTCAGTATATATTTCTGAACAACAGTAATTCTTTCAAAATGGCAATAACATTGCTGTTTTATAGACATGTTTAATAAAAACATATAGACATGTTAAATATAAAATTACAAAAAAATTTAGTACTATAATGTATTTAGTCTTCAAGCCAGAGTTCCAGTTTCCCTTATATTTCAGAGGCATCTGTATATATTGAAATAGACAACTTGATAGAAAGTCTCCTCAGAAAATTATTTCTGTGACGTGCTTGCAGGTACATATATGTCAGGATGAAGTATCCAGGGTGTTGGTTGAGGCCGAAAAGGGAAATAAGGAAGATGTCCTCTTGTTTGTTCTTAAAAACATTAATTGTTTTAAATGTGTTTTCATTAACTTTATGACTATACTCTAATATTGACTTCACATACCTCAGCATCTCAGCTTTTTTAGGGACAAATGGTCAGATGCCAAGGCCTACAAGAACCGATTATACAAGGACCGATCAAAGGAAGCCTTCAGGATCTCCCTTGTCACTAATGAAATAACTGTGATGTAACTCACAAGAAAATTACAAGACTTGTCCTATAGAATTTGAAAACTGTCTATTGGATCATTTTAACATGGAAAAGCTATTATTTTTCTCATATTGAAGCAAATGTCAGCATAGCACTGACTGAACTTGAATTGCATTGGTAGTTTCAATACAGGGTTTTATTGTTAGATTAAAGAATGGGCTTTGAAATTAATACACACAATTCTCAACACTTCAAAGAGGAATTATAGACTACCTCTTCTAACTCTGTCATTGGAACTAGGTTTAGACCTGGGTATATGCTATATGAAACATTGTGTATAGCCAATAGCAGCAGAAAGATGCGTGCACAGAGCCTTAGAAGCAAAGAAGTGGTCAAGTAATTACACAGGTGACAAATAATTGAAAACTGATCACTTTAGATGATATATTAGTAAAGTACAACAGAAGGGTGCTGGAGATATGACTAAATGGATTAAAGTGCTTGCAACATAAGTCTTACACATGTCCCCAGTACAACATTTTGAGATTGTTCAGTAATTAACACGTCATTTAGGTACTTTAAAATCTCATACATATATCAGATCACAGGTACCATATTTAATTCTGTATTCCAAGAATCTAAGATGCTAAACAAATATCCCAGGCAAGATAACTGCAAAAAAAGCATGTGTAACTAACTGGCAATACAAACTACTTCTATAAAGTTCTATGCATCAGAAGCTGGACAGATGGACTTGTCAAGTGAAAAACTAGCATGTCAGTAGAAACAGCTAATGTAGAGTGTTTCTTTTTTCCAAAAACATTGAAAGGAAGATAAAAAGAAATAGAAATAGTCCAATGGTTGGCAAAGCAGGCTAAGTCAGTGTTAAATCAAAATGGGCCAGAAGAGAAGACAATATTTTTGTCATGTCAATGAGTTCTCCAAGGTAAATTTTCTAATGCTGAAGACAGTGGTGTAGTAAATTTCATACTCAATGACTTTGAACATACTATGAAACTGCTTTAAGTTTATTACAGTTACAATATGCATGTATAGAATTTGAATTAGGCTGACTTTGTATTTCCACCAGTCTATATCTGTGTCATTTTTCTTTAGAATCCTGCCATCGATGTTGAGGTGAACTGCATTGATTTGTTTCAAACAGAAGGATATAATCTGATAGTTTGTGGAACGTTGAATGGCATGATTATCTTATGGAATTTTATAACAGCTACTGTCAAAGAAATGTAAGTGTCATCTTGCCCCAAATACTATGAGTTATACTACCTAAGAATCTAAATAGCAAGTAATACCTGCAAGGAAGGATTTTCCTAGAGGTTATGTTCATATGTTGAGAGTCTAAATTCCCTAATCACACAAAAAGCCTTAAATATTTGTATACCCAAAAGATTTCTCCTTTACATAATTATATGATCTTTCCAAGTTTAAATTTATGGCTCAACAAATGGTTTTTATTTTTAAAATTTTACTTGTTTGTATGTATATGGATGTTTTACCTGATAATGGCAGGGGTCAGAAGAGGACATTACAGTTGTGAGTCATCCTATGGATACATGAAATCAAACCTGGGTCTTCTAGAAAAGTAATCAGTTCTCTTAACCACTGAGTCATTTCTCTATCCCCAACAGATATTTAAAATGAATAACAACTTGACACACTAATGTCTACAAGCTTTCAAGTATATATATTCAGTCATCTACTAGTATTTCCTATCTGATCTCTCTCCTTTCACATCAAGCTTCACAATCCCTGACATGCCATGCCATCAAACTTCTCCTCTCCTGTATTCCTTGTGGCACCAATGTCTACACACGTACCAAAGACAACATTCTAGAAGGCATCCTAGAAGGCTTTTCCTTCTTTACATCAGCATATCCAATTTATTGCATGATGACTCTAGCGAGGGCCAATGTCACAAGTGCATCCTGGATTTCAACCAATTCTGCTGAAATGCTCTGGATCATGCCTGGAGTGTTTATTCTCCCCAATTAACCATCTCTAAATATTCCTGCCATTGGTTTAAAGGAACTAACATAATACATTATCTGTATAACTAAACTGTAAATAATAGACTGTCTCCACTTGTGTCTTGGACCTTGTATGGACACCCTCTATCAAGAGGACTTATAAAATTATTTGAAGATACAAAATAGCCAATAATCTTAATAAAATAAAATCAAGTTTATCTTGGAGAAGAGGCAAGTAGAATGGAAAAGAAAGGGAAAGGAAAGGGGGAATGAGGAAAGCACATAATAAATCTCTATGTTTAGTTAGAGGACATTATCTATTACTGGTCTACCTGGATAATACCCCTTCTCATCAAAAGTTGGCCCCATCCTAACAATCAGTAACTGTCCTTGGGCTTTTCTTCTGTACTGTATGCTTATCATTTGATACCTAGTCTACACACACTAGACAATTTGTCACATTATTATTAACAGTTCTCACATGAAGGTGTCAGTTTTTTCTGACTCACTTCTGAGAAGGAAAACAGATAGATAAAAAGATCAGTGCTGATGCCACCATGAAAAGAGGAGGTAGCTGTCCTGAGTTATTTCCAATTTCAAGGTAGCAATCCTTCTTGCTTAAGAACCAGGCATTTTATTTTGCTAAGGGATGCATGCAAATCTAGTACTCAATAAAAGAAAGCAACTATGGTAGGTTATACATTGTGTCTCTTTGTGCCAGGTGTTGGTGGAGTATGTCTTTAATCCCAGCACTCAGCAGGCAGAGGCAGGCAGATCTCTGTGAGTTCGAAGCCAGCCTGGTCTCAGAGAGAGTTCCAGGGCAGCCTCCAAAACAATACATAGAAACCCTGTCTAGGAAAACAAAACAAAAAAAAAACATTGTGTGCCTTTTCTATAGGCAGTGACTATTTTATAACAGTATGGTCCTGGGAGATAATTCAGTGAAGAAAGAACTTGTACTGCATACACAAGGACCCGAATTTTATCCCTGAACTTAAGTGTGAAAAGACAGGTGTTTTGACCACATACTTATAACCCCACTGGTGATGTAGGGGCAGGTAGATTCCTGTGGTTTGCTAGCTACCAACCAGCCAAGCCTACTTAACAAGTTTATGAGATACTGTCTCATAAACAATGGGTCCTGTACCAGGTGAACAACACAGAGTTTGTTCTTTGGCTGCTACACATCTACCACACATATAGAATGTTTTTTATTTAGAATCACTGGAGTCTTTTGGGAAAGAAAGACACAATTTATCGCAGGACTGTGTAATATACTCCCAGCTTTACTGGTTATGAAACTTAACATTATTCCTATATTTATGATGGAGACCATTTCCACTATGTTATTTATTAATTAATTTTATATGTATGTGTGTCTTGTTTGCATGTATTTCTGTGCACAAACTGTGTGTCTAGTGGCTACAGACACCGGAAGACTGTGTCAGATCCCCTGGAACTAGAGGGAACTAGAGTTATGGACAGTTAGGAGCTGCCATGTGCATGCTAGGAGTTGGACCTAGGTCCACCATAAGAACAGCTAGTGCTCTTAACCATTGAGCCATCCCTTCAAATTGCCATTTCTTTTCTTTCTTTTTTTTTGGTGAATATCTTTTTTTAAAATTAGAAACAATCTTATTTTGCATATAAATCCCAGTTCCCTCTCCCTCCCATCCTCCCATGCCTCACCCAGGTGAGGCCTTCCATGGGGGATCATCACAGACTGTCACATCATTTGGGGCAGGGCCTAGGTCCTCCCCCATGTGCCTAGGCTGAAGAATGGGCTCCCAAATTCCATTTGGGATAAATACTGTTCCACTACCAAAGGTCCTATATACTGCCTAGATCTTCTAATTGACACCCACATTCAGGAGGCCTGGTTCAGTCCTATGCTGGTTTCCCAGTTGTCAGTCTAGGGACCATGAGCTCCTCCTTGTTCAGGTCAGCTGTTTCTGTGGGTTTCCTCAGCCTGGTCTTGACCTATTTGTTTATCACTCCTCCCTCTCTACAAATGGATTCCAGGAGTTTGACTCAGTCAACCTGACATTTCTTAATATATCTCATTTTGTCTGACTCTTTCACCAATCAAAAAGAAACAATGTTTCTCTCTCAAGAACATCTTGATTTTGGAGTTCAAGCTTAATAGCATTTCTTGCCAATTAAAAATCTATTTCATGATTGATTGATGATCAAATATATCTAAAAGTGTGGAGCTAAAAGTACCATCAGTTCACAAGCTTCCTTTTTGATCTTGGTCCCATCCATATGAGACTCCTGCACCAATGTGTCAGTCTCCTTTCTGCTACTGTAACACATCCCTAAGACAGTAAGAACAAAGGTTTGTTTTGACTCATAGCTTCACAGGTTCAAGTGATCAATTGACCCTGTTTTCTTTGAGCCTGTGAGAAGCATCAGATCAGAGTAGGAATAAGTGATGGAGCATCTCATATTAAGAAAGTGAAAAAAGAAAGAAAGGGAGAGGGTGTCTGATCTCTCTCAATGATCTGTTTTCCAAAGGATAAGAAAACTTCCTACTATGCCCCACCCCTTAAAAGCTCAACACCTCCCAAGGGCACTGATCTGGGGAGCGAGCCTTTAAAATATGGGTCCTTGAAGGATGTTCCAGATTCAAATTTTAGCAACTATTCATCAGCTCAAATTAGCAGATGTAATTTCCCTTAAAGGAAAGAGGCATGTTGCTAAGAGGTTAGTTTGCCCTAAGGGATGCAAAGTGATAGTTAAGAGACATAGCAGAGTGTAGTATAGGTAGCTAGAGACTACTGTTCTATTCCCAAGACACTACCTGGGAAGTCCCATGAGATCTGGGTCCATGGATGACTAGAGCAGTGGGAGCAGAATAATCATTGGATTATTGGCTGTTGTCCACTTGGTTTTAAGATCCTATGGTTAGGCACCACATGTCGCTCAGGTCCCTCCTTCCATATATTCAGAGTAGAATTCTGCTCTTTGAACTGTCAGAAACTTCCAGATGGTTCCTCTACAAGCTGAGACAATCTGACCTATTGGTAGGAAATATGTCCAGTTAATTGTATGAAACAATCTTTTGATTCTGCAAAACTTTAATAAAGAAGGCACATCTGAACTACCCCCTTTTCCAGGTTTTCATTTCATGTGCAGTGGGAACATTTTAAGTCATTATATCTGCATGGGATTGATGACGGTGTGAGACAAGTTTCATAGTTCATGCTGTTCACTAGGCAAGGACATGCTTGTTTTCAGATACCGGCCTGAGGACTGTTTCTCCACAGACCCTGAGTTGGATCCCAAACGCTTTCGGATTAATGACATAATGTTCCTCTTCCGACCCCCTGACTGTATAAGGTAACTCAGAACTCCGTGGTCCAGTAGTGCTATCTGGAACCCAGGTAGGTGACATGAGCTATCCATATCCCATCATTGAGTATGGGTCAGCTGAAGGAAAATGGATGCTGAGCTGAAGGGAAATGAGTGTGTGGACACTTAGCGTGTCAGCCTCACTGTGTAGACCCTTAGGATGTTAGCCACATTGTGTAGACACTTCCCAGTCACCTCAATGTATAGACCCTTACCATGCTCCTTGGATCTTACTTTTAGCTAAACCTAACCCAGCCACCACAAATGTACAGCAAATTTAGGTCTCAGAGGGAATAAATGGAAAAGGCATTGCAGATTTCATATACTATCTAGTATAACTGGGCGGTCTCCATTCACTCTTTCAAGAGCAGGGCATTGCTTGTTAACTTTCTAATCAAAAGTATTTTTTCTATTTTCTACTTACAATTGCTTTAGAAGTCTGTATTTTTAAGCAACAACATTAAATATCTAGAGGGAAATTAAAGGTTTCTGTGCTATAGTTAGGGTTCACTTGGTGAGTCAGAATTTAGCACCTTCCCTATACATCTTAAAATTTCAACAAAACTCTTTGGAGAATATTACCAGGGCCTGTTCTCTATACATAAGCTACTTTTCAGCCCATGGCCATAAACCATAGAAGAAGCAGGATCAGACCAGAAGAAATCAAACAAACAAACAAACAAACAAAAAGCACAAGAAGTTAGCCAGTTTTGTCTGCACCTGCTGCCATCCACCCCTGTATTTCAGTTTCTGAACCTCAATGACCCAATCTGGTGTTAACAGTGGGACAGCCTCCCAAGACCCAGGCAGCAGCATACCCCTTTCAATGCTGAGGCTGCTCAGCACTCTCCTGTAACACCACACTAGTGAGCATCCATCGCTTGGGATGTAGGGTGTGGCTGGTCAATGAGTGACTGGGATACTCCCAGGGATGAGGACGAAATAACCACCTGAACCTGGAGAAGAGGAAACTCTGAGTTCTGTGGGTTTTCTGAACGTTGCATCCTGTGTCTCCCCCATCCCTATACAGGAGATCGAGTCAGGATTCCATCTGCTCATCAACCCAGTGTGACTCAAGCAAGGGCCCACAGAGTAGCAAGGTAAGTGCAAGGTAGACACAGCAATCTCCTGTTACAAGCAGTGTCTCAGAAATAGTGGTCCTTGATGTACATCTATGTGTACATGTGAAATCTTTGTTTTTCCTAAAAATCAATGCCTACATTGTTTTTCCTTCAATTATTTTCAAGGTCTTCCCATATGTGAACATCCAATACATGACCATTAATAAATAAGTGTATTAATAAGTTACACCTAAGCCAGGTGGTGGTGGCGCACACCTGTAATCCCAGCACTCAGGAGGCAGAGGCAGGCGGATCTCTGTGAGTTCGAGGCCGGGCTGGACCGGAGAAACCCTGTCTCGTAAAAACCAAAAAAAAAAAAAATAAGTTACACCTATTGTTTTATGCTTGTAAAATAACCCAGTAATTTTGAGCTTCTCTTTTCTGTTATCACATTTCACATATGGTGTGATTAAATCACAGCCCATAATATAATGCAGTGATCTTCTGTCTTCTCAGTTCCAATTTTACATAATTTGCAGAGTTCTTTTCTATTCAGGATTTTGTTAAGTCAAATTTTCACACAAAAGTTAATTTGAAAGAACTAGTGTTTCAGAAAGACAACAAACAGTAGATAGAAAAGATAGGCAGAGCCACACCTAAGTCCGAGTTCTCTGTAAACTGCCCTGTCACTAAAGCTGGGCTTCTGTTTGCTTATGGGTAAGATTGGGAGAATAAAGACACCTGGTGCAGCTGTCAGTAGAATTAGAGACAATACACGCCAAGATTTGGGGGCCTAATCACTGTCACTAGTGCAAGTCACCAGGAAATACCATTGATTTATAGTTCTTCTGTTTGACTATGAACATCTCTACAATACAGTATTTCAAAGAAATAATTGTAAAATGACTTTCAACATTAGTACTTTGGAATGTCAACTCAACTCTTAAGAAGCTGCCCATGTAGTAGGTCTCACCCCCTTGCAATGTCACAGAAATGTTTTCTTTCTCTTCTCCATTCAGGGAAGTAAACAAAGTATACATGACACCGAAGTCAAAGGTCAGTATCAGCTCTCTCCCTTAGAAAGAAGCCACTAAGTCTTTTCTTTCCTTTGTGGCTCCTTGGATCAAGCCTGGGACCTCACACATGCTGGGCAAGCATGATACCACGGAGCTACAGCCCAGAGTAGCTCCTTTGCAACAGGGACTTTGTGTGATAGAATATTCCTGATTGTAACTGAATCTTGAAGTGTTTGGAAGTCTAGGTAGCCTAACACAGTGATTCTAAACCTTCCTAACGTTATGACCCTTTAGTACAGTTACTCGTAGTGTGGTGATGCATATCACCATATCAGATTATGTAAATATTTGATATGCGAGCTATCTGATATGTGACCCTCTGAAAGTTGGTCTGGTGGGAAGATTATTAAAATGATGTCCTTTAAGGGGCTCAATGGGAGTGAGAGGAAATGAGGAAGAGTAACACAGAGTAAATATGACTAATATATATGCTATACCTGAGTGAAATTGTCATAACGAAACCTGTTATTATTGATAGTTAATCTATGCTGATTTTAAAAGAATGGTGTGTCCAGAAACATTCTCAACATGAACAAAAAATTAGCCTTTTATGCTAATTCTAGGTTTTTAAAATCTGAAGTATTACTGACCTTTTCAGTCTCCAATGCATTTTGCTAAAACTTACTCTAGATTTATAAAACATTATAGATGTTTTAAAACTTCCGCAAGGTTCAGCTGCCACATGCAGAATCTTCTAGAGGCTTTTACATTAAGAGCCCAAATACGCCTTTTAGATTCTTTCCAGTGATCCAGTATTCCATTCTACAAAATGCTTTTCTGTTTTCTTCCCTGTGAATTCTCGTAAGTTGAAGAAAAAAAAATTGAGAAAATCCTGTGTTTCTCTTTTCCCATCCATCTCTCCTTTGGTGTTCCATAAAACTTGAAACCCCGAGGATTTCAGATACCAGCGTAGCTCATGAGTTTCTCTTCCAGGTGAGCAAACAGACATGGTGGGAGAGCAGCAGCCAGCGAGCAGGAAACAGCCCACCCCCGTGGAAGTGCAGCCTCCTATCGTGGTCACTGCGCACGAGGACGGACACCTCCGCCTGTGGACGCTGGAGGTGATGAAGTTTGGTCTTGGCTGGGACTCAAAAGGAATGGGATGAAAAAAGCATTGCAGCCTTCTTCCCCCTGGCTCCCGATGGAAATATTCCCCTATTCTAGCCAAACAGATGGCCTTTCAGTTCACTCACTAACTACTGCCAAGCTGCACACTAGGCCAGTTTTCCTACTCAAGACTTTAGATCGTCAGAACTGTTAAGAGTTTCAGATCTTTCAAGCTGAGCTGTAAATTCATGATAATATTTCATTGGATATTTAAATGAATATTGTCAATGATGTATTAAACAAAAGGATGTAAGGGGCTAGGGAGATTGAGTTAGTCAACAAAGCACTGAAGAGCTGAGTTCAACCCCTAGAATCCACATTAAAAACCCAAGTCTGGTAGAGAGAGCACTCTTATAATCCCAGTGTTGGGGAGAATGGATCAGCATATCCCTGGGACTTGCTGGCAAGCTACAGGCCAGAGGAGATCTTGTCCCAAAATAAGGTGAATGATGTTCCTCAGGAATGACACCCAATTGTTCCCTGACCTACACACACACACACACACACACACACACACACACACACACACACACACACACATTCATATTTTCTTGCCATAAAATAATATAAGAATATTTACACATAGCATATAAAGTACTTTTTCATTGTGTTTGTTCATCTGTGTGTATGTTTATGTACATCTATGTGTGCATGCCCTCCCAGTAATGAAAAAAATCAGAAGGAAACTTGTGAGAGTCACTTTTTGCTACCATGTAGCTCCCAGGTATCACATTTAGGTTGCCAGGCTTGGCAGCAAGCCCCTTTACTGGATGATCCCTAATATAAAACTGTAATGATATAAATTATTAAAAGATGGTATTGCTTCATGTTGAGTGTTCTTAAATCTTTTACTGTGAAAGCAGACATTTTAATATACCAGGATATTTCAAGTGTTTTTTATGGAGGGTGGGCATCCCAAATTAAAAGTACAAATTAGGGACCAGCAGGATGGCTCACTGCATAAAAATCAGTTGTCACACAAGCTCCAAAATCTGAGTTCAATCCCAGGAATCCCATGTGTAGGTGGAAGGAGAGAACCAGCTCCACAAAGTTGTCCTCTGACCTCCACACATGCGCCCCAACACACATACACATACACACACACACACACACACACACACACACACACACACACACTAAAGTTTGTTTAAAAAAATAAAGAATTTAAAGTAGGAGGCCTTAGGGGAACAGAAGAGGATCCTGCCCACTGTGACCCTGAAGCTCTTGAAGACACAAAAGGTCTGAGTGTTGTGATAAAGCTTCTTCTACAGAGAACCTAGGAGGCAACATTATGTGACCCACACTGAGATCTGAGAACTACAAGCAGCAAGACTGTCTGCCAGCTCGGCCTAAGTCTGCCCACGGGTTCTGACTTCATAATGAAACCCCCGGTTTGAAAACACAAACTGCCTCCAAGACGAGCTTGTAATAAATGCTGTTTTAACTGTGATGAACACAAAAAGAGAAACAGAACAGATGATATCCCAGTAAAGTCTTAGAAAACAGCCGCTGACTCATTCTATTCTCAGTCTCCAGTGAGGTAACATATATGAAAGCCCTTCCAAGGGCTAACCTATACCACTCAAAATAATTACAACTCATTATTGCTCCAACAGTCAGAAATATGAAATATGCCTTCTAACCACGGAGTTACATTTGACTCTATGGGAATGCCTGTGTAAGAGGAGACCATATAGTTGAAATCCCATGCAAGGAATTGTGGGAAAAGATAACACCAAAGAAAGAGGAACTCATCAGTCAGCTAATAGTCATCCGTACTTAAGAGTTCCATACCATTCATTTCAAAGTAGTAAGTCCTCATGGAGAGTGTCAAGTTATTTTCAGTACAGAATAGAAAATCCTGTCTCAGGTAGAGTGAAATTCAACTTTAATGTTGCGATCTTAAAGAATTTATTGCAGAAGTATTGTTTGCCTTGTCCTTTGTTCAGGGGAAGCTTCTGAAAGACATACTGCCCTTCACAAAGCACTCAGCCATTTCTCTGACATCACTGTACACTGACTCGTGCTGCAGGACACTGCTGGCCGGGAATGTAGGTAAGTCCTTGTTCTGACTGATTAAGCTGCATCTTAAGAATCTGTGTTACTTAGAAATGGCTCCGAGAAACACACATGACATTTGTGGGGACAAATGAAAGTCTCCAAGTGATAAAGTTTGACATCTGAGAACACAAAACAGCATGGTTGTCTGCCAGCTCATACCCAACCTTTTATGTTTGTGGCATGTGTCCTCCTTATAAGTCCTGCAGGGCCTGAATACCGGACCCATCATTTTATCCTTCACCTTACGGAGTTGTTCTTCTGGATACCCTCAGCACTCAGCTTAGATGCTAAGACTCTGCTGGGCCTCCTGGAATCTGAAACTCCAGGATTGTGAGATTGGACACTGCAGCAGACTGGTACCTGGCATGTCCTAGGGTATCAGCTAATGCCAAATGGCTGTATGCAACTACCTCAGGGCAGGATCCAAGGCTGTATGCTCCACCCAAAGGATATGGACCAAAATAATTTCTTTTTTGTTTGTCTTTTGAGACAGGGTCTTTTTTTTTGGTTTTTTTCGAGACAGGGTTTCTCTGTGGCTTTGCAGGCTGTCCTGGAACTCGCTCTGTAGACCAGGTTGGCCTCGAACTCACAGAGATCCGCCGAGACAGGGTCTTTCTATGTAACTTTGATTGTCTTAGAACTCGTTAAGTAGACCTGGCTGCCCTTGAATTAGTAGAAATCAGCCTGCCTCTGCCTTTTGAGTACTGGGAATAAAGGTGTGTGCCACCATGACCAGCATACAGATAATTTCTTCTGAAATTCTAGAAGTTTTCTGATGGGATCTTGGGGATCTCCTTTGTATAATATCATATCATTTATAAAAAGGAATAATTTGACTTATTTTGCTATTTGTAGACCTTTGATTTTTCTTCTCTTGTATTACTGCTTTAGCTAGGACTTCAAGCACTCTATTAGATGGAAATGGGTAAAGTGGACACCCTTGTCTTTTTATCTTTGTGGAAATGCTCTGAGTTTTTCTTCATTTGTTATCATGGTGGCTATTGGTTTTTTATGCACTGACTTTTATTATGTTGAGATATGTTCTCCATCCCAAGTCTCTCCAGGGATTTTATCTTAAAGGGGTACAGTATTTTCTAAAAGGTCTTTTCTGCATCAATTGAAATAATCATATGATTTCTGTCCTGGAGTCCATTTAGGCAGTCCCATTTTGTTCATTACTTATTTCCATTGAACCATCAATGCATCCCAGGAATAAAGCCACTTGATCATATTAAGGATATTATGGATGTGTTCTTGAATTCAGTTTGCAAGGTTTTTTCAAGAATTTTTTTTCATTTATGTTCATCAAGGAATTTGGCCTATAATTCTCTTTTGTGTTGAATTTTTATCTGTTTTGGTATCAAGGTGATCCTGGTTTATTAAAAAGAGCTTGGAAGTGTTCCTTTCCTGACTTTTATGAAACAATCTAAGTTGGTATTGCGATTCATTCTTCCTGGGGTTTGTTTTGTTTTTGAGATAATATTCCATGTAGCACAGGATGGCATCAAACTTGCTGTATAACCAAGGATGACCTTGTACTTCTGGTTATTGTGCCTCTACCTCCTGAGAACTAGGGTTACAGAGGATGAACCACCACATCCAGTTTTATACAGTGCTGGGGATCAAACCCAGGATTTCTACATGCTAGGCAAGCCCTCTACCACACTATATCCCCAGGCTCCAGATTTGCTCTTTTATATCTGGTTTCTCAGATTCTATTCTATCTACTAATATAGTGCCTGTATCAAAATGATCTGTCATTGTGGAGAGTGTTTGCCTAAAAAATATAATATCTAATTAAGGACTCCAATGTTTAATTTTTATACAGAAGGACATGTTATCCTTTGCAGTATTAGTTCCTTCTTGGATCAACCTCATGATGAAAAGGTATGAACTTAAAGAAATCAGCTCATGTTTGTTGAACATTTTCCTAAAATACACACACAAATAATGGAAATGCAAGCCCCGCCCCACTATACTCCAGGTACATATTCTACTGCAATTTCAGCTACATGACCCCAGCCTTTGCTTGGGTGGATGCTGTCTTAAGACAGAGAAAGAACCCTTGGATGAACAAATGCTCTTGAACAAATCTGAAACAATATGAAGTAAGAGAGTGTATACTTTTCAGCCCTCCTTTTGAAGACTAGACACAGGAAACTGAGTCATCAGTCTAAGAACCCAGAAGAAATTATTTTTAACCCTATTCAAGTATCAAGGGATAGGAGATGTGAAGGAGAAGTGGCAGCTTCCTATGACTTTGGTTACACAGATCACCCCAATTAGATGGCCCAGGGGAAATGTGGTCTTTGTGTGTCCATGGGTAAGTAGAGAGTGTGTTTCATACAGAGTATATTACTGCAGAACAAATTGTAGGGATGCCTTCTGAAGCCCCTTAGACTCCAAATGTGAGGACAAATGTTAAAGAAGGTTGGGCTTCTTTGGGTTCATCCGTTGACTCTCACACTGCTTTTGAAAGAGAATAAGCTTTGCCATATTCTTATTCTTTTTGTCAATTCCTTACAGCAGCTGCCTGTCACCGCATACCCCATGCAAAGAAGAACATAGTTAATATTTTCTCTAGATACAATTTGCCATTAAAAGGTCTCTTGGCCTTGGCTTTCACCTTCCAGGTCTACTTCCCCTCTCTCCTGATGGTCTTCACTGTGTCGCCCACAGCTACCAACCATCCACTAAAGTTCGCAGCAAATTAATGAAAATATGAGCTGCTTTCTCCAGCAGGGGTATGTGTAGAGTAATAATGCTCTAAAACAGGAGTGGTGTGGGTACCTCAGTGAGCAGGAGAAAAGCTAATCAGAGCAGAGACTCAATCACCATCTATCCTTACCCACTCATAAATGTAGCTCTTCAATGAGGAACGATTTTGCTTAAGATTGTGTTCTGATTCACTCAAGAGCTACGTCTTCTTATTGCCATCTAGAAATTCAAGCAGCTGCTTTCCTGGCGTGCCCATTCCTTAGAAATTATTCAAGTGATATATGTGGAAGACAAGCAGCTGGTGCTTACTGCCTCCATTGATGGCTCAGTGAGGTAACGCAGATTGGGAGAGGGGATATTGTGAGAGGAGTAAGATTTGACGCTAATGTTGATGTGTTTGGTTTTGATGCAGTGCTTTGGATCACTTCTTGACCTTTTGGCTAAGATCAAACATGTGTCTATTTTTATCAGCTTAATATCTGATACATCCCCTATCTGAGAACAATATTTTAAATAGATTTGGGAGCTTTCTCCACCTATTCAATGTGTGAGTCTAATATATAGCATCTACATAAATGGTACACCCTCTTCATGTGATTTCAGGAAAAGCACAGCAATAAATTAGAATAAACTCATTAGTAAACCAAAAAAGTTATACAAAGAATCTTTGGTAAAGCCATCACTGACTTGAATTCTGATATATATATATCCAGGGAAATAAGCTGCTATCCAGGGCAGAGACATGGGCCTCAGAATCATTTTTTTAATGTTTGCTCTTTCACATATTCATTAAGAAATACTGCTTTTTTAAAGTTATGACAAATATTTGCAGTAGAATTGGATTTTATAGGGTTTATCAGAGAATTAAACAGGATAGACACCTCAGAGAACGAGACTCATACCTGGGGAAGGGCATGGGAGGTGGTTTGGGATCAAAAGTTTAAAAGATAGTCATTGGAAAGAGTGTGTGGCTAGGTGGAGTAGAGTATAGCAGTAGTTCTAGCTCTCTGGAGGATAAAGAGGCAGTTGGTTCTCTTTAGGCTCAGGAATTTTAGGCTAGACTTAGAAACCTTGTCAGAAAGAGAGAGGGAAGGGCAGGAAGGATGGAAGAGGGAGAAGAATGAAGAAAGGGGAGCAGGAGAGGGAGGGGAATGGGAATAAAGGAAGGAAAATGGACCAACAGAAATGAAGGATATAAAGACAGGAAGGAAGGACAGAAGGGGAGGAAGGAAGGAAGACAGAAAGGAAAGAAATGAGAAAGAGAAGAAGGAATAAAAAGAGGATAAAGAATGGAAGCAAAAAGAGGGAAAGGAGAGGAGAGGACAGGTGAGGATGGCAGGAAATGGAGGGAAGAATAGAGGAAGAAAGGAAAGAAAGGAGAAGAGGAAGAAAAAGAAACAAGTAGAAGAAGAGGGATCCACCCAAACAAAAAGCCCCCCAATAGTGAGAGATGGGAGGGGCCTAGCTATTTTAGTGTGATTGATTTTACATAGCCTACTTACTTGAACTTAACTAATTAATTGTAATCAATGCTAAGCACATGTACCCAAAATACAAAATACTAAAAATACATACACATATATAAAGAAAAGGAAAGGAAATGTCATGACATTTCTGGAGACAAACTGCTGCCTACTTGAAATGTTTTAAAGTCATGGCAATGAATTATGCACTTGAAAGAATGGAGTTAGATAATATTAGAGATCTAGAGAGACTTTGAGTGAATCAGAAACAAATCAAACTACAAATGAAAAGGAAGGAATGTTTCATACTCTTATCAAGGTCCTTGAATTAAAATTCAACAGATCCAGGGTAACTGTCTGGACTTGGGTCAGTTGATCAGTTGGGACACAACTATGTAGTCCATAGGCATTGCTGTGGATTTATTCATTTACCTTTAAAGTAGAGGTATATTAGGCTGGAAAGAAGTGGTTGAAGATTGAGAGCCATGTGGCAGGTCAAATCAAGATGACATGAGCTTTGACTAAAGGAGGAAGTAAGAGATCAATGTAGAGAATGGGACCTGCTATGTACAGCCAGAGGAACCCTAATGCCATTCCAGGTAGAAGTCACTATAAAAACTATAATATGAAAATATCAAGGGAACTTTTTAGAAATATCAAGATTAAGGTGATTCTGTAAAAGAGGCAAATGGATAGAGTTACTTCTTGTGTCAGGAAAAAACAACCAGTTTTATTTGTAGGAAAAAATGTATTGTTATAATTACCATTGATAACTTGGCTTTCTGATCTTTACTTGGCCTTGTTTTCAGCTACCCATCAACAGAAATATTTGATGAAAGCTATAGTATATGCAGTTGTGCATGTGAATGCATATGCACATGTGCACATACCAACCACATAGGTATATAAGTCTCTGTTGCTATGAGCATTGCCCTCTTTCCCCAGTCTCTTTAGGCTGCTATAACAAAGCACTTTAAAATGGGCTATTTACAAGCAAGAGAAATTTATTACTCATGGTTCTAGAGATTGGAATGCCCAAGATCACATATCAACAGATTTCACAGTTAGCGCTTGTTCTCTGCATTATGTCACCTGCCTAACTCCTACCATAGTATATGAACATTGGCTTTCCACCATTGCCACAGGGCACTTGATCAAATCAACTTAAAGGTGGAAGGTTTTAAGCTAGTGGTGTGTGTGTGTGTGTGTGTGTGTGTGTGTGTGTGTGTGTGTGTGTGTGTGTACATGTATATATGTGCATGTGTCATAGGGGTACATACATGTGCCATGGTGCACATGTGGATCAGAGGACAACTTCATGGAATCAGTGCTTTCATTCCACTTTTCTGCAGGTTTAGAGATTAAGACTCATGTCATCAGGCTTGAGCAACAAGTGCCTTTTTCCTCTTGCCACACCAGGGGTCCATGAGGGGTATGTTATTTGGGCTCAGAGCATCAGAGACTTCTGTCCTGGTTGGCATGGCTTCCCTGTTTCTATGCCTACAATGAGACAGAGCCTCCTGATAGAGGGGCAGCTTTGTGGAGGCTGGGAAGCTCACACAGAGAGGGACTATGGCATGACTTTCAAAGGCATGTCGCAGTGACCCGTCCAACTGAACCCCACTTCCTTATCACCCGCTTAACTGTGAACTCATCCACTGGTGTGGTCAGCACCTACATGATCTCAATCAACTCTTCAGTGCCACTAGCTGGAGACCCAGTGTCCAATGCATTAGCCCTTGGGGACATTCTATATCTAAATCATGACAGTGAAAAGGTGCAACAGCTCCACCAGACCTCTTTTGTTAGGGACACCACTATAGTTTAACTTTTCCCTCTAAAACTCCTGTTAAAATTTAATCACTAACGTGAGCCTTTAAGAGAGTAGAAACTTAATTTGACTGTGATATTTAGAGATTAAGGTTCCTAGAATGTAGCCAAGGTTAAGTGAGGCTGAAGACAGGGCACTGATGCCATGAGACTGTGACTCATAAAAAAAAAAAAAAGAGGGTGTGGCTGGCAAGATGGATTACAGGTTAAAGGCACTTGCTGCTAAGCCTGATGATCTGAGTTTGGTCTTGGAACCCTACATGTCAGAGAGGAAACCAACTCCCACAGCTTGTTCTCTAATGTCCACACAATCACCTCTGCACACGCGCACACACACATACACATACACACACGCACACTAAATCAACAAACATAAAAAAATTTAAAGGATGAAAGGTATGAGTAAGGGTAATTTTCTTGTCCTGTAATGCTCTCTGGGCAGCTTTGGAACTCTATAGAGAGCCCCTTCTTGCATGGAGGACATCACCCTACATGACCAACCAGTTTTGAACTTCTCAGTCTCAAAACATCATGCAGTCATCTATAGAAAAAAAATAGACTAAGGTGAGCACCCATACTATTAATATAAGTGGACTCTTCATGACCTAAACACTTCATAAAGACACCACCTCATGCCCATCCTGTTAGAAATTAGGGTTCAACATGACTTTGTGGGGACACAGACATTTAGAGTAATGCACTGTTCAAGCCAGTTGTCCTTGGCCCGGAGAAATTATTTTTATGATTCCTTTAAGTGGAACGCTCCCCAGATACTCAATTCATAGAGCATGTCTCTATTAATAGCTGTCTCAAAGCACTGCTGCCTTTGTAACTAAGCCACATCCTTTGGCTAATATATGTTGCCACATTCTCAGGAGGCAGGTACTCCATCTAACATTCTAAATCTTGTTTATGAAAAGATTATGACTTTTCAGTGGAGAAAAAACATAACTGAGACTTAAGTCTGGGGCACAGGGCAGGAAATTGGAAGACTCCCAATGGCTCAGGGTCCATGTCTAAGGCCCAGATAGTCAGGTGGGGTTTTCACTTGGGACAGAGCCATGAGGAATAAGAAATACTGTGAAGCAGGAAATCAAGTTGCTTTAGTATGGGCCTGGAGCAGAATTCATTTAGCCTCTTAGTCTCCTCGCTTTTCTGTTTAAGGGGCTTGTTATAAATGCTCTTAATAACTCTATTTCCTTCCTGGTAACAGCTCTGGGAAGGCCATGCTACTTCAGTAATGTTCTAAATTAAAATATAGGAGGCGTGTAAGGAATTCGTGTTAAATCCTCAGACAGTGTCAAGTATGAGACATCTCAGCTGGTTACCTCTGCTTCTGCGTTCCCTCACTAGCTACTTCCTTGAGGGAGTCCACTATCTAAATTGTGTAGAATCTACTCTTAATCCCTTTAGGTTATGCTCCTTCTCAGGCATTGCAACAGAACACATGGTTAGGGTTGAAATCAAGACATAAAGAGATATCTGTAATCCCAGAACCTGAGAGGCTAAGACAAGAACAGTATTTTATTATGTACCCCTGTCTAGCTTGTCTAACTAGGAACTTCCTGTAACTCTCTGAATAGCTAAGCAAGGCTACACAGGGAGACCTGCTCTCAAAAAAAATCTAAACTAAACAAAGACACAAAGCATCTCTCGATAAGATAAAGAGCACACATTCCTGTTAATGGTATTCTATATTAGTTTAAGTCCTCTGAGCAAACTGGAGGAGGGGCCATTGGATAGGGAAATAATACAAATGGGAAAGAAGAACTTCCTTTATCATTCTTCCTCACCACTCAGCTGTGAACATTGGAGAGTAGGAATTGTGGTTGGAATCAGATATCTCTTTTCACAAGTTCCATGCTGGTGATGATTCCTAAGTAGACAGATGAAACATAGCCCATTGTAAGACCTATTTTAGCTAACAGACTCTCAGGTGGGTTCTGATCAACTCGTGTTAGAGAGTTTGCTGAAAGAGAAATCCTCCTTGTTTCCTGGCTTCAGTCAGCAAAGATTGCTGGCACACATTCAAACTGGCCAATGCCAAAAAGTTACAGGTTAGAGTTCCGACTGATAAAAATGTTTACATTAGGCCAGGAAGTGGTAGTGTATGCCTTTAATCCTAGCACTCAGGAGGCAGAGGCAGGTGGATCTCTGTGAGTTCGAGGCCAGCCTGGTCTACAAAGTACATAGAGAAGCCCTGTCTCGAAAATCAAACAAAAAAATGTTTACATTAAGGGCTAGGGGTGTAGTTCAGTGACAGAATGTTTACCTGGTATGCTTGAAGCATAAGGGTTTACATAATTATTAATTCCACAACATTTAGAGTCTTGAATGAACTTTAAAATCCTTGGTACGTCTATGCACTCCATGAGACCTATGACCTGTGATCAAGCTCATTTCTTGTAACTATTCCAGTCACTTCCCCTCCCTTCCTTGACTCTCCCCTTCAGGCTCTGGCACTCCACCAGTGGGCATTACTGTGGCTATTTTGGGCAACGCAGAATGTTTGAGTTATCCCAAACAAGCGATTTTATTTTGCCATGTGATGTTAATGAATATCCTGTAGAGATAAAAGAAGAAACCAAGTTCACAGAGAAGAAACAAAAATATGAATATCCTCTGATATTTGACCGTGAAAGGTGAGAACATTTAGTTTTCTTTAAATGAAAAGAGTAAAATTATTACTGTGTGGTGACATTGTATTGGAGTAAGGAATTCAAAATCAAAAAAATTTTTAATAATTCTGAAGCCCCACAGAAGGGAGGAATATGTAAATAAAAATATAATTTGGTGAAGTAGTCCTGAGAACACATAATTCTTAATAGTCAATGGGCAATACCAAAGAACAAAAAGACATTTGTGTCAGCAGAGGCACCAAATAACTGAAGACCATGATATGATATAGTGCCACCTGTGGAGACCAGGGACAGAGGGGATGTGGGGGAAAATATAGGAGACAAATCTACAAAAGTTTGATAGAACCAGGTCTGCATCTGCTCACACCTGCAATTTCAGGGCTGCCAAGGCTCTCACGTGCTACCCAGCAAAACTCCATGTCAAAAAACACAACAACAAATGGACTGAAAAAGTGGTTCTGTGATTAACACCACTTACTGTTCTTGCAGAGGACCACAGTTCAGTTCCTGGCACCCACATCAGGTGGCTTAGAGTCAACTGTACCTCCAGTTACAGAGGATTCAGTCACCTCCCCTAGCCTCCAAAGACACCTGCACAAGTGTGTGCATACTCACACAAATCCATACATAAAAATATAAAACTAAAATCCTTTTTTAAAAAAATCCACAGAGGTCACGTTACTGTGTCTGTGAGCCAAACTGAGAAATTCAAACATAGAACTCACTGGAACAGCAGTTACAGCAGGAAACATGGCACAAAGGAAAACCAGATGGATTTGGTTTGGGACGGGGTTTAGTCAACTGTGCTGGTGGTCCATCCAGGTAGAGCATTTCAGATGCACTCAGGTCAGTCTGCCTGCACATGCTGAAAAGAGTCCACAGCTGTAGACAAGGATTTGAAGTCAGTCATCATAGTATTATTTTCACTGTGAATAAGGCACCATATCTTTTTTCCATTTATTTATTTATTTATTTTAATTTTAAATAGCTTGTTTTACATGTCAATCCCAGTTCCCTCTCCCTCCCCTTCTCCCGCACCCCCACACCATCCCCTCTTCCTCCCACCCTATTAAGGCACCATATCTTAAGTCAGAAAAATAGCAAACTATAACATATTCAACAAAATCATAGAAGAAAACTTCCCTAGCCTAAAGAAGGATATGCCTATGAAAATACAAGAACCTTACAGAACACCAAATAGGCTGGACCAGAAAAAGAAGTCCCCTCGCCACATAATATTCAAAACATCAAACCTACAGAATAAAGAGAAAATATTAAGAGCAGCTAAAGAAAAAGGCCAAGTAACATATAAAGGCAGACCTGTCCAAATTGCAGCCGACTTCTCAATAGAAACTATGAAAGCCAGAAGATCCTGGACAGATGTCCTACAAACCCTAAGGGAACAAGGGTGCCAGCCCAGACTACTATATCCAGCAAAGCTTTCAATTACCATAGATGGAGAAAACAAAATATTCCAGGACAAAGCCAGATTTAAACAATATATATCCACTAATCCAGCACTACAGAAAGTGCCGGAAGGAAAACCGAGACCCAACGAAGATAACTACAGTCACAAAGACATAGGCAATAGATAATGCCACTTTACCAAACACCAAAAGAAAAAGGAAGGAGAACCTACACACAATAACACCACTAACAATAAATGAAAAACAAACAAGAATCATCAATCAATGGTCATTAATATCTCTCAATGTCAACGGTCTCAACTTGCCTATAAAAAGACACAGACTAGCAGAATGGATATGAAGACAGAACCCATCCTTCTGCTGATACAAGAAACACATCTCAACGTCAAAGACAGATGTTACCTCAGAGTAAAGGGTTGGGAAAAGATTTTCCAATCAAACAGATACAAGAAATAAGCTGGTGTAGCAATCCTAATATCTAACAAATTAGACTTCAAATTAAAATCAAAAGAGATGAAGAAGGACATTTCATATTCATCAAAGGAAAAGTTCATCAGGATGAAGTCTCAATTCTGAATATCCATGCCCCATATACAAAGGCACCCACATTTGTGAAAAAAATTACTAAAGTTCAAATAGCTCATAAAATCTCACACACTAGTAGTAGGAGACATCAACACTCCACTCTCACCACTAGACAGGATCTCCAGACAGAAACTTAACAAAGAAACAAAAGAACTAATAGAAGCTATGACCCAACTGGGGTTAACAGACATCTATAGAACATTCCACCCAAACACAAAGGGATATACCTTCTTCTCGGCGCCACATGGAACCTTCTCTAAAATTGACCACATAATTGGAAACATAGCAAACCTCCACAGATACAAAAAAATTGGAATAACCCCCTATATCTTATCAGACCATAATGTATTAAAATTAGAACTCAACAATAACACAAATCACAAAAAACCCTACAAACTCATGGAAATTGAACAATGCACAATTGCACCATCCCTGGGTAAAGGAAGAAATAAAAAAAGAAATTAAAGACTTCCTGGACTTCTATGAGAATGAAGACACAACATACCCAAACTTATGGGACACTCTGAAATCTCTGCTGAGAGGAAAGTTCATAGCACTAAGTGCCCACATGAAGAAATGGGAGAACAGTCACACTAGAGAATTAATAGCACAGCTGAATGTTCAGAACAAAAAGAAGCAAACTCACACAGGAGGAGCAGACGCCAGGAAATAATCAAATTGAGGGCTGAAATCAATCAAGTAGAAACCAGGAAAACATTGTAAATAATCAATGAAACAAAGAGATGGTTTTTTGAGAAAATCAGCAAGATAGACAAACCTTTGTCCAAATTAACCAAAAGGCAGAGAGAGCACACTAATTAACAAAATCAGAAATGAAAAGGGGGACATAACAATTACACTGAGGAAATCCAGAGAATCATCGGGGCATACTTTGAAAACCTGTACTCCACAAAATTCGAAAATTTAAAGGAAATGGACAATAGCCTGGATAGATATCACTTTCCAAAACTAAGTCAAGAACAGATAAAATATCTAAACACACATATAACCCTTAATGAAATAGAAGCAGTCATCAAAAGTCTCCCAACCAAAAAAAGCCCAGATCCAGATGGCTTCAGTGCAGAATTCTACCAGAAATTCAAAGAAGAGCTAATTCCAATACTCCTCAAAGTGTTCCACACAATAGAAATGGGATACTCACTGCCAAACTCTTTTTACGATGCTACAATTACCTAGGTACTCAAGCCACACAAAGACACAACTAAGAAAGAGAGTTATAGACAAATATCCCTCATGAACATCGATGCAAAAATAATAAAATACTAGCAAATCAGACTCAAGAACACATCCACCATGATCAAGTAGGCTTCATCTCAGGAATGTCAGGATGGTTCAACATACGAAAATCTATCAATGAAATCCACCATATAAACCACATGATCATATTACTAGATGCTGAAAAAGCTTTGACAAAATCCAACACCCTTCATGATAAAGGTCTTAGAGAGATTAGGGATAACAGGAACATACCTGAACATAATAAAAGCAATATACAGTAAACCAACAGCTAACATCAAACTAAATGGAGAAAAACTCAATGTAATTCCTCTACAATCAGGAACAAGACAAGGCTGTCCACTCTCTCCATATCTCTTCAATATTGTACTTGAAGTTCTAGCAGAGGCAGGTGGATCTCTGTGAGTTCAAGACCAAGCCTGGTCTACCAAGCGAGTTCCAGGACAGGCTCCAAAACAAAACAGAGAAACCCTGTCTCGAAAAACCAAAAAAAAAAAAGAAAGAAAGAAAGAAAGAAAGAAAGAAAACCCTGATTTTAACCCACACACCTATGAACACTTGATTTTTGACAAAGAAGCTACAATTATACAATGGAAAAAAGAAAACATCTTCAACAAATGGTGCTGGAATAACTGAATATTGGCATGCAGAAGACTGCAGATAGATCCATGTATATTGCCTTGCACAACACTTAAATCCAAATGGATCAAAGACCTCAACATAAATCCAACCACACAGAAACTCTTAGAAGAGAAAGTGGGAGGTACTCTACAGGAGACTGCTTCCTGAACATAACACCAGGAGCACAGATACTGAGATCGACAATTAACAAATGGTACCTCCTAAGACTGAGAAGCTTCCATAAGGCAAAGGACACAGTCAACAAGGCAAAAAGGCAGCCCACAGAATGGGAAAAGATATTCACTAACACCATATCTGACAGAGGGCTGATCTCCAAAATTTACAAAGAACTCGAGAAGCAAGTCTCCAAAACACCAAAGGATGCAATTAAAAAATGGGGTACCAAATTAAATGGAGAATTCTCAATAGTAGAGTCTAAAATGGCTGAGAGACACTTGAGAAAGTGCTCATCATCCTTAGCCATCAGGGAAATGCAAATCAAAACAACTCTGAGATACCATCTTACTCCTGTCAGAATGGCTAAAATCAAAAACACCAACAACAATTTATGCTGGAGAGGATGTGGAGACAGAGGAATACTCCTCCACTGCTGGTGGGAGTGCCAACTCATACAGCCACTTTGGAAATCAGTATGGAAATTCCTCAGGAAAATGGGAATCAATCTACCACAAGACCCAGCAATTCCACTCCTAGTCATATATCCAAAAGATGTAAATTCATACAACAAGGACTATGTTCATAGAAGCATTATTTGGAATAGCCAGAACCTGGAAGCAACCTAGATGCCCCTCAACTGAAGAGTAGATAGAGAAAATGTGGTACATTTACACAATGGAGTAATACTCAGAGGAAAAAAACAATGGAATCTTGAAGTTCACAGGCAAATGGATGGCACTAGAAGAAACCATCCTGAGTGAAGTAACCCAGTCCAAAAAGACAAATATGCTATGTACTCACTCATATATGGATTTTAGACATGGATGGGGTAGTGCCAATCTGCAATTTGACTGACAGAGAGTCTGGGAAACAGGAAAGAACCTAAGAGAGATATGCATGGTACCCCAGAGAAGATGAATGAGGCAAGATCTCCTGAACAGATTGGGAACACAGCGGGGGGTGGCAGTGGGGGAGAGTGGGAGCTGGGAAGAAGAGAGGAGGAGAGGAAGAGGAGAGAGTAGGTCATGGGGGAACAGGAAGGTCGAGTGGGGGGTAGAATAGGGGGAGAACAGGATGAGAAATACCATAATAGAGGGAGTCATAGGTTTGAAGAGAGATCTGGCACCTCTAGCCATCTACAAGGATGACACCAACTGGCAGGCTAAGCAATAGTGGAGAGACCACCTTAAATGCCCATTCCTGGTAATGAGCTTGATGTCTACCTTCATCCAGTGACTGATGGAAGCAGAGACAAACACCCACAGCTAAAAACTGAACTGAACCTATTGAACCCAGTGACAGAGAGAGAGGAGCGATGAGCAAATGGGCAAAGAATGGGCTGGTGAAACCAGCAGAGACAGCTGTTCTGAACAAGGGGGAGCTCTTGGACCCCAGACAGACAGCTGGGAGGCCAGCATGGGACTGATCCAGTCCCCCTGAGTGTGAGAGTCAGTGAGGAGGCCTGGGCAACCTAGGGGCCCTGGGCAGTAGATCAGTGTTTATCCCTGGCATACAAATGGACTTCTGTGTCCATAACACAAAGAGGGATGCTCTCCCAGCCTGGACTCTTAATGGAGGTCCTGGACCCTGCCCTCAGCCAAAAACAGACTCTGCATATAGCCTGTGTGGAAGGAAGTGGGGATAGGGTGGGAGGCTGGGGGTGGATGGTGGGGGGTGTGGGAGGAGGGGAGGGAGAGGGAACTGGGATTGACATGTGAAGCAAGCTATTTTAAATTAAAGTAATAAAAAAACAGTTGCAAAATTAAAAAATAGCAAACTATGGAATAAATAAAGAGAAGGCCAAGGAAGAGATATAAGTGGAAAATCTTGAAAGAAAATAGCTAACATATGTAAGAAAAAAACATAAACAGGCAATGTAAGGGAAGTCAAGCGAGATAGTGTGTAGGAAAGCAAGACAGATCTTTTGTAATATACGGGAACAAAGCCACACAACAGAGAAGGAAGCATTGGGCTTAGCTTGAAAAGATATTTGATGACCCTAGAAGGGTAACGTCACTGGAATGATGGGAGAAAAATCACAAGGCAAAAGTTAAGGAAGCTACAGGGAAAGTTAAGTTTACCTTCCTTATATGTTTAACAATTCATTGTGTATTACAATATACTATTTTGGCAAGTGTATTTGTGTCATACGTATAGTATGTATTTAAAAATGATGGTGATTAGTGTTTCCATTTTGGTTAACGTTACTTTATGCTTGGAACCTTCAATGTTATTGCTGATGTTTTAGGTAGAACAGTCAACCAAAGTACACATTAGAGAGTAGACTTGCTAGCATGTATCTGTAATCCCAGCAGAAGCAGAGGCATCCGTGAAAGTTCAAGGCCAGCCTGGGCTTTGTAACAAGTTTCGGGCCATCCAAAGATACACAATGAGACCCTATTTCAGAAGAACAACAATAAAAAATGTGTAATAGAGCTTATTAGAAGCAGAGGAAGGGGGAAACAGGGTTTGCAAAGGAGGAAAGGGAGGTGTGATAACAGTCATAAAAAATACAATTAACATGGGTTACTTTTTAAGTAAAGCAAGTGATTTTAAGTATTGGAGGAGAGTATGTTTCCTGAGTTTGTTTTTGGGTGGAAGACTAAGGATGCTTGCAGGCATGGAAGAGAGGAAATATCTCTACTATGAAGAGTGGAATGTGAGGAAAAAAAGTGTTTTAGAAATGCCATCTCTTGTTTTTTTGTTTGTTTGTTTGGTTGGTTGGTTGGTTGGTTGGTTTTTGAGACAAGATTTCTCCTGGAACTCACTGTGTAGATCAGGCTGACCTCGAACTCACAGAGATCCACCTGCCTCCGGCCTCCCCAGCTCTCCATCTCTTGCTTTTTAACTGGCCTTTGTCAAAGCAGAAGAGACTTCGGCCTATCTGAACAAAGCTTATCTGATAGAAGTCGAAATGTCCAGCTTAAAAAAAATAGACCTGCCTAGGTTGGTGACAGTTCTGTAAATCATAATTCAGAGACACAACAAGGATGGCTCCCAAGCAGGAAGCCTCCGAGGGTTTGTCAAAGAGAAGGTCCCCTTGGAGAAACCTGAGTGAGTCAAAATGCTGGAAATAAGTATTGAAGCTAAGAACAGAAACTGCAGGACTCAAATAAATGCAACCAACTTGGGAAGAATCAAGAAGATCTCCAGCTGACTGAAAAAACAACACCAAAAGACTTGAGGCTTGCCTTGGCAGGCCAGTAAGAAGCAATGGAAAGGGGCTTGGTTAAAATATAAGAGATACTTGTAGACCCAACCCCATCAGGATATGGCCAAGTTCAGCAACAAGAGATGATTAGTCCTATCTTTTAGATAACTTTGCAGACTTGGATATTTATGTATCTTGTATTAGCTACTCCACTTCCTGCTGTGACCAAATGCCTGGCAAAGGCCACTTAAGGAAGAATTTGTTTTGGCTCAAACTTCCAGGGTACAGTCCATCTTGCCATAGAAGTCATGGCAACAGCAGCCTGAGGCAGCTGGTCCTGAAGCAGAAAGTGATGAACTTTGATTATGTCACTTTCTCCTTTGCATTCCATCAGGACTCCAGCCCATGAAATAATGGTCCCCACATTTAAAGTGGTTTTTTCTCACCTCAGTCAACAGAATCTTGAATAACCCCTCACAGACACGCCCAGACTCTTGTTTCTCGTGATGCTGGCTCCTGCTGAGTTAACGATATTAACTACCATGTATCTTCATACTTCAGATTAGTGTTCTAGTTTGTGACTGAGTCTTCCTTACTCATGAGTCCTTTAAGGACAATGGTCTTGCTTATGCATCTTTGTATGCCCTGTTCTTAGCTCAATGCCAGCACCCAAGAGGCACTCAAAAAACTGGTAGTGACCATTACAAGCACAGAGGACAGGTCTAAGTAGTAGATACCAAAGCATCAAAGGGTCATCATAGCTTGGGTAATTTAGATGTATGATATGTGCTTACTTTGTGTTATTAAGGAATAAGTTTGCTCTGTATAGCATATTAAGCCTTGTTCTATAGAATGACTCCATTACATTACATTTGTTTGTTTATTTGTTCATTTGTGTGGGGAGGAACAGACAGTGCAAGTCATAGCAAGTCTGTGGAGGTCAGTTCTCTCCTTCCACCTTGTGCATCCTGGGAATCAAACTCTGATCATCAGGCTTGACATCTTCACCTACTGAGTCATCTCTCTGCCTCTAGAATGATCCCATCTCAATATATAGCTATATAATATATGTGTACATATTATATAACATATATATTTTTTTAATTTTTAATGCTTAGCTATTACTTTCTAAATACATATGTAAATAAGTTTTAACTGTAGAGGAAACTTCCCAAGGTTACTCAAAAGTCAAGCCTTGAATTTATAAGACATTCCCCCATCCCTACTATGTAGGGCTCCCCACAAATGACAATTGATGATTTTAATTGCATGGACAATTCTGGCAGAGTAGAAATTGCTGCAGTTTCCCTAGAGGGAGATCTAGGAAGCAAAATGGAATGAGAATCAGGTAGAGGGTCAGTGTCGTTGGAACTGGTGCCATGGGAGTCAGGCAATGTGGGGAGCAGAGGGGGGAAGGATGCATGACACAATGGATATTTGCTCACTTGGCAAGGAATGCAAGTTACAGCTATGTGCTTGACTTTTTGTTGTATTTTTGTATGCAGATGGAAAAAAATGAGCTCAATGTCTTTGCTTTTCAAACGCACACCTCCCAAGCCCTTTGAAGTGCAACACGATTTTAAATTTTTCAAGTCTCTTTCTTCTCCAAAGGTAGCTAAAATGACAAAACTTATTGTTGCTTTTAAATTTTTGAATTTAAATATCTCCCTTATTGTAGCATGTTAGCTTTCTGTTGTTACTCTTGCAAACTGCTGCAAGATTTTTGGGTTTTTTTGCATAAACAATACAAGGTAATTTATAGATTTATAGGTTAAAAAAATCAAAATGAGAGCAGGGTGCAGTGCTGCTTTCCTACAATCCCAGCAGCACTTGGGAGGTGGAAGAAGGATGGTCAAGTGTTCAAGGCCATCCTCAGAGACTATGGAGTTCAAGGCCTATCTGGGCTAGATGAGAATTTGTGTATTTTTTATGCTAAAATGAGTCTCATGGGATTGAAACTGAAGTGTAGCCAGATCTGTATTTGTTCTAAGAGACTGAGGTGGGTGGAGAACCCATATTTCTTAGTTTGTGTACCCTCCCTTCATCATTAAAGTCAGAAAGGCAGGTTCTCTCTGAGCACATGGTTATGGGAGTTGGGAGGGGTGCTCACTCAGTCGGAAAGGTTCAGTACTTGGAAGAAGCAAGTAATTGCCTGGGGGACCGAGGTAAGTCAGGAAAGCCTCTCCTCTCAAAAGTATAAAGTTGGTACATAGGACTCCCAGGCTGAGGGTGGGAAATAGAGTGTAGATATCAGAAACAGGCGTAGACAACATCACTGGTGCCCATTCTGTATTGCAGGCAGGTTTGGTTTGCAGGGCACTCTGAGAAAAGTGAGCTGTTATCATTTACCCATGCTAGAGGATGGATTAGTGTGAGGCCAAAGGTTTGGAATTGATAATTAGTTAAAGTGTATTTCCTCTGACTCACACACAAATAAAGCACACACACCTGTCTGAATTAATCTCTAGGCTGCTACTGCCTCACTGTCTACCAAACACACTCACTGTCTTCCTGAGCTTTCTGTCCCCAGTGTGCACTTCATCTGGGGTGCCCTTGACATAGCCAGAATGTGTGTTCATCTGTCCAAACCAACCCTGTCTTCAGAACACTCACAAAGGAGCAGAGGTTAATGTCTGAAATATGAAAAACTAACAAAAAACCCTCTGAAAAATAAGTGAGACCAAGAAAGTCCAAAAACTGCTTTTAAAGCTTGGGTATTTCACGAAAAGAAAAAGCATGCCAGTAATCACACAAAAAGACTCCTAACCTCTTTATTGCACAGGAAATGCACATCAATAACACTGTGGGATTTCGCTTTAGACCTCCTAGGGTCTAAATGAAGAGCCTGATGACACCAGAAACTCTGTCTTCTGGTGGCAGCCATATGAACTCTTAGAAAGTCATAGAAAATCAATGTGACATTATCATGAATGTTTGAAAATAGCCATACCCTGTATGTACATTAGAGCTCAGGATATAGGCATAAGAATGCTAGGGCAGAAGACTAGCTAGGTCTACATAGTGAGTTCTAGGCTAACCTAGACTATGAAGAGAGACTTGTTCCAAAAATCAACACACACACACACATAGGAAACAAATCAAAGGTGAGATGAGAGCTGAAGTATTAAAGAAACTGGTTAAAATCCTTAGAAAGACTTTGTAGAGTCCTTGAAACACTTGAATAGCCCAATTTTTTTCTCTTGCTTTCCTGTCTTCCTGCCTTACTTGTCCAGTGAACAAAAGGGCTTCAATGCCTGTAAAGTTGATATATGATTCACTAGGGGTGTCTGATGAAACTAGACAGCTTTCTGGTAACTTTCTTCTGACATGTAGTTTACAATACAAAAATATCATGATAGTCAAGCTTCCCTAAATTTATCTTCAACAGAGAGCTTGCCTAAGATCTTCCACTAGTGAGTCAGGCATTTGACAAATATTTGATGAATGAAACATGCCCTTTCCAGTAAATCATTGTGTTGTTTTGTAGATTCGCCGATATGCTTTGGAAGGCTTCATGACAGAAAACAGAGAAGCAGGGATTGTTTTTGGTTCTCTGCCTATATACAGGGTAAGTCAGAAGTTTCTATAACTAGAGTGGTAGCAGGGCAATACGAAATCTGACTTCTCATTGCTAACACAATCAACCCTTTGATGCTTCCATAAATGTACTAGGTCCTGTTCTAGGCAAGTCTTAGGTTATATGTATCAGTAGCTTGAACTGATCACCTCTGCCATTGCACATAAGAGTGACTTTGAGTTTTGACACAGTGGTTCATACCTTCAGAATAAAATCCAAATGCCTTATAGTAGCATACAAACCTTCTATGATCAGGCTCTGCCTGTACCCTGTTTTCTACCACATTCTCCCCATGCTGTCCCTCTGTTCCAACAATGCTTGAGTGTTTCTGAACACTCCATCACTGTGCCTATGCTAATATCTGCCCAATAGTCATCAAATTGCTTGTCCAAGTCTCCATTCCAAGATAGCCTGTGTTAATTAATGGATGAAACCAAGAAATAATAAACCAAATACCAAGTATGTCAACTTAATGTCGGCATAGATCTTAAACATTACTTACCTTTATAAGGACATGTTCATTGTAGTAGATAACAAACAACAATGAGACTGATAGTAATCAACAATTAACTGGGGAGACGGTCCAGTCATTAAAGGACTTGCCACACAAGTGTAAGGACTTGAGTTTGGATCCCCAACACCCACACCAAGAACCAGAACACAGTAGGGTGCATCTGTAATTCCCCTGCTGAGGAGGCAGAAACAGAAAAATCCCTGGAGTTCTTGACCACCTATTCCAGTTTAATTAGTGAACTTGAGGTTCAGTGAGAGGTTGGACTTCAAAATATAAGGTGGAGGGCTGGGGAGATGTCTCAATAGATAAAGCACTTACCATACAGGCATGAGAACCGGAGTCAGATCCTCAGAGCTCACAGGAAAACTGAGAATTCACCTGCAATTTCAGTGCTTAGGAGGCAGAGCAGGGGATCTGCTAGGCAAGCTGGCTAGCTTGGCCAGCCTGAAATGGCAAGCTCCAATTACCCTGCACCAATAAAGACAGCAGAGAGTAATCAGGAAGACAGCTAGTAAGAATCTTTGGCCTCCACAAGCATGAGTGCACACATATACCTGAACGCTTATGTACACACACGCACACTGAGCTAACAATATGGTAATACATATATCTATATTTCCAGCACATAGGAAGGCAGAGGAAGAAGGGTGTGGAATTTATGACCAGCCTGAAATACATAAATCTGTCTCACAAATCAAAAGCAAGGGGACTGGAAAAATGATTCAGTGGTTAGGAATATTTGCTGCTCTTCCAGAGACCTGAATTCAGTTCCCAGCATCCACATGGCAGCTCACAATTTCTATAACTCCAGTTCCAGGGGATTGAATACCTGCTTCCAGCAACTGAAGACACCAAGAACATGCCTGGCACATGTACATACCTGCAGGCAGAACACCCAAATATAATCAAATTGTGTGTGTGTGTGTGTGTAATTTTAAAAAGTAAAAGAACACAGACCAACCTAACACAGGAAGAAAGGCAGAACAAGGATGTCTGAAAGGGGGCATGTGCTTGAAGCAGACAGACCTCTCATGTGGCACCTCTGCCTCAGGTTTACATTTCAGAAGTAAACTCTCTAAGTGTGCTTAACTCAGTCTGTGGTTTGCAGGTGCCAAGTCCCACAAGTCTAAGATTCCTTCCACTCATTGGCTCTGAAGCACAAAGGGAGTCAGTAGAGGTAGTTCCTGGGAAGAAGAGAGGCACCCATGTTCAACATGAAAAAGTAAGTTATGTGCATCCCACAGAACATTCTAATTCCACATGCACATACATACACACATACATATTTTTATCATTGCTTCTCTGTCCCCCAAAGCATTCTGAGCCTAAAATTATTTTCATGGATATTCCAGATGTGTATGTGTTTAGCTCAGTGAGATTAAAGTCGTGTGTGTGTGTGTTGAGTAGAAGTGAGAGGAAAGTAAAATACAACCTGAGGGTCTGGACAAATGGGGCTACTCTGGTCCATCACCAACAAGTTCTTCGCGTGGCTTTAGAAGACAAGCAACTGGATACAACATGGCTGCACTGTGTAACTGTCCTCGCTTAGGAGTCTAACTACACCTATGGGGGCCGTGGGAGCCCTGGCATCAGTAAGCTTACCAGTAAGGGTTATATCCCCATGCATTAACAGGAAAAATCCTGCAATTTTTTAAAAATTACAATGTGTTCCTATAAAGGATTCTCTTAATTTTTACATTTAAGTTAAAAGAAAAGGCTAGGTCCATCTTGCATATGGACAGGTGGTACCAAGGATCACATGCTAATTAAATGATAAGCCTGAGATCTTGACCTTCAGATTTCATAATCAGACTTTGTTCCAATAGCCCTAGAAGCTTCCATGGGCCTGACTTAACCTACACTCATCTATCTAGTCATCAGCATGGATCCAAAATTAAGAGAAAGATGCAGTCCATTGTATAGCTTTTATTGCCCATTGCAAACACAGTAACTGATTTCAGACACCGTGGCAACAACACTAACCACTTTTAAAAGCTATTTTATTAAATAAAGATGGAAAATATCTTCATAATTTAGTTAGCTTTTGCACTGACTGGAACTATGGATAAGTCCCATTAATCAGCCATGCTGTCGATTATTCAGGAAAGAGCTATTAGCAATAGGGGCATTTTTTTTATAAAAGTAATATTTGCTTTTAGTTGTAAGGAATGGATGAAGCAGCATGTTAGAAGTAATCCAAAAGTAAAAGGAAAAAAATGTGTGCCCCATATTTTTATTCTTTATAGTTTTAGCTAATCTGATAGTAAATATAAGTGTATCTTCTATGCAAATCCAAAGCTTAGAAATGAAGGTGACCACATAATAAGAATCAGCATAGTGGAATTAAAACTTAGTCATAGCTAGGATATAGGTTGATAACTCAGTGGTAGTTAACTAGCATGTGTAAAGTCCTGGCTTCAATCCCTAAGTGCCACAAAAATCAAACAAAGGACTGAGTTTGGTAACACACAATGTTAATCCCAGCACTCAGACAGAGACAGGCAGATCTCTGTGAGTTTGAGGCCAACCTGGTCTACAGAGTGAGTTACAGGAATGTCAGGGCTATGCAGTGAGAGACCTTGTCTCAAAAAAAAATCATCAAGAAAGTTCAAACGTGGACAAAGCATAAGAATGTGAACTCTGTGGCATGTAACCTATTTTCAAATCTATAGAAATACCCAGCCACAGCAAAATGGTTTCATTGAAGATGGTATATATGCCAACATAGTCCATAGTTTCTCCAATGGATACCTAACAACAGAAATGCTCACAATTTTATTTTAAACAAACAAAAAAATTATACTCAGAGACCCAGGGATATGACTCAGTTGCTGAAGTGCTTGCTCTGTGAGCATGGGGGCCTGATCTTGGATACATAATAAGTGGGGTGCAACAGTGTATGTTTGTAATCTCAACACTGGAGAGATGAGACAAGAGGCCACTGGGACTACGGAGCAGCTAGGGAGGCTAAGTTGCTGATCCAAGGTCAGTGAGATTAAATAAGACAGTGAATGACTAAGGAAGACACTTAATGCTAATGTTCTAGCATCCACATGCACATACACACACACACACCATACACAAATCTGGTGATATAATTTATTATAATGACTGATTTTACCTTAAATTATTATGCCAAGTCTGAGGCTGTGCTCTTGGAATGCACTCTCACATCTTTGCAACAATGCATTAAAATTAGCACCCCATTTTTCAGTTACAAAACCAAGGCACAAGGCATAAGCAACTATCAAAGATTCCCAAAGAACCCAGCGGCAGAGCTGGGCTTTAAACCCAGAAGTTTGGCTTCAGAGCCTAAATGTTTAAATACAACACAGTATCATTTGGAAGTACATGAGCTTCCAGGATCTCCTGGGGGGAATGCCTCTAAGAGCACACAAACAACGACAGCGTCCTCATTCAGTTTCATTTTTCTCCCTACCCTCATGACCATAAGACCTCTTGTCGTACAGTAATCCCCCTTTCTACTATGGCATCTTGCTTTTCCTTGAGAATTCATTTCTTTTCACTGTCTTTATTCTACTAAATCATAAGGGCATGCATTTCATCCAACTCATTCTTTCAGACTGACACTCAGAAGGAGGGAGAACCTGCTGACTAGTAGGCTCAGGAAAGAAAAGAAGGAAGCATAGAAGATGGCAGAGGACACCTGCAGAGTGGGGACACTCCCTCTCTCTTGGAGTATGCCTGTCATGAGGGGACCTGAGTCTCCTATCTTGTCTCAAGGAGAGAGGAGCAGAGATACTACTACCCATTAGTGCCCAGGCCTGAAAGGCCCATGAAGACAGAGGTTGGGCCTCATAACTTTCTGTCACTTTGTGCTACAAAATTTTGTAACCAAATTCCAGAAATATCTCAGAAACATATGGTGTTCGTCTAGTGTCTCTTATAAATGCTGATTGAATGTTGCTGACAAAATGTGTGTCTATCTATATGTATCTAGTATCTATCTGTCTACGGGTTTAAATTTTTTTTATTTTTATGTGTATGCACACCCATGTCATGGCATACAATTAGAGACCAGAGGCGGGCCTTCAGGAGTCAGTTCCCACCTTGCACAGTGAGATCAGGGGATAGAAGGCAGGTAGTCAGGTCTGTGCAGAAAGTGCTGTGCGCAGCTGGGCCATTTCATTGTCCGAAGAAGTGCTTTTGGGGTCTTGTCGTGTAGTCCTAGCTAGCCTGGAACTTGTTTGTTCCAGGCTGGACTCATACTTGTCCTCCTGCCAACCTTTTCCAGTTAATGTACATGGGTCTAGAACAGAGAAGCACCCCATTAATTACCTCAAAAGCTCTTCCAGAACCCTTTGGGAGTTTCACCTCCTCCCATCAACCAACACTCTTCTTTCTGGAGACTCACAGGATTGTTGAAATCACTCCACTGCTTGTCTAAGATGACGAAAAGTCTTTAGTGGTGAAAGTTAGGAAACTTGTCTATAATGCTTTTTTACTAATAAATGTACCCTTTATTCCACAGTCACGGAGGAAAAGCATGAAAAGAAATCTAGTCCCACAAATAAATCTGGCTTCATCCTTCTTCCCAGCCTTGCCCAAGTGAAGAGGAGACTCAGAACTGGCTGTAGTACAAGAGGCCACAAAGTCTGGACAACACCCCATCTGTACCACAAATTGGTTAGACATCCCTCTATCTCAGGTGATCCTAGAAATGATGATTACTCAAGGAGTTCTGGTGACCTCAACCTGACAACAAGCTAGCAACAGCCTGCAGCCGGTTTGCCAATTTCTACACATGGAAAAACGTGTAATGAATAGGCAATGTCTCTCGTATGAATAGGCAATGTCAATGTCTCTTGTATTGTCAACAAGATGGCACGAGGAAACATGGAATCAGTAGCATAAATAGACCCCTAATGATATGGCTAGTGATGATTAGCTTTCACCTCACTTCTGCCTGTTGTTCACCCCAGTCCATAACCACAATTAGAATGTGTGCAGTAAAGGTCAAATTACGTGTGTGTCATGCTGTGTGTATACAAAGAGGATTATTGTCATTACTTCTTTATTTATTTGAAGCTGAACCTAGGGGCCTGACAGTCAACTACATCAGCAGCTGTTTTGAGATACGGTTTCACTAAGTTGATCTGGGAGGCCTTGAATTTAAGATTACTCTGCTTCAGCCTCCAGATCTTCCAGGAAAATTATTATTAAACAAGAAAAACATCCCTGTCCAGCCTCTTACTTGTTTTTCTGCTTCATCAACTGTAGTGTCACCTGGAGATGTGAAGGAGAATTCCAGGAATCAAGCTGTGACTACAAAAGCTGATTGCCTGATGAGAATGTCAGTGACATGGAGAGATTGAAATGTTGCAAGTCCAGAGCCAAATTACTTTGGGGGCATCTCTAATTCCCTTAGTAGCTATTTATTGTCTGCCTCTATGCATGACTCAGTGTCTGCTGCGACCCTTAGGTAAATCCTTTGGAATGTATGAACAGGCCCCTAGTTTCTACCAATCAAAGAGCTAAGAATGCAGTCAGATAGCATCTAAGGCCTAAAGCTGAGTTTACTCCAACTTTTCTGTAGCCTGCCTTCCTGATGTGATGTCTTAGTTACTATTCTATTGCTGTAAAGACCAAAGAAACTCTTACAAAAGAAGGCATGTAACTGAAGTCTAGCTTACATTTCCAGAAGGTTAGTCTACTGTCAAGTCAGGAAGCAGACAGACAGACATGGCACTGGAGCAGTAGCTGAGAACTTTACATTCTTATCCACAGGCAGCAGACAGAGAGACACTGGGCCTGGCATGGGCTTTTGAAACCTCAAAGCCCACTACTGTTGACACATCTCCTCTCATGAGGGCACATCTCCTAATCATTCTAAAACTTTCATCAGCTAGGGTCTAAACATGGAAATATAGGAGCCTACAAGAGCCGTTTTCACTCATTGCCACATGTGCTCAACAATATTTGAAAAATGTGTTAAGTTTACGACTTCCTTTGTTCTGTTACCATAAAAGTTCATAAAATCACTGCCTTTTTGGAACATGGTATTTGAAGAAGTCTGATCATGTTCCTCCACCACGGTCACGTATATTTGGCTCTAGAATAAACTCTTTTATTCTTCGAGGTAAGGGCTGTATCTTTTATCAACAGACCAGGTACAGGCGGTGGGCTCTCCTCTTGGTGATAATGAAACCAAAACAAGAACAACCAAGACATAAGGGAGTAGGAAAGACTTATGATTGGGATCAAGCAAGGGAAAATAAGGACCCAATCAAACCAAAGGATCAATGGATATGTTATTTAGGTAGTCAATATATATTTAGTAGAGGATGACCCATTACTGGGCAAACTCAAGAAAGCATTACATTCCTGAACATGTTCATTTTAAGGTTAAAAAAATCCAAGGAAAAATAGTAAACATAATTTTGGGCTCAAGGTCATGGAAGCACGTCTTTGAATGGTTAAATTTAAATGGCGGACAGATGCCTCTGAGCATGCTCAGATTGCAGCATCAAATTTGACCTGAACATAAAGGAAAAGACATTTTGAAGACAGCCTGATAAAGAGTCTGCCCTTAATGGTGTCTGACTTGCTTAGCAGCTATGAGAATGTCAGTCAGTGGATATGCATGTTAAAAAAATGAAAGCACTGAAATATGACTGATAATGAATCAGATTTTAAACATAAAGCATCAGAATTAAAGAGTGAGAATTAGGTAACCAGAGCTTCTTTGGGAAATGATTCTGAGCCCTGAGTAATAAAAGTGTTGCCATGGTAACAAGTGTTCATCTGTTTTCCCCTAAGCATCACTCCACCACTTGGTTAAAGCAAACAAAAAAAAAAAGTTCCTTTTTAAATTCTGAGTTCTCACTCTGTAAGAGAATTATTCAGGGAATTCCAAAGCAACAATGACAAAAATATGAACAAAATATATTTAATAAGTAAATAGAATAGTTCAATTGAAGGGAAAGTTAGTAAAAACCCTTCCTCGGGCTTAATGAGGTTTTTCTCCAGGCCTCTACTTCCCTCTAGGACTCTATCATGTTCATATCTTCATATATCTAACGACCATGTGAAAACCCAATGATGATTTTGAGGTCCTTTCTCCTAATAAACTGCATTTAGTGAGACTGAAGGACAAGACATCCTTGTATGGTACACAGATAGACTGGTATCAGACAGCTTCTGCATAGAGCCAAAGGAAGAAAGGCCAGAAAACAAAAGACTCCTGACATAAGACAAATGCCAACCCAGTATTACCAATCATGAGAAAATATCCTTCAGGAAGGACAGTCAAATGTCAAATAAGGTTTTGACAAACAAAAATTGAAAGGATGAGCAGGAATAGACACATGCTAAAGAGAATACTGGAGAGGACACTTAAAGCAAAGGGAAATAGATTGGCACTTGAAGATGGAGAAGAGTACCACAATGAAAAACACATAAACACATCGCTAACCCACAGGAAGCCAAGGGGATGAAGCAACAGCCGCAGCTGCAGTTAAAACAGGTCATAGAGCAAGGACCTAGAGAGGCAGCTTCATAGTTCAGACTGCTCTTGTAGGGAGGACCCATGTTGGTTCCCAGGATGGAGCAGCTCATCACCTTTCACTCCGGCTCCAGGGGCATCCAACGCCCTTTACTGGCATTCACAGGCAGTGCACACATATGGAATGAACTCAAAATGTGCACACATAGACATGCACACACACACAAAGTGGATTAAAAATAGAAAGGTGGGAGAGAGACTGCTGTAATTTTTGAGGCTCTTGAATTGCCTGGAAGAAGGTAATATTAACAATAATCATTTCAACTCTGATATGTCAGTAGTGTATGGGATAATCTCTGTGGAAACCACTAGAAGAAAAGCAACAACACATGACCATGGACAAACACAGGAGGGAACTGAGAATGATAAAAATTTCTTTAAGAAGCAAGAGATGAAAAAAATCATGAAAGGGTTGGAAAAATAGAAAATGTGCAGCAGCTGCCAGGTCTCAGACCTTAGCTGTGTCTCCCCACACCTCACCCTGAAATCAGGCCACACACCTGCAACCTATCCTTTAGGACAAAGAACTGACAGAACACTCAGTCTGGGATGAGAGTCAGGTAAGGGAAGCCCAGCCCCTCCTCCTTTAAGCAATGAGTTTCTGATCCCACCAAGTGTCTGACTCTGTGCCACTTGGCATGTGGTCCAGGCTAGACCACATGGTATGACATTGGCCTGCCCCTATTGGAATTTATCAAAAGTCCTTTTTGCTCTTGGCATTTGAAAGCTCTTTCCTCTGGTCCCTGCTGGCACAATTCACCACCCACCCCCATGCCACACAGGGAAGCTATCTCTCCTAATGAACTAGTGAAACTTCTCTTTCAACATGGAGACCCCATTAAGGGTCCCATAGTCTAATAAAGCACTTATGAAGGGTGACCTCATTAGCTTCTTTCTGCAACCATGACATCCCTTAAGTTGTAGCAGTAACTTTACAGATATAAGCCTGGATATACTGAACATTATGTAACTCTTAATAGACTATATATTCAAACTGGTTTTCAGAATGCATAAAAGAAAACAAACCCCAACTATAAACTGTTACAAGAAATATGTCTGTGTGGTTTGAAAGAGAATTCCCCCATCGGCTCAGATATTTGAACTCTGGTCTCCAGGTCTTGGTGCTATTTAAGAAAGCTGAGAAGCTTTTGGAAGTGGAGTCTTATGGGAGGAAATTGTCTCGGGGTCTGTCTTTGAGTGTGCAGTCACTCTCCCTCTTCCTGGTTGCTCTCTGCTTCATGTTTCTGGTTGGCCGTGATCTTTTGGCTTCCCCTTCCTGCTACCATGCCTTCCACCGGCTGCTACGCATCCCCACCATGATTGACTCTCGTGCTTCGGGAGCCATAGGCCAAAATAAACTCTTGTGTAAGTTACCTTGATCAAGGTATTCTATCACAGCAACAGAAAAGTCACTAATACAGAAATTGGTACCAGAGACTGGGTTGTGACTGTGAAGAACCTGACCATAGTTTTTTTTTTTAATTTGGAGAAATGTGGACGACTTTGGAACTTAAGGCTAGCACAGTGGTTGAATGCTGTAAGCAAGGGTACAGGGTCATTCTAGTGGGAGCCTGGGAAAACAGTAGTGCTGAGAGTAATGCAGACTGTAGAAGCCCAGCTCAAGGCGTGTCAGAGAGTAACAATATTAGCACCTGGGCAAGCAATTACTCCTGTGACACTTCAGCAAGAACCCTGGCTGCCTTCTACTCCTGTCCTAAGAACTTGTCAGAGGCTAAATTTGAACATAATGAACTTATTTCATGCAATGACAGTAAATTGTTCAATATAAGAGGACAGGAAATGTAAAACATAAACCAACCTAAATGCATGTTATATTAATATATCACATGTTAATATAATTATACTAGTATATGTATAGATTGTATGTTAATATTACAGTGCACATTAAGAAAATAAAGGAAGAATGAATCTTCACAATAATTTTACTTATGGTGACTAGAGAATGAAAAAGGCCTAGTTTGCATTAGCAAAAGAATTACTAAGCAATCCATGCAGCAGGAGAAGAGTGGGGTGCTCTCTGAGGAAAGCAAGTACAGTACCAAATCTTATTTTAACATGGATAACTCACTCTTAGCACAAGTCACAAAGGCTTTGAGAGAAAAAAAGACTACATTCAGTTTTTATGTTTTTTTAACATGAAAGACTAATCTTTCATGGTTAGTTAAAACAATGGGTTTCCTCCATATGGTCCTTCCTAGTGCTGAGACATGATAATCGAAAGACTAGAAAAATTAAGGGGATATGGGAAGACAAACTCCTCACTCCATAATCTAGATGAGATTGAAAAACTTTAACACAATGGCCATGGTAGCACACACTTCTAATCCCAACACTCAGAAGGCAGGATCAGGCAGATCTCTGTGAGTTTTAAGGTCAGTCTGATCTATATAGTGAGTTCCAGAACAGTCAGGGCTACACAGTGAGACCCTATTTCAAAAAAAACCTATAAAAATAAAATAAATAACAAAGCTTCTGCAGTTCACTGTATGGGATAATTAGCATAAGGACACATAAATGGACCAGAGAGTTGAACAGGAAGCCTAGACAGAAGCCTTCACACATCTAGACATTTGACTCTAGTGCAACATTGTAGCACAGAATAAGGGTTACCTTTCCACAAATGGTATTGGGATTGTTATCTCTATTGAAAATGTTTCCTACCATATACAATGCCTAGAAGTTAGTGTCATGGAGGATGGACATATGGCTATGCAATTAGGAGTGCTTAGTGCTCTATTAGAGGAATTGAGGTCATTTCCCATCACCCACATCAGGCATCTCATAAATGCCCATAACCCCAGCTCCACAGCACCCAACACTCCCTTCTGACCCACATATGCACCCACACACATACATGTACACGCACAGCTACACACAAAAAAATTAAATAAATCTTTCAAAAATTCAGTCATGTGGGCTGGGTGGTGGTGGCACACATCTTTAATCCCAGCACTCAGGAGGCAGAGGAAGGCAGATCTCAGTGAGTTTGAGACCAGCCTGGTCTACAAGAGCTGGTTCCAGAGAAACCAAATAAATAAATAAATAATCAGTCATGTAATTATAATTCTAAATACAAAACAAAAATATGAAGTGATTTTTAAATTTTAAAAAATTCTCCCTGAGTCCAAGGCATGGGCACTTAAACAATACATACACACACACACACACACACACACACACACACACACGGAGGCACAGAGGCTGAGGATGTAGCTTAGTGGTAGCGTAATTACCTTGCATGTACAAGGTACTAAGTTCAAATGTCAGCACAGAAAAAAAGAGATATATTAAAGTGTTGAGGGTAAAAAATAAAAGAATGATAAACTGTGCTGTACTATAGTTAAAAATACATTTCCACAAAAAATACTCCCATGAAAGTGAAAAAAAATCAAGCCTCAGAGTAGAAGAGGTATTTGCATTATAAATTTGAAATGGAAGATCCAAAATGTATGAAGAATCTATAAGAAAAATACAGTCTAACTGAACAAACAATAGACATGAACAGACACTCCACCAAAAAGGATATCCAAATCACCAATACCTTTAAGAAAAGATGGCCAATTTCTTATCTGGATATTGCTAATCAAAATCAAGTTCAGCAGAATTAACAAAAAGCATGCCTCAGTCTGCAAGTTTTCAGAACACAAGATTAACACACAGAGTAAATTGCTTTTTGATATATCACCCCTGAGCAGAGAGAATTGAAATTAGAAACGCAATCTCACTTCCATCAAAGCCCCCCAAAATTAAATGTTTGGGTATAAATCTTAGCAAAATACATAAATGATCTATAAGAAGAAACAGCAAAGCTGATGGAAGATGTCAGACTAGAGCCAACTAACTAAATGGAAAGATCAGAAGACTCGATATTACCCAGATGACAGTGCTTCCCAACTTGAGCTAACTAGTCAGTGAAAATCCTAATAAGTTGCTCTGGGAATCCTGACAAACTGTTTCTAAGGTTTGTATGGAAAGGCCAAATAAGCCCTCCCTCACTATATTGAAGGCCACGCTGGAGAATCAACCTCAAGGCTTAGGATGAAACCACTCTCATCCAGAGTGCACTGTCATCCAAAGATGAGATAAATAAATCAAAGGAACAACAGAACCCCAAAATAGACCCACAGAAGCAATTCAGGGTCAGTATCCCTACCAGAACACGGTCACCATCTGGAAAGCAGAGCTGAGAAGTTGCTTCACATCCTGATACACAAAATGTAAATGCACCGGGCACTGTGGGACTCAGTGGTCTGCCTTTAGCGTGCGCTGTCCCTGAGCCTGGGCTTTCCTGACAGCGGAGCAACCTGCGCCCCATCACCAGGTTCAGGCTTTTAGATTCTCTGATCCATGGCTGACTGCCCTGCTGATTTCAAACCCAAAAGGAGACCCAGAAGCAACAGCTTGTGTAACACATGCACAAGCTACCAGGTTGCGTTAAGGCACAGCCAGTCAACGAACCCTGTCTGTCTCCTATGGTCACCCTCTGTTTTCTCCAGCAGATTCCTGATGGACACATAGAGGCTGTTACACTGCAGGGCCCTGGGAACTTCTGGTTTCTCTCTCCTGAGGGTAGAGATGACATTGTTCTTTGCAATCAGAAGAGTGCCATGCCCACATTTTGTTTGATTTTCTGTAGGTGCGCTGTCAGAATAAAATATTTTAAAACTATTGTAACATCAAAAACAGAACAAAACTGCTATTATGCCTGATGCTGACAACTGTTGCATGTGGCCAGTCTTCAAAGATAAACTTTTCTTTTACCTAATGTCAGTTTGTTTCTATTGATGAGCTATGAGAGAACTGTTCACATTGTTAATTAGAGGTTCTTCTCTGGAAAAATAACAGTTAGTGGTGTCATCTTTTTTTTCCTAAGATGTAGAAAGTCTAATTATAACAACCATTTGCTTCTCTGACGGTGTTTGGAATGCTACAGGCACACTGATGTGCTATTTAGGAATTCTGATCAGATGGCTGCAACACAGGCATCTTGCTAGAACTCTGAGGACAGTCTCTAAATCAAATGTGGCCATCACACTAGTCCCCATCCTAATGCTGGGCAGCTCTCTACCCTTCTTGCCCCACCTCCGGCCTTGGCACTGGCAGACAACTAAATCTAGACACTGGTATAAGTGCGGAGGGGCACTCTGAGGGTCATCCATGTTTCCTTATAACACTGCAACCCACAAAACTGTGTGGAAATCCACTGACAATATCTATAATGCATGAAGGTGCATGTAGTACCACATGTAGCAGAGACAGAACATATGTGGAAAAGCCTTCACTATTCAAATGACCCCCCACCAAGTTCATACATACTTTATGACACAAAAGCCTTGATCCTTTGTGCATTGTTACCATTTGAGCTACTAAACCCCACCTTCTTGGGAAATGGGATATATATATATATTATTTTTAAATTTAAATTAGAAACAAGGTTGCTTCACATGTCAATTCCAGGTCCCTCTCCATTTCCCTCCTCCCGTGCCCTCCCACCAACCCCCCCAATATCCCCTCATTTCCCCAGGGAGGGTGATGCCCTCCATGGGGGTGTCCATACTCTGTCATTTCATATAGGGCAGGGCCTAGACCCTCCCCAAGAGTTCAGGGTGAGAGTGCATCTCTCATTGTTGGATGAGAGTCCAAAGTCAAAATGGGTCCTTTTTTAACAAAGCCTCTTGCTTTCTTTTTTATGATATATGTCATATTTAGAAATGGCCAACACATTTTCTTGGCATTCCTCACCGGAATACACTCATCTTTCCCGCCACCCTTTAATTCTCCACAATTTTTAACAATGAATTATCAAAATAAGTAATCTAACACTACTCAGAGACAAAGACATTTAAACGAAAAGTTTTAAAAATACACGTGTGTACAAACACACACAATGTGATGTTGCCCAGAAACTGGAACAAATGAATACAAGAGTAATTTCCTAGGTGACACATCACAGCTCTCCAGAAGTGCGAATAAACACTAGAAAGCCAGCCCAAAGTCCAGCCAGTGCAGTACATCAACATGCGGTCAGAATCCTATGGAAGTCACAAGGCATCAGAACTCAGTGATGGAATTTACAATTAGCCTCTTCACAGTAAAAGACGATGCTTCATGATGGATGCAGATCATGTCCCCCTCCTGAGACACATACACATCACTGCTGCTGAGGTCACAATTTGGGATAATCTAGGAATCCAAATTTAGCTCCAGAGCATACACCTCCATTAGGAATTTGAAGACAGACAATATAAATGGGAGGTGAGTGGAACCTGCCTGTAACGCTCTTTTATTTTCCTTTAAGGCCACAGAAAATCTGAGCATAAGCAAGGAAATGAATTCTCATAACAAACAGCCGAGGTGTCCAGGCAGGCTCTACACGGAGAGAAGGCTGTACCACGTTCTATTCCGAGGGTGTGCTTTGTGAGTCCGCAGGGTTAGAATCAACTCTTTCTGGAAATATTAGCTTCTCACAAACTGCCTCCTTGATTGGTAAATATTGTGATATTTCATTAGGTTCCGTGAAGAGGGAAGGTGGAACGTGCATTAAATTAGCAATTTTGCTCTCGTGATGTATATTCTCCTAACATGTAGGTCTTGTCAGCCTCATGGTAAAGCCTTGTGTCATTCATTCTGATAAGCACACCATCAATTCTCAAGAAAAAACGCAATAGCAGAAAAAAGCTGGAAGGCATTACTCTAATTTTGACACTCAGGCTGGAAACTCCATGATCATGTAATTCATCCTCAAACAGGAGAACTTCCTCAAAAAATTTAATCTGTTCTCTGGCTTTCAATTTCTCTGTATCTATATGATTTGTTGTAGGTACAACCTTTAACTTAAGAGATTCTCCAAGTAACGTTCCTTTATAATCTGTTTATAGGTCCAATCATACGGTTTAATAACTTCTTTGGAGTGTTCACCCTCCATCCTACTTTCCTGCCACTCTTCAGCACAAGCTACCTTAAGCATTCCTTGGTAGTTGTTTACACATCTTAGTGCATCTGTAACATTGAAGTCAATTCCAAAGCCAGAGCCATGCTGGATCCTTAGAACATTGTCTCCAAACATCATTTCAGGGAGGGACGGCATATGCAATTCATCAGCTAACTTCTCCACATCCGCAGACTTCATGATGTGGGTCTTGGCCGCCGTCAGCTTCCAAGGCCCGAAGGAGAAGTCCTGGTGGCTGCTCTGGAAGCCGTGGATCATCATGGCAGAGGTGGACCGCAGGACCACTTGGAGCAAGTGCGGCAGCGGTCACAGGGCAGCCCTCCCTGAGTTTGTCCTTTACCATCCCGGCCCCGCCCCCTGCAGCCGCGCCTTGGGCCCGCCCTTCTGCCGTCTCCTCCGTCCCTACGGTTTTCGCCTCTTGCTTTCTTACTCCTATCCGGGTTCTTCTTTGTTCTGAGACACAAGAACCCAGAACTTCTCTGGAGGTCACCACCAAATCCTCTGGTGTTACTATTTTCATGACCGATACACATATACTTCACTGTGCACTCACTGACAACTAATTGAGAAATTCTATCCTTAAAGATCTAGTTCTGATCTATTCACGTTTATCTCTTTGGACAAGTTAAATTCTGGGCCACCTGGAAAACTCACCACATCAGACGGGCTTTAACCTTTTTCTTAATTTCTTTTTCCTATGCTACTGGTGATCAGACATTTCCAATTTCATTGGAGCTTGAGCAAATACAGCACCTCTATTTTTTTAAAAAAATCTTCATTTGGGGGCTGGAGAAATGGCTCAGTGATTAAGAGCCCTGGTTTGATTCCTAGCACCAACATAGCAGCTCTCAACCATCTGTTGTTCTAATTCTAGAAGATCCAAAACCATCATTTGGTCTCGATTGACACTGCATACACAGAGACACATACACGCAGGCAAAACACCCACACACATAAAATAAAAATGAATACTTAAAGGACAATAACCAAAACCCTTTCCTTATTACCAATTCCACCATCAGTGAGAGCCTCCATCTCTTTGACTTTCACGGCAAAGTGTTGTTTTCTTAGAACCTCCTTTATGTTATTTAACACACTCTCCATGGAATTACAGTTATTTTAGGTGGTGATACGTCCTTACAGATTCCCATGCTTTGGCAGAGTTCTGGGCCAGAGAGAAAGTTAGGTATCAGAAGCCTCATATCAATGAGTACCGATTAGTTTCAATGAGAATGCAGAAGGTGATAGCAGCAAAGACAGGATCCACCCCCCAAATGGCGGGATTAAGACGCTAAGACTTGCTTAGGAAGATGCTTAGAAGTGGGGTTGGAGAGATGTCTCACTAGTTGAGAGCATTGGCTCCTCTCTCAGATGACCCAGGTTCAATTCCCAGCACCCACCTGGCAACTCACATAGGATTTGCCCACCTGAGACAATTCCTCCTACTTCCTCCTCCTCCTCCTCCTCCTCCTCCTCCTCCTCCTCCTCCTCCTCCTCCTCCTCCTCTGTAACTCCAACTCCAAGAGATCAAAACCCTCACACAAACATACATGCAGGCAGAGTGCTGATGCATATAAGAAAAAATAAATAAATCATTTTTTAAAGAAGGAGGAGGAGAAGGAGGGAAAGGAGGATAAAAAGAAGAGAAAGAAGAGAAAGAAGAAGAAGAAAAGATGCTTAGAATAAAACATAGACTCGGGGATGAGTGAATCCAGAGAAAAATCACACATTTCAGAAGCTATGAGTTCCAACAAAGATGTTCAAGGAAGAAACCATTAATGATATTCAGTTTGGTAAGGAGATCAAGTCGAATAATAGGAAGCTGTTTGGGCCTGTGATGTGTTTTCATTCAGCTGTTTCATGAGGTGTTGAGTCATCCAGCCTATATTTCTCTATTAAAAATAACATATTTTTGTCTGTGAAAGTAGGAGAACTAGATATAGAATAGCCGGAGGATTCTTTTGAGATGGGAAGAGCTGAGACTTGTTGAAAGACTTTGAGAAGTGAATCATGAAAGGGCAGAAAGAGAAACTGAAGAGGGCATGCCTGTGAGAAACTGAAGAAGGGTGCCTGTGAGAAACAGAGGGAGGGGGAGGGGTACTTGCAAGAGTTCTTACACCAGGGTTTGCCTTAAACCTGAGAGGATACTTCCTCCTCCTCTTCCTCCTCCTCTTCTTCCTCTTCCCCTACTCTGTATGTATGTATGTATGAGATTACACCCAGAGTCTTACACATGCCAGAAAAATCATATACTACTGACCTCCATGTGCAGATCTATATTTGTATATATACACACACATACATATATTCCATCACATCACAAAACAATAAGAAAATGGGTGCCAATAAAGATGAATTAACAAGGGAAAGTTGAGGGAACTTCTGCCACGTGACTCAGTTTCCTTCATGAATAATAACTAACATGTATTTAGTGTGTTTTTAATATTACTTTGACTATTTGATGGACAAAAAGGGTTCATTTTGCCTAAAGTGTTCATTTTTGCCGGTCTGTGTTAAACACTGACTTATACATTCACTCGACGATATTGTTATTTCTAATATATATATATAGAGAGAGAGAGAGAGAAAAAACAGAGGTTTAGAGAGATAAAATTATTTTCTCCAAAGTCCCATTTTTGGGGAAGCAGAGGAAATAAAAGTTTTATCCACTTCTATTTGATTTCTGAGTCCATACCATGAATGACATCTTTACAAGAACCTTGAGTGAAAGTAATGAAGGGTATTGGTAGTTGGTTTAAGAGGAATGAGGAAACTTGTATTCATGAAGGGTAGAAGAAAGCATTGTGCATAGCCTTGTCTAGATATAACAAGATTCTGCATATCATTACATGTCCTGCTGAGTTTTAAAGACCAAGAATATATAAATGACTCCCAGCTACAGTCACGGGATCTTCTCTACAGGATGAGAAGCTTACAATCTGCTAGTGGATTCTGCAAAATGAATAAGATAATGAGGTCTCAGTTAGTTATTCCATGGCATGGCAAAGAAATGGCTTTATGGACATAGGCGAGTAAGAAGGACAGTGCATCAAGAATGATCTTGACCATTCACAGCAATGAGAGGTCATGAACTAAGTAGTACTATCCAGGGTGTGTTAGAAAGTGAGGAAAGTGAGGCTCAAAGTGGTGGCTCACTCCTGGAATCCAGAGATTTCTTAAATGCACAGGGAGTTTGAAGTCAGCTTGAGCAACATGAGACTGTCAAAAATAATAAAGAAAATGAAAATAGTGACAAGGGCTGCAAGTGTAACATTGCATGCCCAAGTGATGGTTTCTAGGCCAGTACAAAGAAGAAAAGGAGAGAGGGGGAGGGGAAAAAGAAAGAGGATGGGAGAGGAAGGAAGGAAGGAAGGAAGACAGATTGACAACTAAGTGTTGAAGTTCATGGCTCTAATCCAACCACTCAGGAGGTTGAGACTGGAGGACTGCAAATTTGAGGACAGCCTAGACTACATAAGGACTACATAAGTCTTGTCTCAAAAGAAAAGTGGCAGGTTGTGAGCAGAATGGGCTCCTGAATTTTAAGATTATAGGAGTGAACTAACTCTAGGTAGTTACAAAGCATGAATAATGGCCACAGTGAAAGATTGTTCTACACACTGATGGTTTCTGAAGTTGAAGTTCATTGAAACTGAGATCAAGGAGCTCTAGTGTCCTGAAGTCAATGAAATATCCACAGCATTATCTGAAAATACCTGAACCAGATGTCCATTGCCCATGTGACCAAGTGCTAGCAGCTCAGGGAACAGCAGGACTAGGAAGAAAAAAGGTGACATACAAAGAGAACGGGGCCTCAGAGACCATTTCATATGAGGGTAAGAGAGACATGGCTCTGAAAGGATAAAAGAGATGGAACCTAGAATGTGTCTTTGTAGACATCTGACCCTGGCTGTTTTAAGAGAAGGGACAGTTTACAGTGGAATGGTGGTTCTGGCAAGCATGGTAGAAAAGACTAGAAAATAAAACAGGTGATAGGATAAGCTAAGGCAAAGAAAGCTAGAAGCAAAAATGAGACAATGTAGTAAATGAACAGTGCTCAGTCCTGCATCCCTAAAAAACACAACCAAAATCTTGCTACTGTCATTCTTACTGGTATTTCTGGCATTCATATCCATATTGTATCTTCTTGCATCAATAAACAAGAAAAAGCATCAAAGTTATTTAGATTCTACTTACCAATTAAATATAACATGCTTTTTTAAAAACCGCTATAGTGGATATACAGAAATATTTTCCCAAATATTTCCATACCCCAGTTTCCCAGTATATGAATATGTTGCATGACATGGTCCTTCTTGGATACGATTAAAGATTTCTGAGACAGGAAGATTATCTAGTGAGCAAAGGGTGGTTTTAGAGAGCGACAAGAACTTCTAAGTCAATAGCAAGAGATCCGATTTCAGAAGCGGAGGCTGCAGGGAGATGCTTCCAAGGCACATGTGGTGAGCCTCTGAATTTGACAAGCATGAAAGTAGATGCTTCCTGAAACTCCTGGAGAGAGCCAACTCTGCTGTCACTCGCTTTTAATCCTATAATATTCATTTCAGGTTTCAGGTCTGTAAAACTTTAAAGATGATTAGTGTTTTCAACCCGTAAGATTCTGTTCATGGGATTGGGTTAAAAACAAAAAGATTCTGTTCATTTGTTAAAGCAGTTGAAGGGTGAGATGCATGGAATTGCATTTCATCTGGGATGCTCACGATCGTTTTAGTCTCCTTGGGTCTTTCCCCATAGACAGGATTGAGCAGCACTAAATGAAGATGGGTGAAGAAGAGTAAAGAATGTTTCAATTATAAGGGACTAGCCGGGCACTGATCCCAGCAATCAGGGGGCAGAGGCAGGTGGATCTCTGATTTTGAGGCCAGCCTGGTCTACAGAGTGAGTTCCAGGACAGCCTCCAAGGCAATACAGAGAAACCTTATCTCAAAAAAAAACAGAGAAGAAGGAGGAGGAGGAGGAAGAGGAGGAGGAGAAGAAGAAGAAGAAGAAGAAGAAGAAGAAGAAGAAGAAGAAGAAGAAGAAGAAGAAGAAGAAGAAGAAGAAGAAGAAGAAAAGAAGAAGAAGAAGAAGAAGGAAGAAAGAAGAAAGAAGAAGAAGAAGGGACCTGTGGTGGTTGATCTTGTTGACCAACTTGATTAGATCTGTAACCAACTGAAAGATGTTCATGTGGGTGTGTCTTAAATTTCCTGGAAAGGTTAAATGGCAGGGAAGACCCCTCTTTAAGGTAAGCTACCCCTTCCAGTGGCATCTCGGATACAAGGAGAACCTAGGGG